GGAGGATAGGAAGAATATCCTCATCTTCAGAGAGTTGAGGGGCCCATATTTCAGTCATTCGATTACGAAGAGCAGCTGAAAGTTCGCGTTTTCCATAGTCACCACCAGGATTCATTGTAGACAGAAATTGGAACCCAGCGTCGGCAACTACCATAGAGTTGATTGGTCCCTTTTCTGCAAGCAAAATTGACCTATGAGGCTCTAGAACACTGTTAAGTCTTTCCAATACTGAGTCATCTGCAAGGGAGATTTCGTCCAGGAGGAAGTATTGCCCAGTCTTCATGGCAGTAATCAGGCTACCATCTGACCATTCGAAGAGAGCATTCAAGCGAGCAACGTTCGTTTGGATCCTCTGGACAAGCTCCGAATCGCAGGCTTGTAACTGATCCGCAGTAAGTGAACTAAACATCTGCTTCATCTCTTCCAATGGTCGCGAAGGTTCAATTTCATTAAGAACTGCTTGAAGATCACTCGATAGCTGGTGTTCAATAGCGCCCCTGTTCCTCACAGGCCGTTGAGCACCAATGAGATCGCCTGTTTCAAGATTCACATGGGCGTTCACAATGAGCAGCTGTCTTTTATAGGCTTCTGCGACTGCTTGGCAGAGCTGTGTCTTTCCACAACCGGTTTCTCCTACCAGTAGAACTGGTTCATTGTTCTCAAGTGCAACGGACACCAAGATGAACAATCTCCTCATTGCTTTGGTCCAGACGACCCCGGTGGGAAGATGAGGCGCACGCTTCTCCAATTCGGCAGCACTGTACACCACATCTTCATCTATACGAACTCGCATGACCTCTTCAATTACACCTTTCACAGCTGCCCTTTCCTGCGGGTTCCTAACTCGCTCTGCAAGCAACATAAATCCGTTTATCGCTAGCTGCTCACGATCATCTGCTCGTCGGAGAGCCCATCTAAAGAGATCACGTAGAGTAGCAAAACTGTTTTTCTGCTCAAAGAGTCTGTTGGCTTGGCGCAGTAGAGACAGCTTCCGGTAGACAGACACTATTCTAGCACAGAATGAAGGTGCAATTTGGGAGCGTTCCTTGAGGATGAATTCCAACTCACTCTCTGGAATATCATCAAAGTGCAACTCGAGAAAACGATTCCGGAAAGCCCGGGACAGAACTTTACGACCACCATAAAGACCAGCTGGATTTTGGGTCGCAAACAGCATGAAATTTGGATGTGGGTGAACAACTTCTTGGGTCTCTGGTATGAAAAGTTCGCGGTTATCATCTAGAAGTCGATTCAATGCCTCCAGGACGTCCGACGGTGCCAAGTTGAGTTCATCGAGTACAATCCAATACCCATTTCTGAGTGCCTCAACGAGAACACCTTCCTGATAGCGAAGAGTGCCGTCATCACTAGAGACGTAGGATCCTAGGTATTCTTGAAGGTCTGTGTGCTCGTGATTGTTGATACGAACGAATTTGTTTCCGGAAACCTTCGCCAGGTACTCAATCATGCTTGTTTTTCCAGCAGAGGTTGGGCCCTGCAGCAATATAGGGAACCGACGCGTTGAACTTGCTCTGACCAGATTCTTGAGGTTTTTCTCTATAAAAGGTGTTATAATGTAATGTGGTTGTTCCTCTGGAACCAAGTGCCCACGTCGCATCCAATAATGCTTGAACTGGACATAGTCGAAGCCATCGGTGGGAGGCTTAGGGGTCTGGCCGAGGAGTGCTCTAGCGTTCTTTGCACTGCTAAAAAGGTGTGCCTCAAGAAGTGGCAGCAGCAGCCTCTCCGACTCTTGGCTCAAAACAGTCAGGAAGCTCATGGAGAATCCTTCGAAAACTGCTCGGCGTAGGCCATAGACATGCGCGTGGTCAATGACATATATAAGGGCACGAACAAGAGTTCTTATACTAAAGTGTGGACGTTGTCCAGCCCCATCTGTAAGTTTGTTCTCGTTGCTAAGCTTCTTCGTTTCCAGATAGAGCTGCGCAAGATCTGGCGCGATTCTCATGTCACCTAAAGTCAAATCACCAAGATACTTCTGGATCAGGGCAAGTAGATCATCCCGGTCACTGTCCGGGGAGTGTACATAGAGTTCAGTAAACCGGGAGCGAAGACCAGGAGGAAGATCCTTCTTTCTGCATCTGTAGCAGGGTTCATAGCGCCAAATATGCGAAAGTCCGGATGCCCAAATACCCTTTCAACATCGCCAGCCTCGGAAAGCAGGACAGATGGTGAGCCTTCAGTGCCATGGTGCAGAAGACTAGCAATGTTCTCAAGAGTGTCCGGTGAGGCCAGGTTAATCTCATCGAGGAGGACCCATTCGCCATTTCGTAACGCCCTAACAATCTTTCCCTGTACAAAAGCGAAGGCAAACTTGGCATCGCCCTGAGCCACCTGAGCCTCGAAGTCATTCAATTGTCCTGCGAACCTTTCCCATCTCTGCCGCAAATGCTGGTACTTGGGCGAGTCCAATTTCCTTTTCTTCGCGGGTTGCTCCTCACCTTCTTGGGAGGGGCCGTTACTAGATTTGAAGACGCCATCGGCTAACCGAACAGCTTCATGCCAAAGATGTACCAACCGTGCCCAGTTTCCTGAAGCGACGCTTTTTGCAACGGACGACAAGAATTTCTGGTTCTTCTTTGCTGAGAACGTCAACTCAAACACAGCATTGAATTCGTCAAGCATAGGGACAGCCATTGTACGGATATTAACAGGCTTGAAACCACCTAGCAAATCACTACTTTCACTCTGTTGCGACAAGTTCACCACTGTGAGCTTCTGCCGCATTAGGGTAGCAAGCTGCTGAATCACCGTTGTCTTTCCAATACCCGTCTCTCCGACAAGGAGCATAGGCTCCGCCATTTGGATGGCAGCTGCAGCCTGTTCCATAAGCTTCAACGCAGCTCTGGTTGAAGCAAAACGCGTTGATGACTTGGAAACTGAACCGCTGGGTACCTTGATCTTTCGGCAGACTTCTCTGCCGAGCACTATGTTATTACCTTGATCGGAATACGCGGGAATTCGTTCACTAAGGCAAAACTGTGCTCGCTGTGGTGATATCTGAAGCGCTTCCGCGGCAACTAGGGCAAGCGACTCTGCCAATGATTTCTCTGGGATGTAACTGAGGAATATGTCCACAACATCCAAGAAGATTTCATCCTCAGCACCTTCCGGCATAGCTTCATAACCAGTCTTAGCTCCTAGACGCTGCAGTCGCCTATGCATCCGGCTACAGAGTTTGATAAGATCACGAAGACCTGGAGTCCGGCCTTGAGAGCTCTTGATCGCAAGGCTTCCATGGAAAGAAGAGCAAAGCCTTTGATAAACATTCATGATAGTTGGTACCCGAGACTCAAGGAGCGGGAACTTTTGCGTAATGACTTCTTGGATTTCGTCAATTGAGAGAGGTTCAATGTGAACCCTCTGCCACAATCTGCTTCCCAGGATTGTGGTGCTTGGAGCGACTTCTTCACCTGCGATATTATATGATGACTTCATGGTTGCAATGATCTTGAACCCCTCAGCGCACTTTATCCGTTCTTTTCTACTTGCTATAGTCAATTCTCCTTTCTCGATGATAGGCAAGATAAGACCGATAACTTCAGAAGGTGCACGGTCCAAATCCTCGATTAGAATCCATCGGCCTTCCCTGGCTGCTTTGGTTAATACACCTGGTTGCCACGCAAATGAGCCAGTGGCGGGGGACGTTGAGTACATCCCAAGAAGACTCTTAGCATCCGTCTGTTCATTTAGATGTAAGGTAACCATAGACTCAGACTGGCCCATGGTTGCGGCAACATCATTGACCAAAGAAGTCTTGCCAGAATTCGGTAAACCAACTAATAGCAAGGGATTCGAGGAAGTCAGCGCCGCCGCGATCCTACGAAGATTCCTCACAGCGGTGGGCGCTTTCACAATTGAAGATGCTGGGGTTGACATCTCATTTAGTCGAGGAATAAGAACACCGCAGACTTCAGCGGTTCGGGGGGTGAAATATTCCCGGAGCTTCTCAACTTGTGATAGACTGTCCTCAACTGACCGACCTGACCGTGCAATCCGTGTCTGTTTCTCCAGAGTACTCCACCGACGCTCTTCCCACAAACCAAGGCAGCGATAGTCGATCACGATACCCTCCCATTCACCTTCAATAATGTCGGCTCCAATATACTTCTGAACCATTTTCTCAGTGGCAGCATCCGCTGCGTGCATATACAAGGCAAAGCATCGAATCGCAAGATACCGTATGGACGGGTCTGAATGTTGGAAGAGGGATTGAAGGCGTGACGGCGAGATGGTACTCGAGAAAGTCTCTAAGTCATATGAGAGAAGTCTGAAGACCGACAATAATAGTGTGCGAATAGTGGTGTCATCTAATTGCAGAAGCGTTGCCTCCTCAGATGCAGCCAAAGCGGATAGAGGTCCAGCCCGAGAACTAGCATATTGGCTTGCGAAAGAAGCAAGAAATGGCGCAAACGGTAGGATTCGTGAAAAAGCGGAGATAATGTCGACTTGGTTATTATGAAAGTCTGAAGCAAGCCATCTTGCTGCCAGATCCACAAAGATCGGCTCATATAGGCAGAAAAAGCCTTCTGTACATTTTGATCGCAATGCACCAACCGCAAGCGCATTCAGGTATTGAGTCCCTGAAGATGTGCGAATGAGTTCCGCTACCTCATTCGGAAGATGCTCAAAGAGCTGGGACTCTTCAAGAGTCCTCTCATAGGCAGGTCTGGTCTCCATGCTCAACCCTACCTGCAGAGGAACTCTTATAATGAGTTAGAGAGAGAATGAAATTGTCGATGCCGATAGCAGTAACTTTTTTTTCCAAGCCCTTTTCTGCCGCTATATGTGGCGCAGCCCCACACTTAGTGTTCTCACCGCCTTCAGTTGAGTCGCGGAGCGGAGCTTAAGCCACACCTCCGAGATTAGGACCAGTTGTCGTAAGTCGAGACCGGTATAGAACTGCGGGATCGTCAACAAAGGATATGGCTTCCTGCAAAGTGGACATTGACACTTGTACATAAATTTTTGTGCCCACTATGCATCCGGGAGGCGAAGCTGGGGCCTCCTCGTTCTCCTCTGAGTCGCGGAGTCAACAACATTCCCCGATACAGCGCCGTGACAGCAACCTATCTTCACCGGATCCGTACGAATTGAATAATTCACTCACCGGAGGTTTACATGAGCCGTAAGGTTCCAATTTATTTGGGCTAACCATATGATTCTAATGGAAGACGTGTACAGTATATCCTTTAAGCGCAAACAAAAGCAGCGATCCGGTTTTAGCTTATCGAATCTATTTTCCAATAATACTACGGAATCCGTTGCTGGAGACACAGCGTTCACGTCTTCGAACACGCGGAATGGAAGGCTCCATGAAACCGTATCATCTTCATGGGATCGTCCGATGAGTAGCAATGGAAATGTCACTGCGCAAAAAGATGGCGGTCTCCTTGATTGGTATGTGGAAGGCCCAGGGCGACGAGTAGGCTATGATGACCTCACCGCAATCGACTGGATATTTGAGTACACAAAGGAACGCCAGAGGAAGAGGCATTTATATTCCCATGGTCAAGGGGCTGTAGGATATGTATTCAAGTTTCTCGACGCCAGTAATGTCTGGATAGTGTTGATCGCTACTGGAATATTGGTTGGGATCATTGCAGCTTTTATTGATGTTGCAAGCGACTGGTTAGGGGATTTGAAAACTGGGTATTGCAAGAATGGGGCTGGGGGAGGCAGGTTCTACCTAAATAAAAGCTTCTGTTGCTGGGGTCACGATGGTAAGCTGTTTTCGAACCGCGGTTGCACTGTGGGGTATCTATACTAATCTATCAATTAGAGATCTCTAATTGTCTAGACTGGACACCCTGGGGGAAAGCACTAGGTGTTACCTCTTCCAGTGGTGTCTTCACGGTTGAATACTTATTCTACGTCCTTTACTCTGTACATAGGTCTTGTCCGTTATGATTTATATCATACTAACAAAGACTCATAGGTACTGTTTGCTGTATGCGCTACAGTCTTGGTTAGGACCTATGCGCTTTATGCGAGACACAGCGGTATCCCTGAGATCAAGACGATTCTCGGTGGCTTCGTGATAAGGCATTTTATGGGGCCTTGGACGCTTGCGATAAAATCTTTGGGATTAGTGGGCTTCCCTCAAAATACACAATATGCATATCTAAGCTGACAATTTCAAAGTGTTTATCCGTTGCATCTGGTTTGTGGCTGGGTAAAGAAGGCCCTCTTGTCCATGTCGCATGCTGTTGTGCCAGCGTGATAATGAAGCCTTTCGAAAGTTTGAACCATAACGAAGGTAAACACTCTTTATAGCCTTGCCAATCACATAAGCTAATTATGCAGCGAGAAAACGCGAAGTTCTGTCCGCAGCCGCCGCTGCAGGCATCTCTGTTGCGTTCGGGGCCCCAATCGGGGGTGTCTTGTTTAGTTTGGAGGTATGACCTCCTAGAAACACCTTCCCTCATAGGCGACCACTTGCTAATATTGGTCAGCAATTATCCTATTATTTTCCCGACAAGACAATGTGGCAAAGCTTTGTCTGTGCCATGGTTGCTGCAGTGACGTTACAAGCCTTAAACCCTTTCCGCACGGGCAATATTGTCCTTTACGAAGTCACGTATACACGCGGATGGCATCGCTTTGAGATGATTCCGTTTGTTACCCTTGGCATATTAGGCGGCCTATATGGAGCGTTTCTTATCCGCTTGAATATGAAAATTGCTCAATGGCGGCGATCTCGTAGTTGGTCACGGCCAATTGCAGAGGTGGTGTTGGTAGCTCTTTTAAGCGCTTTGATCAATTATCCGAACTTGTTTATGAGATCTCAAAACTCTGAGCTTGTTCATTCTCTATTTGCCGAATGTGGAAATGGGGGTGAAGATCCTTTCGGTCTTTGCAAGACTGGCGCTGCATCCGTTACTACGATAGCTCTTTTGCTGATGGCTGCGATCCTTGGTTTTTTCCTTGCATCGATGACTTTTGGTTTGGATCTGCCCGCCGGTATTATCCTGCCTTCCGTTGCCATTGGTGCTTTATATGGGCGTGCTCTAGGCACGACTTTCAAGATGTGGCAAGAAGCTTATCCCAACGTCTTCCTCTTCGGAAACTGCGAGCCAGATATCCCCTGCGTCACCCCCGGGCTATATGCAATCGTTGGTGCGGCTTCGGCTCTTGGTGGAGCCACTAGGATGACTGTGTCAATAGTGGCCATCATGTTTGAACTCACTGGTGCCCTCACCTACGTTATCCCAATCATGATTGCAGTCATGCTATCGAAGTGGTGTGGCGACATATTTGGAAAACGTGGCATTTACGAGTCATGGATTGAGTTGAATGAGTATCCTTTCCTCGACCAACGTGATGATACTACTCCGCCCGATGTGCCTGCTCATAAAGTCATGACAACCGTGGATGACTTAACAGTCATTATCGCCGTGGGTCATACAATTGACAGCCTTCGGCATCTCCTCCTGACCACTTCATACCGTGGATATCCCGTCGTAACCGATACGTCAAATCCTGTTCTTCTAGGTTATATATCTCGGAACGAACTTTCGTTCGCTTTGAAGTATTCGAAGTCGCCTACAGACCGAGAATTGTCTGGTGAAACCCAGGTCTTTTTCGCTCATCAACCTTTTGCAGATCCGGTTGAGACGCTCGATCTTCGTCCATGGATGGACCAGACCCCTATCACCCTGAACAGCAGTACGACATTCTCGCTAGTGCTTCAGATGTTCCAGAGGCTTGGACTGCGTTACATCTTACTTTCGGACAAAGGAGTTCTCCAAGGCCTGCTCACTAAGAAAGATGTTTGGTCGGTCATCAACGGACCAGAGTTCCGAAAAGGCGGATTCTCTAGAGAGAGTGCAGCCCGCCCAGTGAATACGGCAGAAGAGGTTGGACTCCTGGAGAACGATGATGTGACTAGTCTGGCCAGTTCTCTAGAAAGGCGCCAATCGCTCTGATTTCTTGTACAGAAAATAGCGCTATACCGGAACATCCTTGAGTCCGATATTGCGTGCCCTACGATCGGCACATCCGACTGTGCCTATATTTAGACCCATCACGCGAATCACGTTGACTTGGTTTTGAAATCTAATAGAACTTGGTAAGGGATAGGGCTGGTTTCCTTGGTAGATACTCAATGGCGTTGTGTTGGCTTTCCTCCTTCTTTCCCTGTTTTTAGTCGCCTGACTGACAGTCAGCGCCTCGTCCTGTAGTATATATATATAGCATCCATGTACTCTGTGCTATGTGAATACTATGCATCATTTTTTCCCTTCTAAGAGAGGACTTTTTGTTCTTACCTCCATACCCAAGCCTAACTAGTTAGATGAACCAGTTGCTTCCCTACCAAGTGGGCAAAGCTACTACACTAACAGCATACCTATTAGCAAATATACATTCAATACTCAGTACTAGTACTAGTAGCTGCCCAGGCCAACCCCACATATTCTGCCAGCAAAATCCATCTGACCGCCCTTCACCGACCAATAGGTGCACCCCACCCATGATAATTCCCCGACTTCTTTGCGACAGCCTAAACAAGTACAAAACCCTCAGTTCAAATCGCGTGCTATATCTTTTCCAGTTCCCTATCTAAGCTGTAAATCCGCAACAATGATGGCAGATCCGTTTGAAGTTCGCATGCGCTTTACCGCGCAGCTACAACACCTGAATGCATCCATTACATCCTCGCAAAAAGCTGCCCATTATGCGCTCAAATACCGCGATATGGACGAGGATCTTCACTCATGTATACTGGAACAGCTTGAAAGGGTACGCATGCTGATTCCGCCAGTTGTAAGACTTCATTTACTAACTTTTATGGTTTCTTTAGAATAACATGAACAACCGAGCTAATATCATGTATTTCATCGAACAATTCTGTGAAATGGCTACGAAGGAGGATCATGCACCATACGTCCGCATGATTCAGAGGGATATTTTACGCGTAGTGGATGCCGTTGCACCACCGGATGGCTCGGGGGCAGCGAATGTGAAGCATGTTCGTCGGGTTCTCAACGGATTACAAGCCAAGGAAATTCTTTCTGCGGAAACAGTGGCAGAGATCAATGCCGGTCTGAAAGACCGTGAGACACATCCAGCACATCTTGATCTGGAGGCTGATGAGGGGGTGGAAGCAAAGGCTGGCACTCCACGGGGCTCTAGGGGAAGTGTCCGTGTAGACAAGAGACAGATCGAACAGAGAATCGAAGAAGACCGTGAGAGGAACAAGCGTTTACGAGAGAGTATGTGGACAGTCAGCGGCGACGATGGTGATGAGCATGGGAAATTTTGGGATGAGACCAGCGATATTGGCGAAGACGATTTCCTGGCTGCGAATGAGGAGTTTATGGAGCGCAGACAGATGGTTAATGCTAAGTGAATATGCTTGCATTAACTGTTCTCTCCTAGTCTTTTGAAGCTTCGACCGTTTTGAAGAGTATATACAGCAGGTGTTCGGTTCGGCGTTACGTTCCTTTACTAGTTGGGTCATGGGTATGGGTGATACCATTTACGTGAATTGCATATGAGATACCATGTTCCATTTTACATTTCTTCTGTATATCAATCTTGAAGCTGGTAGCTGAGCTACTTGCTCAATAGTACTAATGAATGGCTACCCGGTGCTTTAGTAGCCCCACATGACACCTTTCCGCCTTCGGAGAAAAGTGGCCCCGCGGAGATCATGAAAATGAATTTCCTGAAAAAAGCGCCGAGTTTGGACGCAATAACATTTCTCCATAGATGCTTGGTAGCTAATTTTTTGAATTGGATCATTCTGGATCCTCTATGTTTTCCCACATTGTCACTGCAGCAAAGGGTCTATTTACTCGACAGGATACCGACAAAGCACAATCGAAGAAATTTACCACTACCTCATCCGACAACACAATCGCCAGCAAATCAAAGATGGTCACAACTAGGCGGCGGAAGATTTCCGATGTTGTTCTAGAAGAGGAAGCTGAGATCAATAGACAACAGGAGGTGAACGGAAAGCGCAAATCCGGGCCAGCCGGTTCTGGGAAGACGGAAACCCAGCGCAATAAACGGAGAAAGCGAGCCAGTCTTGAAGCCGCAGAAAGTGAGAGCGGGACTCCCGAAGAGCCTTCAGACGATGCCCAGGAAACGGATTCCAAACCGGAGGAGGGAAAAGCGGCACCTGCTCCGAAGAAGCACTTCAGATTTGACAGCGAAGAACCTGAGGTACCGTTGGATATGCAGATAGAGGAAACAGCAGAGACACAACAGGCAAAGGAGGACAGCGGCGATGACAGCAGTGATGATGAGGCTCCGGAAGCAGTTGATAACTCAGCGCAGTTATCTAAGGTTAGAGCGCAGGCCAAGAAAATGGAAAAGGCCAAACAATTGTCAGTAATAGCCTTTGTTATTTCCCCGATATAGCTCGTCCTACTAACTGTCCCACAGAGAAGAAGAGTTAAAGCGCGAGAAGAGAAGGCAGTTGGATGAGCTGCGTAAATCACAAGCGAAAGTTTCGAAAAAGAAAGACAAGCCAGTTGATGATCTGCTATCCGAAAGCACGGAGACACTCCAGGGCTCTAACACACAAGATGCACGGCGATCGGCTTTGCCAGCACTTCTTCCAGACGATATTTTGAATGCGGCTCCTGTTACACGACCGCCTACGCCACCCGCGGAAGAAATAAACATCGCTCACAAGAAGCCGACCAAGTTGAAATTCCTGGAAAAGTCCGAGAGGCGCCCCAAGGATGTGAAAATGGGCGACGTGACGATTCGAGTATTAGGTGACATTCCACAAAAGAGAGCCAAATCGGCCCTGCCTCCGAAGGCCTCGAAATCCGGTCGGAATAGTAAACAGACTTGGCTCGACCGCAGCCGCAGTACTGGGCATGTGAATGGTCTGAGACGGACAGCCGGCGGTTCCTCTGGATTTGTACGCAAGTAAAAAGTCTTATCATTACCATCGAGCGGCTCTGCGGTGGCTAGCAGTTTCTAAACCAAGATCAAGAGCGAATTGAACCAATTGTCCCTCCGACCACTTTCGAGAATCATCTCAGGAATGGCAACTAATGCCTTTTCGCTTCTCTCTATATATCGCCACACACCAATGTCGAGGGATTGGTTTCGCATTCTCCGCAATGTGCAGGGCCCAGGCAGGCCTTGCCCCCAGGAGCAGGTTACAGTGTGAAGGATACAGCAAGCAGACGATGATTCATGCCGCTGGACTTGACTTCAAAAAAAAAAAATTCCGAATATCCTGTATAGACACATAATGTTCTACGGTAGATAGTTATTCAGTGTTGTTGTCTAGGCGTCTGAGTATTGGGTACAAGGCGCTTGCAAAAAGTGGATTCTATTAGTATTCTTGATTTTCTACTATTATCTTCTTTAAGTAAATGGCCCTGGGCTTAGTCCCGTTTGTTTATATCCCACCTGCAAGGAAAAGTAACGCAACAAAGGAAAAAGGAACGAGGAAGGGATAGAGAAAGGAGATGTGTACAAAAGATATCAGTGCCAACCATATAAGTAGGATAGCCTAGACCGTTGGCGAAGTCGAAGTGGATGCAAGCTTGTTCTACAGCAGGTTAGCCTCTGGTGGGCGCACGTGCGAAAGCTTGGAGCTTGGTTAATCCATTCTTCACCTCCATTTCGACGGAAAGATCTTCCGGTGCGATTCTTTGCTCATTATTAAACGCCCACCTGCCCATCAATGGCAGGCTTTTCATGATTGTCTTCACCTACTACATCCAACATGGCTTCCACCGCGGAAACAACCCCCCTGCTCCCCCAACACCAACAGCAGCCCGCAACATCCAATACGTCACCGCGAGCGAACCGGCGGACAGTCACCTTCAACCCTCTCACCACGGTCAGCACATACCACGATACCACTTCTACAAACGCTCCCGTTAGAACACTATATTCCGGCCCTTCCTCATTCCCGAGTTCCCAGGATACCCCGCAACGACCGACTGGACTATCCGCGTTGAACAGCAAGCTCCGTCGCCGGAATAGCCATGGAGCGCCCTATAGTACAGCGCCCTCAATGCCTGTGGCACCCAAAGTCGGCCCACAAAGAACGACAAAGAAGGCTCAGAAATTGAAACTTCTCCCTGATCCGATAACCGAGGAGGCTGTTGACGGTGAATTCCCGTCGGACGTCTACTCACAAATCGCACGAATTAAGGAGCCCACTGCTCGAAGCCATGCTGCAAGACTGGGCAAGGCAGACAGAGAACGACTACCCCGCGTGACAGCATACTGTACGGCCAATTCCTATCGACTAGATGGGGCGATCAGATTTCTCAAATCAAGGTCCAAAACCCGTGGAGCCAACCCGAAACTCTACGATGAGTGTGTCTACTCGCCTTTCGACTACCTGTACGAAGAAAAGCAGAGAAGTACATCAGAAAACAATGTTGGCATGAATAATGTGGGCACGAGGGAAACCTTCCAGAGACCATCCACTGAGCGCAGGTTCTCCGACAGCGTGGTTGAAATCGAGGATAATACTAAATCCCGGAGGGAAGACCTCATCGACCTTCGAGACTCAGAAGCTCACCAATCCGAGAGTGCCGTGGCGGAAACTCAATCTGACACCCCAGACTTCGACACCACAATTCACACCCCGGAGGTATTCCTCTTCGACTATGGCACGGTCGTTATATGGGGCATGTCGCCCGCACAAGAGTCCCGGTTCCTGTCCGATATCTCTAAATTCGCAGCCTCCATCTTGAGTCCTGAAGATACACAGGTCGAAAACTTCAATTTCTACTATGCGCGTGAGTACCAAGCGCGCATATACAACGACTTCATCTCTCTGCGCGAACCGCGAAACCACATGATCAAACTGGCCATCTCGCATGCTCTCGCTCAATCAGTGAAGACCTCTCTCTTCGAGGATCTCGTCTCGGAAACTATCTCGAATACTGCACCATTGCCTGCCCAAATTGCACAGACAGGAAGTGTCAATCTCACACGGCGCCAAATTAACATGCAAGTCGGAGAATTATTCATTCTACGAATCAACATCCATCTTCAGGGCTCAGTTCTAGACAGTCCAGAACTGATGTGGGCAGAACCACAGTTGGAACCTGTCTATCAGGCCGTGCGGAGCTATCTTGAGATGGACCAACGAGTCAGTCTCCTGAACGAACGACTAGACGTGATTGCGGATCTTCTGGCCGTCCTTAAAGACCAATTAACTCACCGACACGGTGAGTATCTCGAATGGATTGGTAAGCCACCACCTTCACTACCTTGAAAGCCTTCCAACTACCATATACTAATCTAAATCCAGTCATCGTCCTCATCGCTGCAGAGATCCTCGTTGCAGCCATCAATATCGTGGTCGACTTATACGCTGGCGTTGATTAAAGTCCCAGTCATCGGATGATCATCTAATTCATCATGGTCACTGTTCTATCTCTACATTCCGCTTTCATTAATCATTTTTCCCATTGCATTGTACTGGAACTGGCGTCAGGGCGAACGGACAAGATCGCATTGCTATGATAGCTACGTATAACCATCTCATGTACAATACAATATGACATTAGCTACACAGGCAGGTGCAAAAGACCGAACAAGAACAGCTTTTCAGCACCATATACAACAGCACACGCTGTTCTTTTATCAAAGATACAACTTCAACTTCGTAATGATAGCTGCCATCAACCACGTAACCGACACCCATCATTCCCATCCCACGAACAAGAATGTATATTTCGCACCTCATCCAACGACAAAAATGGGATATTAAAAAGACAAACTCCCTAATCTTAATTTTAGTGAAGAACAAACAAGAACCCCGAGAACCCCCCTGTAGATATAGGAAAAGAAGATGGAAAACGACACACAAAGAACTAAGAATATAAGACAATAAAGATACGACACCGCAACCCATCATCCACTGAGCCCAAAGAATGCCCCACAACTAACTGTCCTCCTTCGGCTCCTTAGTATCCATGTCCATAGGCGTCGTCGGTTCCACAGAGACCTCTCCTTGACCAGGCTCTCTTGACCCGGACTCCGGGTTCTGGCTACCGCCACGGTCACTTCCAGAGCCGGTATTATTCTCTTTATCTTGTGCCGAGCCGTTGCCCGCCTGGATGCGGAACGAAGAAGTCATGTCCTCCTGCGACGGGGCAGGCGCTAACCGCGGAAGCGAGGCTGATCCAGCAGCGGACGAAGACTCAGGCGCATTGTTAGCAGAAGGGGCAGCATCATCATCCGCACCGTCGCCGACATTTGATTTCCGGGATCGTTTCACACGGAGGGGCCGTTCTTGGGGCTGTGATAACATAGTTAAATCCATCCATTCAGGAGGTTGGGGGGGGAAGAAGGGGGAAAAGAAAAAAAAAAATACTAACAGTAGGTGGCTGTTCATCCGAGCTCCCCTCCGTATCATCCGCAAAATACGCACCACCACCCTCCTTGTCACCGGGATCCAGAACCGCCGCATTGGACATCATTGCCGCGGCGCGGGCCCGTAGCTCCGGGTTGACGCCTGCTTGGGCCTCCTCTGCCATGCCGGTGACCTTAGCTAGACGCTCGAGCAGAATGCATGACTCGAGACGCATCTTGTGGATGTATTGCCAGCCGCGGCGGTTACGGACGCGCATGAGATCGTTCTCTTTTTCGATCTCATTTAAGCGCTTCTTTAGAGCGACGCATTTGCGTTTGTAGGCATGCTCGACGCTCGGGGGGTTTGAGGACTCGATTGATGTTGACTGGTTGGCAGAGGGCTCCATTGTGCTTGGTGTTATATGGCGGTTTTCGTTGTGATTTAAATTGGGCTGTTGTTGTCGAGGTCTAGGGTAAAAGTCGAGATTCAAGGTGAGAGGTGATATGATTCGTAGATGAGGGTTTGGATGGGTGAGTTGAGGTCTCGTTGCGGAATTAATGGGGGGTTGCGCTGAGTAACACTTGGTCTCGGACTCCCAGTCGACAGAGTGGTTCAGGGACAAAGGGCCGGCGAGTGAGACGTGCTGTGTACGCCTCGAGGATGCGAAAGTCGTCGGGGATCCCTTTCCACGGGATCGGTAAGGTTCCTCGGCGAGGCACGAGACCACAAGGATCTTTGAGTTTACTGAAACCAAAGATTACTTCCGAGTCAAAGCCAGTCTTGCAACAAGTAACGCGAGTTCAAATGACCGAATTCTGCCGCAATCGCTGGTGTCTGATTACTGGACTGGTGATGGATTGGAATCGCGGCTGCCATTCTGCCGGATCGTGATCGGAGGCGGTCAGCGGCGCTTGTTGTCTAGACAATTCCTAATTTCCTATGGTATATGAACCCTACGACGAACTATCCAAGTCGTGCATCATGAACATTAATCATTGTGGACTATCTACTAAGCTCATAGCATTGGTATCTAGATCGGTCGATATGTGAGAAATTAATGCCCACCAGTGGTCGGAAGACCAAGGAACACCTTGAACGAGTCATAACTATAAAATCCGTCAATCATTGTCGCCAGAGAAGATGATGGACCACTTACATCAACCATTGGAATCCAGTCAGTGTACCCAGCATGACGATACGGACGGGAAGACCGTTCCATAGGCCCGAAAATCCGATATTTCCATAAATGCGGGATACAGCCTTCATGGCTGACTCACCAGCTAAGATACAGTCAGCACCCAATCACAATGACAACCCGTCAAGGCTCATCAGAGCCAACTCACCCTGACGATCCGCATTAAGCTTGCTAACCATAACATCAGCCGGGTGGCTGACAATCGCACAGAAAATGCCAGCAATGTAACCGCCCATGAAACTGATTCCCGTCTGCTGCAGTCCACTGCAGCTGTCCTTCGGTTTACCCAAAGTCTTATAGATGGCATTGACCGTCTCCTCAAAGGTCGCGAACTTGGTCATAGTGTAAGGGATCTGTCGCGCCCAAAGTGGATACAGTCCCTTATACAGACCGCCGAATCCTTCCTGGGCAACGATCTTGCTCCAGCCTTCGCGCATCGTTTGCGCAAAGGGCGGCAGAGTCGTCTGCATGCGCACCTTGATCGCCTCGAAGGGGCAGAGGGCCATGTCTGCGATGAATTCGGCCGATGCACTGGCACCTAGGTATACCACCGTGCGGTTCATGCTGGGGAACATTTGGTCGCCGTATAGATACTTGAAGTACTCGTAGAATCCATATTTACCTGCGCCCTGGAAGGAGTACCCGATGAATGTTGGAGACCAACCAAAGAATACTCCGCGTAGTCCTTCCTTCGCGAAGATAGAGCGCCATGCTGAGATATTCGAGGTGTAGATCTTGGGATCAACCTGACGGCGACACTTGACCAGATCAAGTGGTGTGACAGATGTATGGGTAGGTCCTACGGAGATGATTACAATGTTAGAGTGCGCCTGCAGAGAGCAATATGGTCTATTGAAGCACTTACCACAAGCTGTACACCACGACCAAAGGCAGAAGAAGAGATATGTTAGCATTTGCACTTTCACGTATATGGCAACCATTCGGAAGAAGCCCACCGATAATGCCTCCTAGGGCACAATTAACGAAATATTTGCCTGTATTAGGCTCGATCTTCCCCATGGGAAGGCTGCGTTCCTTGGTAGCCATAGTGGCGGTGGTCTGGTGAAGTCTTGGAAAGATTACGGCAACTGGTGTAACTGAGAAGCGTGGTTACTTGAACGGACCGACAAAGCAAGGCTGAAAAGTGCTGGATTTAGTGCAATGCAGCTGAAAGAAGTATTCTAGGCTGGTAAACAGAATCAATTGACTATGGTGGAGGAAGGGGGGATCGTCCCAAGTTCCCCAAAGATTGTGTAGATATAAAGCAGGGTGGGCCGAGGGGTATTCGGTTAGGCTATATAGAACCTAAGCTAGGACAATGTCGTCAGCAATCACAGCTTATCTCGGGGTCTGGACCAGTAACTGGCTGCCAAAGGACATTGACTTTGGTAGTTCAAGGGTCCGTGAACGGCTAAGCCGGCATGCAGCCCTGAGCTGTACACGCTCCCATCTCGGATGTGGAGTGCCGATGTGCAAAGAGGCTTGATATTCGGCCCGGATTTATGCACCAGGAGTTCTCGACTACGAATGGATTCCCTGTTCGTTTATGTCACAGGTGGACATTCCCACACTGTCCAAAAGTGGAGTCAATATCAATGACGTCATTATATCCGTCTACAGCCGGAGCTTCATCATAACACTGTCTATCATAGAGAGAGAGGCTAGGAACAGGATATATAATTCGAATACACAAGAAGAAAGAAAAAAGGCCCACCACCTTCGCCAATAGTACAGGAATTCGTAAGCATTATACACGGTAATCGTAACCTATATTGACAGGTGCCCACACGACAGGCTTCATGTACAAGCGGTTGACCCCGTCGATGGTACAAAACGGGAAGGGTTAGGGGTCAATGCAGTTGCATTTTGGGACATGCTTCCCTGTTGCGCCAGCATAAGTGCTAGCTTAATGCCCAGCACAGAGCCGACACTGCCCAGGGCGCTTCGCATTTGCTCCGTCTGTGCCGCCGTGCCCATGCCGAAAGTCAGAACATACCATAGCGGCCACAGCATCAGATACCCGTAAAGAGCGCGAACAGGAGGTCGCCCCTCGGTAGAGGTTGAGATTGATTGCCCAAATGTATCGACATCCCCTAACGAAAATGGAATACTCCGACAGGTGTCAGTAGTCATCTCCTGAATCTCCTCCAGCGCCGCATGGCAGTGGACGTCGCAGGCCTGGTTGTCACCGACGAGCGAGGCAAGGGCCTGGCGTAGATCTAGTAGATGTCTTTGGAGGCTAATCCGGGCCGCGCGGTAATATGTCCAAATGGCTGCAATCGATGCATTCTGATAAGTCATGAGCGACCCACCCGTAGCCGTACAGACGACGAGGGGGAGCCAGTGATCCGGCAAATGCTGACTCCAGTTAGCCATCTCCAGAGCTAAGAGACTGCCGGTCTCTATCCATGTAGTGAGTTGTGTAATATTATCTATGTCTAATGACCCCTGGTGGGAAGAACTTTCGGCAAATAGCTGACCAATCTTGGATGCCGTTTGTATTAGCCTAAGTACTGGCTCGGACCCGTCAAGTTGCCCGGCAATCAGTTCTGTACTAATACTACCATGTCGGGGCCGTGTCCGTAGGACTATGCTCTCAATAAGCTACGCAGCTCGTCAGTCTTCTCCGCACATATTCAGGCAAACTAAAACTAACAGTATGTGCATAAGCACAAATGAACAAGTCTCGACCTTGTGCATGGCTTAGTTGGCTTTCACCTCGCATCGTCATCAGAAGCCCGAGTCCTTTTGTATGTGAACTGTAGAGCCCATTTCGTTCTCCGGCGATGTCTTCAAAGAGGGAGAGAATGACCATCGTCGCAAAAGTTTCGTCTTTGACTGCCTGAGACCGTGTGCCCAGTAAGCGTCGAAGCCCATGGAGCGCCAATCCATAGTACCCTCTTGCTTTAAGCAGAAGCGAAGGCGCTTTCACATGGTTGCTTAGCGTAATGAGAGCAGTCGCTTCGGTTGCCAGCTTTAGGCAGGAGGATACCGGATCATCTTGCCTGCTGTCACGACACGTAGCATACAGGGAAGGCAAAAACCCCAGGTGGTTCAAAGACTCATCACTAACACACGTGAACTGATCAAAGAAGTGGCAGACTGCTCGTTCCTCCCATGTGGAGTCGGCGACATGGGGAAGTATTAGCGGCAGTTCCGGACTGCTATGACTGACGGAGGTACTCCGACTGCTGCGCTGGCTATCAGTGGGCGTGATGCTTCTTTTCCTCATCAGCCGTTCCACTTTTTGGGTCTCATTCCGGAAGATCGTATCTGGTCGATATCCTGGACATGGTTGCCCGTATACAGAGCAGTTTCGACATCCGGGCAGCGCTTCATCACACTTTAAGTTGCGCTTAGCTTCGTGGTCCGAATCAAGATGAATGAACCCTTGGATTCCATAGAGTCCAGCCGGGTAAGGAAGGTGAGAATGAGGCTAAGACAGCAAGGTTCTTGTTACAATCCTACCTTAATCTTCCGTTTGCGGCATAAGTAGCATCCCGTGCTCGGCTTCCCTCCATATACCATATTCACGTACTATAACTTGAGTAAGTTCGGCCCGCTGAGTGAACCAAATATAGCAGAAGATAGTAGCAAATGATCCAGTGCTTCCAAGAAGCAAGTAAAACGAAAGAAGCGAAGATGAGAAGGAATAGTAGGAACTTGTTCAAAGTCGGAAAGCCTTTTTCAAGAACCTTGTACCTGCCAGGCCATTGAGCATAATGCGTACAGCTTAACCTAGGATACGAGTATCTGGTCGGTCAGGTGTCTATCTTGGCAAAACTCTGATGTGATGTTACCTCCAACGACAACCCGAACAGTTTAAAAACGCACTATAGTGAGTGCCTCCCATGCCTCTAGCGGGGATGCGGAGAAACCAATGCCACATGGGGCTTAGTCATCACAAAGCTTCATAGTTATCTTAAGTTAGTTACGATGTAACGTAACCGGTAAGCGAGCGGTCACTGCAAGCCAGCGGCCAGCTCTTGTATTCCATACAAATTGGCCCTTCTTAATACTGGAATATCTCAACAACCAGAAGTACTTGAGATATGGAACTTAAAGAGACTAAATAATTATATATAATATACTATATACAAAGTAGATAAGTTAATACAATCGACAGTTTACTTAGTATTCAATATTACAGCTGTATTTTTGACAATCTCGATATAGAGCTTAGAGAAAGTAGAAAAAGAAATTTAAATATAAGCTATAGATTTACTTGGCTACTCTTATATTATATTTTTAGTTTTAAAATTTAACTATTTCTGGTTGAGATATTCCAGTATTAAAAAGGGCCAATTTGTATGGAATACAAGAGCTGGCCGCTGGCTTGCAGTGACCGCCGACTACGTTAGTGAGTTGATGTTGATAATTACTGTAGCGTACAGTACCGAAAACTTCTACCACATACAAAGGAGTAAGTCCCGACGGCAATCGAGTGTACAACCTCGGATCGAACAGGGGATCTCACTCATGACATTACAGTGTGTATATGTTGTTGGGATGGGACCCCATATATTTTCTTCGCTTTTATGTAGTTAGAAGCCACAGATCCCTTTAGATCCCGAATCCATCACCTCCTGAGGCGGATATCATCTAACCTATTATAAAGAATAAAAATAAGTCTTAACAAAACAAATCACGCTGGTACGCCGGCGGTTGCATAAAAGCAGACAATGTCCCACCTGAAACTCCATCTGCGTTGTAGTTCGTGGGGTCGAACAATGGTACGGTTGGAAAGCAAAAGAAACACCAACACCCATAATGCAAATCCTGGCCCGTGATGGCTGTTCAAAACTGATGACTGTATGTTTCGGATGCGACAAGATCCTAGACGCCCTCGGAAACAAAGTAGATACTCTGATTATTACTCTCGGTCATAATAAGGCGGGGGAAGATTATAGGATCGTGCGAACGTCGAATCATGGGAGAAGAGTGTGCTAGGAAGGAGCATCCGCCATTAGTTGATCATCATCGTTGCCCAGGGGTATCGGTGGAGGGTCTGAATGGTACGCTCTCTGCCGGCTATCGTCTTGGGCAGGACGCATCCCAGGTGTACTTGAGGAACTTCGTGGCACGAATTCATCGGTATCTTCTTCCGGAGGAGGAGAGAAAGTCCAAACCTGCAAATAAATGGTCAATCAATCGACCACGAGTTAACCAGATGAAACTCTTACCTCCATGACTGTCCGGCCTGATCTACTCGCCAGGATCACAGCCTTTTCCTCTTCGAAGGCCAACCTCCAAACCGCCTCTGCGGGTGAAGACAATTCCCTGAGTAACTGTCCAGTTTGTAGACTCCATACCTTAACACGGCCGTCACTACCACCGCTGACAATCCGCGAGCTGTCAAACTGAAGGGTTGTCACGCTATTGTCATGGGCCGCTAGCCTGTGGATTGGGGTCATTCTGGTCAGAGACCAAACACGGACAGACCCGTCTGAGCCACCAGTGACGAGTGTGTCACCCCGCATCTGCAGCTGCCCCACTAAAGATGTATGGCCTTGGAGGATAGCATGGCACTGGCCACTTTGCGGGTCCCATACCCGCACACTGGTGTCCAAACTACCGGTAGCGATTCGCCTGCCATCGAAGGCGATTGCATAAATTTGACTAAAATGGCCCGAAAGCGTGCGGAGACATCGCCCCTCGGAGATACTCCAAATGCGTGCAGTGGTATCATAGCTTCCAGAAACAACTATATCCCCATGAATCGCTAGGCACCGGACACTAGCCTGATGTCCAACCAGGACATTTCTACAAGTTCCTGAAGCCAGATCCCATATCCGCAGCGTGGTATCTCTAGACCCCGAGATAGCCGTATTCTTGTCAGACATTTTTAAACAGCGCACAGTTGACGTGTGACCACGCAATAGATAGATACCGGCTCTGTTTCACATGCAAAGTCAGTATCTCTGCCCTTGAATGCCAATGTGAAGGACTCGGCTTACCCAGTAGCCATGTTCCAGACACGGACATCGCGGTCACAGCCACCGCTCACCAGTATGTCATCCCAGGGTACTATGGCCCATACGCCCATCACATGACCGTGAAGCGTCTTCTGATTACCCCCATTGGCGTCATAGACATGAATCTTAGAGTTGTCTAAAGCAACCACAATGTACTTGGGCGTGAGATGCAGGCTCGTAACGACTCCCTGATCGGGCAGGATATGCCGTTGGGTGCATCGCCCGCCTTTGTTCCAGGCGGATTCCACCATATATTTCTGTTTGAAATGGGTCCTGTATGACAAAGGCCGGACTCTCCGCTTTCGTGACGACAAACTTGCTGACGCAAGCCAGTCCCCCGACAGTGAGCGAGTCAAACCGGGGTGGCCATCCCGAGACTGATAGCTGGAAGTGAGCGAACTCCTCGACCCAGCCAGGGAGTTTGTGCTGGAGACGGTATGCATGTGGTCTACGGAATCCCGGTCATCCTCCGAAGACTTACGAGATGCATACGCATGCTTCTCGCAGAGGTTTTTCCATGTGATGTCATCGTTCAATAGTTCCCGCCACCGCCTCGATACCTGAGATGCTCTTGCTAATGTCTTCGGATCATCGATGAACGAAAGTACCTAGGCGAAGCGACGGAGGAGAAAACGCCAAAAGTCAGCGGAGATCGCGAGTTGCCACACGCCAGTAGCCGCACGGCCGAAAGTCCATATTACATACCCGCAAGCATAACTCAGTCGGAAAGACCAGAAACGGGTCCTTTCTCAGGCGAGGACTGACGTAACTAGAGACAAAACTGAGATGTTGGCTATCACATAAACTAAGAATACCCTCCAAGAACTTCTGCCTTTTAAAGCTGGACAGGGAACTGAAATGAATCCTGGCATTTAAAAGGAAAGCGTCATCGTCTTCATCGGCCGACAGCCATGTCGGAGGTCTCTGCTGAGGGGTGGGACTAGGAGCAGGGGTAGGCGGCGATGCGGGTGCTGAAGGGAGAAGATTTGGGGGGATCGACGTGATAGTTTTGTTCGAGGATAACGACCTCGAATGGGCACTCGAAAGCGAAGCGACCGAATCCGTGGCCGAACACGTTCGGGTATGGGCTGTCGCCGGCTGTTCAGGGACACTCCGCGGACTCATCCCGTTGGCGAACCGAGTCGAAAAAGAACGTCCCGAGGTGTGAGGAAGTGGCGCGCTGTAGGGCGGTTATATCATCCACCAGACACTACCCAACCTTCACGAATATCGATCTCGCCTCACACAAATGCCTCCGGACTCTGTGTCGTTCATAGATCAAGAAAGGAAGAGCGAGTGTATTAGGGAGATATAGAGAATGTATGGGAACGAGGAAGGGGGGTATAAAGAAAGAAAACCAATATTATAGGAAAGTAATACGATGTTGCGCCGGTTAGGTGAAGGAGCAGGAAAATAGTGATATAATAAGCGGACGATCTCCGACGGTCGGATTGGGAAAGTGACTGGCGATAGCCCGGAAATAGGGGGAAGAGGAATAGAATAAGGGAAGAGAAGACGGAAGAAAGAGGGAAAGGCGACACAGGTTGACTGGGGATGAGAAATGGTTGTGGAAAGAACTACATACGACCTTGAACGTCTCTCCAGGCCATCCAGATGCCAGCAGTCGGGTCCTCACCAGACAAGCAAGCGGAGAAAGAACAAGACTGACGAGTACCTAATTTAATCTCGAATAATCATGCAATGTCGTGACTCGTTGATGGGGTTCGTCAGGTGCGGTCATTGGAAAGCAGACCCGCCAAGCAGTCGACGCTTCTGATTAGTGCCTTGTTGATCCACTTTCCGTACATGTACTTGATGAATGTACGGAGTACGGGGGAAAGGAAAAAAAAGACCTCGTGGGTATGATGATAGGTATGTGTCAACGGGCAAAGTATCTTCGACTGGCATTCAAACCGTCAGACGGATTGCGTGTCTGTGTCTGGGTTCCTGTGTATTCTTTTTTTCTCTTCTTCTGTTTTTTTTTTCTTTTTCTTTAATGCGGTCCCACTGGAATTCTCTCTTTTTGTTCAAACACTTATTCTCAGTTATCGCTCCACCCGTACCAATTGGGAGCATGTAACCTTATGTTAGGTTGTGAAGAATTTGCGGAGGAGCACCTTCTGAGTAGTTTGAGGATACTGCTACCTAAGCAGTAGGTACTAACCAATCCTGTATGGTAGGGATCAACTGAGGACGGTGTCGGTTGGACAAGGCGAAAAGAGGAAAAAGACAATGGATGGTGAGGGAAAGAAGCAATAAAAAGGAAGGAAAATATGAAAAGCAGGAACAGTCAGCAAATTTACATTCAACAAGCCCTCTTTGTTTGGGTACAAATATGCCCAGTGGCCAGAGTTCTCTCTTGCCCACTCAATCCCACTACGTTTTGGTAACTGACACACAAAGGAGCAATAACTTAACCTTTTCGGATCGACTAGTCGTGTCCCAGATTCTACTTGCCCCAAGTCCTTGGGTAAGCGAACGGCATGCAGCGTCCGACCATGGACCTGTGTAGATCCAAGGTATGTCAGACTTGACAAATTGTTGCATCACCAGTCAATTACCGGTCTAGGCGAAGTCGGGGCAATTGGGATTGTCTACACGCTTGGTTCCCCCCCCCCCCCAGGCTTTATATAACTGCTTAACTCCAGGTCTACGTCAATCTGATCCCGGTCAGAGCATGCAATGATGACCGAGATGGTCACAAGCAAATCAATAATACAATAGGCAGAAACGTCTAAAAAGGGATCCAGTCGCGTGGTCTAGGCCGGGCACGGTTGTACGGCACCCAGCGGCGCAGAACTTTGAAGCAGCAAGAGCAATACAGCCTTCCAATACATATAACAAGAGAATACATGAATCGCAGCATATACGAGAGCCATGAAGCAGTAGATAGACAGACATGCCCCGTCACCAGAAGACTTCCAAGTCTATATTCCCAATCTGAACGCTAAGTTTCCATGCAAATGCAAACAAACATTTTACCGTGGGTATGAAGCTGAGTATGTGATCGCTAGAATCTGTGGAAAGGTCCAGTCTAGTAGTAAGGATAGTAGATGACCGTGAAAAAAGATGTCAGTGGGCATGGCCGAGTTGCAGAAACAGCGGCAAAATCATGCCGACAACAGAAGCAATCAAATCCCTCATGGATTTGTTGGACTTGGACGGAAGGTCTCTTGAGTCGCCATATCCGTTCCCTTGTGTCTCACGCGAGACAGCACTTGGATTGTTCTCTTGCATTGTGTGCATGGCTACGTACCTGCGAAAAGACCATTAGTCATCGTATATTCTTAGGTAATCTGGGTTATGGAAGGCTCACAAGAATGTACCGGCCGAAAACAACAGAAGGACCCCAGTTCTCCACTGAGTAGCAGTCAAGTCATTGCTAGACCCTGAGCCCATTACTTGCACAAATAAGAAAGTCGCCAACGCGCCCAAGGGCGCCGCCAGGCTAAAGACCAGTAAATGCGCTCTCGCAGCGCGGCTGGAGAGACCCTGCTTCAACAAGACTGACGTAAGACCAAAAGATGCTGGGGCCTTATGGACCATGATAGCGAGGAATATAATGAAGCTTAGGCCAGTATCGGAACTCGACGCTCCCAGAGCGATTCCGTCAGCAGCCGCATGGATAACAAGCCCGGTGGTTGTTGCGAAGCTGTGGCTGCTCCTGGGGCTATTTCCAGCATCCAGCAGCCCCCCTTCCCGTGAGGGGGATGAATTGCGACGCAATCCGGAGCCTAGGTTATCGAGAGAAATATGATATGGCGTCCGTTGCTGTTTGGCCGGCGCTGCGAATTCCGGGAGCTTGTCGATGAGATACATGAGGATAAAACCGCTAATGAGTGCGATCCCAATCCAGGCATGTGGCGAGCTCCCTTCGTCATCGTGTGTATTCTTCTTCTCTTCATCTGATGCCTCCTCTCCTTTCTCCCCACGGCGTGTGACATATGGCGTGGAGTCGGAAGTGGGCGATAGTGTAGATTTATCCGCGAAAGAGGATACAGGGACATCAACCGAGTTAATTTCTGCAGGAGTATGGATCATAGCAGTAGCGACGGTCGGGATATTCCGGTTTTGCCAGGTCACCGCCCCGGTCGAACGACTGCTGAGTGCTTTTCGGTCAATAGGTAAGTTTGCGCTGTATAGAGTTTCTACCCCCTCCGGGATAATCACAATCAAGGATGTCCCGACCAAGACTCCCATGCCAAGGGATGATATCAGTCGCAACTGGGAGGAAGAAAGCGTGAATGCAAGTGGTAACGAGCCCACAACGAAAGATCTATGCGAGATGGGCCTGTTAGTTTGCGAGCACTCACATAGTGGGGCAATCAAAGGGAATAAACTCACGTAACTGCCATCACAATGCTCAATGCGAGCAAAGTGAAAAGTCCCTCCATGGTCGGCCTCTTTATTCCAGAGCTGTGTCTCGGATTCTCTAGAGGACTTCAATCATGATGCCAATTGCGGAATAACTGAGGCTGTTGCTGTTTCCCGCACACACCTTTCTAACGCCCTTGCTCGGCCAATGTGTGGTATGGTGGGACGGGCAACACAATACGGCGAATAAGTTGGAGAATAAGAAGAATCGGCGCAACAAACAATCCCTTCGGCGATAGCGTCAAGGTCGGGCTGAAGACGTGGCGTGTGGTTGGAGAGATTGCGATCCGCCGCAGTTGGAAAAGGAACCGCGGGAAGACCCACAGCACCAGGGGACTGACCGGAATCAAGTGAAATAAATAGATCGAATGTAAAACAACAGTGGATAATATACCGAACATTGAGAGCTAGCACCTCCTGAGCTTGTTTCTATAAAAGTTTCTACAGGGCTCATGGGTGTCTACCGAAAATGTTCCTAATTCCGATGCACGTTCCTCTACCGCAATTAATTTTTGATTTTTTCTTCCTAACCTTAAGGCCGTAAGGCAAAGCGTCGCCTGCCGCATTCATTGTTTCGTGATGCTTGCGGAGGAAAAATATTTTGACAGTCTCAAAGTAGGTTAGTACCTGTTCTTGGTTGCAACGCTCTCAATCTCCTCGACAATGACGATCATCTTTTACGTCTATCTCTTGTACGTTTAGTGCTTCTTGGAAAAATGAAGCAGAGGCCCGCATTAAGATAGTTGAGCTTGACACCATATGCTAGTAGGTATATGAGCTAGCAAGCAATTCATTCAAGCATAAGATCAAAAGCTCGTTAGTGATCAATTGACCTGGAAACTGCTGTGCTGCGGCTGCAACTTTCTAGAGGGATTATATACGCTATATGTTTCAGACGAAGCTAATATTTGGAGAGCGTGCAAACCAACACATGAACTGCTTTCCATCGTCGGGGCTATCCAAACACAACCACTAACACTAGGGCTACAGTAGATATCTTCAGAGGCTTCTCAGTATAAACCACGAAAGGGCAAAGTTGATATAAAACACTTACCACAAAGAATAATAACGCAACCTTGATACTCTCTGGGTTCCATATATAGCACTTTCTCCGCTGAAGCAACCTTTGCTGCTTAAAATACCGCACAGCACCCACCAGCTGGATATATATAGCAAATGCAAGCGATAGGCAAGCCAGTACTTTCCCAGCCACGACAGAATCATGATGAAGGATGAACAGCTGAGCTGCGACGATCGCAAACGAAGCAAGTGCATTTGCCGTACGAACATACGCTAGGAATGTTCTTTCAAGGGCTGTACTTATTGGTCAGTAAAGTGGAAATCAAGCTGCTGTATCTTTTCGAAACGGCATACCAAGGAAGTCTCTCGGGTCTCCATCTTCGGCGGCTACTTCCGGGCGGATATTGGTCAACCACCACTTGCGCAAGCGATCTCTTTTCTGCATTGTATGAATTCCGTCACTACAGTCTAGCACTTTTGAATCTTCTCGTGAGACGTCATTGACAACCTTCCTGCGTGGTGATGTATTATCCAACTCAATACTATCCATTTAACAGCGAAAGGGGAATCCTTCTGAATCATAGGTTATCGGGATCAGGCCCACAGGTAACAGCCATGCCGCCCTTCAGACCTGCAGATGGAGAGATTGTGGAGGTTGATGTTTATTTAAACTGCCGGGGAGAAACAAATACAGAACTTGGAAGGCCGCCTACGCGCAAGCCGTTCCCCACCTCCTATCCGCCCAATGGTAGGGAACGATAATAATCGCATTGTACATGTATGAAGGAAAATATTAAAATAGCCCTAAGTCAATCGTCTGGATAATTCTTTAGTGGTGTAAACGTAAAATAACAGAGTAAGGGCAGGTACTATATGGTTTACAGAACTATTCCTTGCATGTTACATCAGCAAGTGTCCATTTCAATGTAAGTTGCACTCGACGTATAGCTGCATAAACTGGTATTTTTACTTCACCTGCATGAAGCAAATGACACTGTGCTTTGTTCGACAACCTCTTCAAACGCTTCCACTAGTATGCGCCGAATGACGTCATATTCGCATTGGGCTTTGAGACTTGTGCTACATTATCCTAGCCGAGTCTCTCATGGCTACATCATGCCCGTACTTCTTGGTCTGTATCGCCACAAAGTCCTTCAGCCTTTCTTCTTTTTCGCGGACTTGTCCTGGCGTCAGGGTCCCATAAGCTTCGTTGACCTGCGAGATCACCTTGTCCTTCCAACTTGTCTCCTCACTTCCTAGCACATTTACTTTGCCCAAGTCATCCCACACTACCTGCATAGTGCCACCTAGTTTGTCCAGAAAGGCCTGGATCCCACCTTCACCACCTCCTTGCTGATAGCTTTCGAACACACCATTGCCCGCCCACCTTGGCCCTAAACTAGCCATTAGGATTGTGTCGAGATCTTTTGCGCTCACGACGTCTTCTTGTACTAAATAGCATGCCTCTCGTAGTAGCGCAAATGCCAGACGGTTCCCCACAAACCCTGATATCTCCTTTTGAAGTACCACAGGTCGATGCTTCGAACCAGGAACGGAGAAATACTCGCGCGCAAACTCCACCTGCTCTGGCGACGTATCAGGTGAGGGTACAATCTCTAGTAGTGGCATGATATGCGGTGGATTGAAAGGATGCACAACAAGCAAGCGAGTTTTGTCGTTCATCTTTTGTTGCTGGGCGGATGCGGCAATACCAGACGTACTGGTCCAGAAGTGCGCAGATGGTGGGGCCAATGATTCAACTTGAGCCCAAAGGGTCTGCTTGAATTCGAGGTTTTCGGGTCCTTGCTCTTGAACGATTGTGGCAGACGCACAGGCGGTTTCTAGTGAGGTGTGGATATGTAAACGGCCGGAGGCAATCAATGAAGCCACTGCTGCTGATGGGCCTTGATCCAGGAAATTTGGCAAAGTGCTGAGAAGGTACTGGTCGAAATCTGGTCTTGTGTCGAATACGTCGACTGTCACATTCTCACGAGACAAGTGCAACGCGGCCATGGACATGCCAATGGTTCCCAAGCCGATCAAGGCGATCCTCTGCGGGTCAGTGACCGACATTGTTCCGCGAGTATGATAGAGCTCTTGATCTGTGCTGGTTCAGTCCGATTCAGTGCGCAAACTACACCCACAATGGTAAAATGAACCCCGGAGTGGTTAGAACTGGGTGGACCTCCGGGTCTCATAACAAGTACCGAGTATAGTCGAAATCCCTAGTCTCCCCGCTATTGACGGCGGCCCGTAGCCGCCTTGTATGGGGTACCACTACCCATACAGCCGAGGTCAACCGCTGCACATAAACAACTTAAGTACTACTACTAGTAGTAAATGGTTGACCATTGGGTCATACTAACTAGCCCCGTCAATGATAGGTCAGTCAGTGTCTTTGACTTGCTTTCCTAACAAAAACTATTGTAGAAGTACTGATCGTATCCTCAATGAGCATACAAAGTTGAGACGACCTATACTTCTTGGTGTTCATCATAGCCGGTTTGTTTCGGATAAGTACATATTCAACAATATTTTTATGTTAGCATGATTGTGTTAGGATTGACTCTCGAATCTCGCTGCGAGCAAGTGTGAGACACGAACTTCGGAGAATGGGGAATTGTGTTGAAGTCATACCTCCAGAGTGTCTCTCTCCAAAGGAGCTAAACCCGAAACGGTTATACCTGAGGTTCGCGCAACGCGATTCAACACGCGCCGTCATCAGAAAGAGACTGACTTCATTCAGCTACCACCCTCAAACTAAGGATTTATTACTTTCTCTTTTCCTAGGCAATATGGCGAGCGAAGGCGACTGTAATTATTCCTCTCATGCCTCGCCCTATCCGATAATTTAAGCTCCAGTCCAGCTGACAAGAATCATGTCGTTTAGGGACCTGCGACGCTAATGACGCCGTCCAGATCACTCTTGTCCAGCCTGGTGAACAAAAACCGAAGACGCTCTCTAGCTTCCATCCTCAGTTTACTTACCCAATTTTTGGCGATGATGAAACAATTTTCGGATACAAGGGATTGATCATCCGTCTACGATTCGCTGCTCATGACCTCCGTCCGCATATGCATATTTCCTACGATGAAAAGTTTAAGACCGTGGGCGACACCTCAGCAGTTGACTTGCTCAAGACATTGAACCCATTTATCCCGGAAGGTCAGTATATAGTCTGGAGTCAGGTGAAGCCACTGTATCATCGTTGACGAACGTGCGAACCTGCAGAGGCATTCTCCACGCTTCCTGATTATGAAAACGCCGTCCAAGAAGACAAAGATGCGAAGGACTTTGTACCGCCAGGAAAGCTTGTCCATAACTATGTCACTCGAGGACGAACATATGAGATCTGGGCGGGGTCTCTCGCTGATCCTCAGGTGCGGCGGCTGTTGGACCGGGCTCAGGTGTTCGTGTCACTATTCATCGAGGCTGGAACACCCCTAGAAACGGAGGATCCCGAATGGACCCTTGAGCGCTGGACGGTCTACTTCGTGTATGAGAATCCTTTCTTGTCTGAGAAGACATTTCTGAGTATGGCTGACAACAACCCGATGATCGCAGGTACGAGAAAGTGAAGCCTCCTACCCACAATGCTTCACAATATTCCATCGTCGGATATGCAACAACATATCGCTGGTGGTTTTACCAGAGGGATTCTCCAGAGAAAGCCTCGGTCACGAATGACCCTTTCCCAGGCCCCGAGATTCGACCTGCACAGCTACCAGCCCGACTGCGGATTGCCCAGTTCCTGATCCTCCCTCCACACCAAGCTCGGGACATGGTACCCATCTGTATACGACCATCCATACCGCTTGCTTCAATGATTCGACAATTATCGAGTTGACGGTCGAAGACCCCAATGAAGCATTTGACGCGCTTCGCGATACCGCAGATTTCCACATCCTGCGCCCAGAATTCCTTAAACACAACGTGAATATCAATCCCGACCCCTACGCAGCACTCCCTAAGACACAGCGCCCTCGTCGTGTCCCAACATCTGCCCTCATCCCCACAAAGCTTCTCCACGATATCCGTTCCACTTATAAGATCGCCTCAACACAGTTTGCTCATGTCTTGGAGATGTTTCTCCTGGGCGAGATTCCCATCAAGAATCGTCATGCTGGTGGCGCAAATATGTCACGTCTATTGATAAAGAAACATAATGCTGCGGATCCGAATGAGAGGCGGTATTATTGGTGGCGCATGCTAGTTAAGCAACGTCTCTTCAAGCGCTCTCGTGATATTCTCATCCAGCTAGAGATGAGCGACCGTATCGAGAAACTTGAGGAAACAGTGACCAACGTGGAGGAAGGATACGAAGCATTAATCAAGGTCTTCACTGCCAGAGAGGAGGCTCTAATGGCTAAGCAAGAGGAGTCTGGTGAATCGCCTGAAACTGCAGCTTCAGAAGACTCAGCCACGAGTTCCGGTGATACTCCCGCCAGGGATCAGCGCGCTAAGAGAAAGTTCACATTAGAGGATGAGGATGAGGAGGAAGAGGGTGAACCGGAAGCTTCCAAGCGTCCGAAGGTGTAAATTACGAACTGCTTTCCCTATTCGGGTTTCCAAAGTTGGCGCATCTGGCTTAAATTGTCCGAAGGAAACTTCGATAAATGTAATATCAGCGCTCACGAGTTGTCAAATCTATGCTATCATTTGTATATTGTTTCTACTAATGAATGGCATCATTCACGGTAGCTGGGTGGATCAGGGGCTATAGCTTCCAGTATGTCTACAGTCATAGATGAAGTAGTATCCAGGCTCATCAGACTTCTCATTCTTAACGATATAGCCATTGAGAGACCAGTTGTCGATGGCGCTATCGTGTTCGGTGTTGTGCTTCGTACGCCGAGATGTCCGGCGACCTTAGGATTCATCTTCTTTCTGGAAGGGCGCTTCTCCTGTGCTGCGGTTTGGTTGTCCAGCAAGCTCGCCGACGTATTCAAGTGCTCGCCTGAAATCCTGTAGCCCAACCTGCATGAGCCCTGGCTTAGGGTATGGACTAGAGCCGGTTTCAGTGGATGGCAGGGTCGGCTTCGGTTGTCGGGAGGTTATGGCTAAGTGACGGAGTTCAAGTCGGGTCCCTGAGTTCTTCCTTCCCACCATTGTTGCCATCTGACCCTCCGTGCTGCGGACCTATAAGCCAACCGGACACGTCTTTCTTCGCTCCGTGTGGCTCGATCTGCTCGGCATCGACGGCAATACTACTAGTAGTACATGGTATAGTGACGGATTCTGTATATCAGCGCGATTATAAGAACCACAATGATAACTACCAAACAGATTCTGGCAAAACCCTTAGCACTGAATTGAGGTGAGATATTTGGCTCTCAAATAGGCGCAACCTGCTCGGGGGTAACAAAATAGAATGATCTGACCACAGAGGGCTGTGTAAATCTTAATGGGATGTATCGCTCGGTCCTATATATTGTACTGCCTCCGGCGGTTGGGTTGTCTCTTCCGTATATTGACTACATACGAAGTGCCAGGACCATGATCCAGGGAACGGACCAAATCTGTATCTTATTCCGCGGATCGCAGCAGGGATATACATGAAGCGGAGGTTGACCTTACACCAAGACTTCTGCAGTTTCTCCAGTTTGCCTGGAAATCAGTGCTATCATGGAGTAATGTCTTGCGAATATCTTGCCCTTCCTGGTTTATTTCTTGCTGTGAATGGGCCTAACGCCATTCAGGATCTTCTTTTAATTGATCTTCATTGGCATGGCTAGTGTCCGGCTGGGCTTCTGGGCATATGTATACCTCAAAGTCCATACAATAGTCTATAAGCGTGATATCAACTACTGGTGTCTATGGTTCAGTAAGCAGGTAAAGGATTTCTGGTCGTTCAGCTAGCGTATACAAGACAGTAAAGCCGAAGACATCTTGAGCATCAAGGCCGTCGACATGGTCAATCTGGACTGTCAGAAATTGACAGATTGGCTCCTCTGACGAGTCTCCAGAAGAGATACAAGCGCTTTTGCCAATTAGCAGCTAGTACTCCATCGTAAATATCGAGAAGTGACGGGATTACCCCGGATCCGTGGTCATGGATATCATTCCAGACCTGAGTCAACTCAATTCCATGAAGAGATAGACCCGTCCCATCACAAGCTTGATTCGCTACATAGACGTGCAGCTCAAGCGGCTAGCCTAAGGGCTGGAGTATTTACTACTAGTAGTTGACGGATCTCGGACTTGCTTTTCTCCGGATCTCCAGGTTGCGATCACCGCCGCCGCTGGAAGCTCGTGCGGAGCTTCTTGGTTATCGAATTCAACACACTGAGGGCCCGCTCTTCCCCTCAAAAACGCTTTGTTTCATACTTGTCGCTATTATTCGGTGTCGCTTTATTGGTGGATACCTGATTCTGCTAAGAGCAACTGTATCTAAGCCATCGCCCGCTTCACTTTCGGATATCAGCCAACCTTTCATATCACCCACACCGATAAATTTGCGAAATGGTATTTACCCGCCACGCTAAAGCTGACCAGCTTGGTCTTCTTATTTGCGATTGCTGACGGTATACTACCCATAGTTACCCTTAGGACTGCTCACGGCCGCCCAAGGCCATCCAATGCTCGTGGAACTTAAGAACGGCGAAACACTGAACGGACATCTTGCCAATTGCGATAACTGGATGAACTTAATACTCAAAGAGGTTGTTCAGACTAGTCCAGAGGGTGATCGGTTCTTTAGGCTGCCGGAAGTCTATATCAGAGGAAACAACGTAGGTTGTCTAAGGCGCAAGTGGTTTTGGCGAGTACTAATGTGTGTTAGATCAAATATCTACGGATCCCTGAAGAGATTATAGAGATGGTCAAGGAACAACAGCAGAACCAGCCTTCGAACCGCAATCGTGGTGGACACTCTCACCGGGGCGACAGAGGTGATCGGGGTGGTCGTGGTGGACGTGGTCGTGGCCGCGGCCGCGGCCGAGGTGGCAGCTAAAGATATGTCTAAAGCGTGATAACAAGTGATGCGAGAGAAAGATAGATACCCCGAGGAGATGATGTAGGTAATTCATGAGGTCCGTTGGGCGGGTTAGTCGAGCATGATCCTGGCGTATCTGGCTCTGTTTTTTTTTTTTCAATGGGAAATGTGCCATATGAACCGCTTTTTTATTTCCTACCGGATAGCTTCTCTATATAGAGTCCAACCAATGAATACTTGGAAAGCCATCGTACTGATTTGGGTTACTCAGCTACTATGCTGGCCTCACTTCGTCCATTATCGTATCCAGTCATGGTAGCCGATGTCACGTGATGATATGGTTCTTTTTGACATGGGAATTTAGATGGGAAGGCCGACGTTTCTGGTTACCCAGAGGGTCGACATGCCACGGCAGACACTTATTGCAGATGGACTTTGGTATTGCCTCTGTCCATCATTCAGCCTCAACACCTTCAAGCGCCCCGGTATCCCTCTTATAAAGGGTAAACGAGCTCCTAAACCCGGTCAATATACGGCTTTCTTAGCGGGCCCTGTGTCAACATCGCGAAAATGTTTGAGCAGTGCTTCTATTCGAAAGGTTGGTGGAATTGATCCGCCAAAGGAGGATGGGTCTTTGGGAGATGGATATAGCGAACCAACGAACCAGCACACAGCCCCGAATCAATTGGATGTGAACCACAAGCAGCTTGGGCAAGATGCTGGCACATCGCTGAAAGAGGAGATCTCTGGCACAGAGTATACCCACAAGCGCCCACCTGGAGTTCCCAAAACTCTTGAACACAAACCGACATCATTTTTGGAGCAGAAGCTTCAAGAGCTCACGACCTCAGCCCCAAGGGTCCTAAGCACGAGCCAGATATTGCGCATTCTGATCAGAGATCGTCATGTACGCCCCGAGGTACGGCACTATAGGGCACTATTACGCGCCAATTCTGATGCAGAGCGTGGATCGCCAGAAGTAGTTCGAAAGTTACTAGCAGAGATGGAGGCGAATGGATTTACACTGGATTCTGGAACGCTGCATACAGCTTTACAGGTATGCAGCCTACAGTGGTTTTCTTCCTTACACTTTGCAGGATCTTTTTGGCTGATAATCCTTCTCATTAATAGGCTATCGCAGTTCATCCGGACTATATACTACGCCAGGAAATTGTGCGTACCCTTCGAGACCGATGGCTTCCATTGAGCCCGGATGGTTGGCATTATGTGGTGGCTGGCCTTGTGAGGGAGCATCAATTCGAGTTAGCCCTGGATCATATTGCGCACATGGAGAGAAAGGACATGCCGGTTGAGAGTTGGTTGCACAGTATGCTCATCTACCACCTCTGCGAATTTGAGGAGTTTGACGAGGTGGTGCGGTTGATGCGTTCGCGGGTTGATCAGGGGTATGACATGACGACAGACCTGTGGCTTTACGTACTAGATGTGGCGAGTGCTGCCGTTCACCATGAGACCACACGCTTCGTGTGGGATCAAATGGTTGAACTGAGGTATCTTTACCCATCATACGGAGTCTGCAGTAATGTATTGACAGTGGCGTCCCGCACAGGGGATACTGAGCTTGCTGGGTCGGTCGCTCGCTTTCTGACCGAAGCCGACGTACCTCTTAGTGTGGAAGACTACGAAAAGATTACCGAGGCCCATGTGATCTCTGGAAACCTTTACGCTGGGTTTGAAGTGCTTTGCGAAATGCATAAAGCCAATATTGCGTTGGAGTCAAGCTCAACTGCCGCCATTCTAACCTACATGATACAATCAAGAACCAATCCACGTGAGGCGTGGTCTATGCTCAAGCAACTCAAAGCTTTGAAATATGAAATTCCCCTTCGTTGCGCTCTAGTAGTGCTCGAGATGTGCGAGCACGAAGCTATTAACGATCCCTTCGTGGTGGACGATGGGCTTGCACTTTACAAGCAACTCTATGCGTTGTGTTCGGAGAAGGCGGATGTCTCGGTCTACAACTCCCTTATTGGCATGTGCCGCCGGGCTAAAAATACCGATGCCGGCATGTTTGTTGTGAAGGAAATGGCCACACTGGGTGTGGTACCGAACGCCACGACATTCGAGCATCTCATCATCATGTGTTTAGATGCTGGTAACTTTGAATCGGCATACATGTACTTCCAGGATCTGCTGGCACGAGATGCATCCCCCAGCGAAGATGCGCGAGCTGAGATCCGAGATCTCTGTACCGGTTCGAGCGACCAGTATGCTGTTCAATTGAGGTATCACCCGCAGATCAGGGATGCGTTAGTGCGCAGACAAGCGGATGGCTTTGATCCCACACAAGTCCGCGCAGGTCTCATCAAGAAGGTGCCGTCTGATTCACCCCCGGAATACGCCAATCGTTTTAGACAGGGGCCGCGGAGGACCATAAGCAAAGAGGAGCGACGGGCTGAAAGCAAAGAGAAACGGAAACAGAAAAGAAGACGGCTAGCTATTGCAAGGGCCCGAGAGGAAGAAGGATGGGAGGATTACGAGCCCGGCGGACTAATCCCCGAGGATCAGGTCAAGGCCGATGTAAATTCGCCATCCAGTTGAACTGGGTGTCGTTACATTGTACAATATATTTGCTGCCACTGTAGTTTAGTGTACGTATATTAACGGTAGCTTTGAGGTTTAAAAATCATCCATGATGGATGTGACAGATCAGAGATTTGACGTCAATGGCCACCTGACGTTGAGGCAATCGTAAGGCCAACGTCCGCGGAGAGCATCGACAACGACCTGATGCAGGAAAAATCAAACGCTGCAAAGTAACAGTACCACATCTCTATGCATGGACCCTCGAGAAGCACACCAGGAATGTTTCTCATCTCATCCAGCCGAAAGAGTTCACACTGAGACCCCCAATGCAACACCAAACCGACCCTCAAACCATCGTCGGGTTTATTTTATCTCGGAGCCAAGAGTCTGATGTTTGGGATCCAAGTTAGTCGGTCCCACTGGGAGAAGTCTTAGGTTGAACTACGGTTCGAACGGTTCCAGTTCCGTTCCATGCGTTCCGTGATTAGCTATCTCCTTACAGTACGGATACAATGTTCATCGGTGGTTCTATAAATAATTGACCTCGCTACAGCACGGAGGTATCGAGATTGCGATCGTCCACCGAACGATGGCTGGCACACACTGCATCAGCTCTTGCATCGCGGAGGATAGTCATATACAGATTTACTATAGGGACGTGGGCACAAGATCGAGATATTATTCCGGTTGCATTGATATTTAATATATAACCAGCCCCGCGGTACCTGCCACCTCACCCCTAGCATGAACGGGGTTACACTCATGACGAAGGGATGATGCCGATGCCGCTACGATATCCTCTACTTTGCCTCTCATGAGATGGAGGTTTCAGGTTTCTCCGTACGGAGTAGTCCGGCAAAATCTTTGCACTGAAGTTAGTGATCGACAGGATGCTAGTTTGGTGGTTCACTTTGGTCGAAGTGCTCCACAGCCGGTCGGGTCTTCGCTTTCTCGGGGTCGAATGGCTCCTGCGCCCGACCTCCATTCATCCATTGGTACTACTAAAAAGCACGGCGACCCTCTGATATGGTTGATGGTTTGGACCTTGCATTCACGACCTGAACATCTACTTCCCCCTACAACTAGTTGTTCAATCTCTATATAAGCACATCCGTTGCCCTTCTGATCTCTACCTCCAAAAGTCTATTTGCTACCTATATACTATATACTCTCTTCATACTCAGCCAACTTACCTATTGTATATCCACCATGCAACTTTCTTCGCTCTTCACGGTCGTTCTTGCTTCTCTCAACTTTGCCTCTGCCTTACCTCTCCATCGCCTCAACACCAGTCCAGCTCTGTCCTGGCACGTCGCCAACTTCAACACTGGCTGCTCCCCAGGCGGCTGCGTGTATAACTTCAATATTACTGGCGTCGCGAGCCCGAACACTCCCGGATTCCAAACCCATTGCTCGGGTACCAATGTCCAAGATGATTACGCTTTCTGTGATGACAAGCACGTGAAGGCGAAGGTGGTATCTCAACTATACCCCGTGTGGACGGTCCATGTACAACACGCCTGGTTCCAAGGCGAGGCCGAGTTCTATGCTCTTGGCCATGCAAACGTCACATCTACTCAAAAGAACTTCACTATCCCTGTGACTGAGGTCTATGGAGTCGCATGAATCCGGAATTTATTAGGTGATCAGCCCTGACTAGGCCGTGTGAGAACTCGAAAAAGGGGGGGACGATTATCATTTCGATCCGCTATGGTTGACAGGTTTCACGATCACGAGAATGACCGGATTGAATATGTCCACAATGAAAATGCTACACCAACAAGATAAGAAGGGAAAAGGAACAAAGAATAGGAGCTTCTGGAGTGAAAGCGACATGAAACGTCTTTGTATCATACGGATGACTCGGAGGACATATGAGAGGGTATTATTATAATGTTAATGTCTGGTCTTTAATGGCGGTCACTCATTTATGACATGTTCTATGATGAATAGTTAATTGACGCTCGTTTTGCAAGCAAAAGCATACCAAACCCAAAAGGAGAGTCAGCTGGATGGTTATCTGATTAAGATAAAAGATTAAGGCTTGTTTACTTCCCTGGAATTCTGTGGCTTCCCGTGCCAGTGACATCATATCCCGTTTACAAGTAAATCGCCTCACCCTTTTGAAGGACTGGAGCGGCCATAATTTCCAACTCTCCTTGATAATCCAACGTTCCGCAAGGGCAGGAAAGTCGAAGCAATTTTTTAATTTCCCGTGCCCATAACGTCCAGTGTTTTCCCCAGAGAACCCCTTAAAGCTTATCGGCCGTAGTGTGGAGTCTTGGCACATTCCATCGTGGCGGGTCATTGCAAATGGTCACGAACGTATCGGTCAACATTTTACATCCACACTTTTTTTTCGGGTCCTGCAGTTTAGCGCGAGGAGCTACATTCACTGAGACAGGCCTATAGACCTTGCAGACACACCTGCATACTCAAAGCCAATGGTATGATCACCTCGTCAAGATAAAGCTCCCCGTGCCCACTGCCGAGACTGACATTTGGCGCTTGGCTTCTTGTCCAACGCAGGCGTCGATCCTACGACAAATAGTGGCTGGTCCTAGATTACAGCACCCAGAAGCAGGTCTAGATCTATGCTATGTCACCGATAACCGTGAGTTTTTCACAGTCTTTCCGATAGCACGCTATTCGCTGTCGCTAACGCGTTCTCTTTTCTTCGGTACCATGCAGTGATTGCAACGTCTGGCCCGTCCCCTAGCTATCCGAAGCGCGCCTACAGAAACCCGCTACATGATCTAGTGAAATACCTTGATACCAAACATGGCGAGGATTGGTGTGTCTTTGAGTTCCGGGCTGAGGGGACAGGGTACCCCGATAAAGCTGTCTACGGGAGGATACATCACTACCCATTCCCGGATCACCATCCCCCGCCATTTGCGCTTATCCCCTCACTCATGGGGTGTATGTATAACTGGCTTCATGGGTTAGATAGCAAGGATTCTCAGGGGGAGGCACAGGAGACACGGAAGAGAGTTGCGGTGGTCCACTGCAAGGCTGGTAAGGGACGGAGTGGAACGGTCGCGTGTAGCTATTTGATGGCGCATGAAGGATGGAAGATGGAGGATGCTCTGCAACGGTTTACCGAACGGAGAATGCGGTCTGGGTTTGGCCCTGGAGTGAGTATCCCGAGCCAGCTGCGCTGGGTCGGGTATGTCGATCGCTGGGTGAACCAAATGGGCAAGAAGTACATCGAACGACCGGTGGAGATCCTCGAGCTTCATGTGTGGGGTCTGCGAGATGGCGTCAAGGTTGCAGTGGAAGGCTTCGTCGATGGAGGCAAGAAGATTCAAAACTTTCACCTATTCAAACGCAGTGAACGCATCGTTGTGGACGATGGAAGAGTGAAGATAAATTCTTCACAGAAGACGGACAAAAAGAACGCCAATGGCCAAAAACACGGCATCAAAAATGCCTTCTCATCTGTTGTAGATTCATCAAGTTCATCCAGCTCATCTAGCTCGGCCTCATCCGATGAGGACTCAACTACCCAGAAGGGCACATCGGCCGTCCTCTTCAAGCCGAGCAAGCCCCTCATCCTCCCAACATCCGATATAAACATCGATTTTGAACGAAGAAGCAAAGCTTACAAAGATTGGGCAATGGTGACATCCATTGCGCATGTGTGGTTCAACGCTTACTTCGAAGGAGGCGACAAGCAAGATTCAGGCGTCTTCGAAGCAGAGTGGGACACGTTAGACGGGATTAAGGGCACCTCCAGAAAAGGGGTTAGAGCTCTCGACCGGCTTAAAGTAGTATGGAGATACCCACCTTCGGAACCTGGAACAAAGAAATTGGAGACGGCCCCCACGCCGGGCCAAATCATCACCGAGCCCAAACCCGGCGAACCCATGTTCGAAGGCCATGCTGCTGACTGGCGAGGCCATGACCTGGGAGAGCAGAAAGCTGTACGAGATCAGGAGAACATTCCAACGCGGGCCCCTGACGTCCCAGAGCACCAAAAAGAAACCGAGGATGCAAATCCGATCCTCACAGGCCTCAGTACTGCCACCAGTAGCGCAACTGCCGCTGCTACAACTTCGGTGCAGATGCTAAGTAAGGAGCTAGGGCTGAGAAGACAGACGGACGAGAGCAAAGACGTCAGTCTCGCTGAAAGTGACGACAATGAGTCTGTGCTAGCTCACCGGAAGCAGGAAGGCGATGACGAGAAAAGACAAGCCCTGAGCAGAGCAGAAAGTGAAGACTTCCAAGGCGTACAATCTTACTTTGGAAATGGCGATCAAGACGATGCTACAAGCTCCCTGAAGACCACTAAAGCTTCGTGATGTACCCGTCCTTTGGCATGTAGATAGCATGTGATCTGGATGATATACGAATCTCCTTCTACTCTTTTGTTCTTTCCCCCCTTTTCTATTGAAGCTGCTTATAACCGGTTTCATGGCAATTGCCTTGGGAGATATTTATTTCGGGCCATTATATATATGCTCGTGTACATATAACATACCCCATACAAAAGCTTTATTATGATTAATACTAGAAGGCACAAAGTTGTAACAAATTTCACGACAATTAGATATATACACAACCAGTATTCTAATGCTACTTTAATTGGACGTAAAGGTCTGTTCAAGGACAGAATTAGCACTCAGAAATCTCAAAGAGGCACAAACCCCTCCATCCGTCGTCGGGCCTCTTCCTCCTCCCGTCGTAGTCGGTCAGACTTCTTGCGCTCATAAACGGCCCGGACGACGCGCTTGACTTGTTCCTCGCCTTGAGCGAAATTTGCTTTGGCAAGTCCAACGACCGAGTCGATTTGTTCAGGGCTGTACACAAAATTCCAGGTGGAGAGAAAGTCGTCAATGTCCGGATCAATGGAGCCAGGATGCGGTGTTAGCGGTTTCGCTGGGTCGGTAACATTCACCGAGGACTTTGTCTCCTTCTGTTGCGCGGGGGCTGGGGACCTTTTCAGCGACGAGCTGGGAGGCAGCTCCGGGGCATCTGGGTTCGGGATGAGAGGGAAATATACGACCGCAATACCTGCATCAGGGCGCATCAGGTGGAAATCGGACTCTTTGTGATCTTTATTCCTAGGTTGGAAAAGACGCTTTGATGGCGGTGGTTCTTCATCGGAGACTCTCTCTTGTGTGGTGCCGACCCAGACATTGCAGTAATCTAGATCGGTCTCTCCGTTGCTAGGGTTCTGTCCCGGGTCCGTGGATGGGGTTTGTCCATTGCTCGCAGGGTTTCTGTCGTTGTCTTGAGCTTCCCTGATCTTTGAGTTGAGTTCCGCTTCGGAGATGTTTTGTGCTTCTCGGAGTTTTTCTTCTGCTTCCTTCAACTTTGTATCCGCTTTTGGCCAACCGGCGCCTAATGGCCAGCCTTTGACACCTCGTTGTCGTGCGTACCCGTCGACAACTGAAAGCCAGTTCTCTTGTTTTATGTCAGCTGAAGCATCGAATGCAAGGATGATATCTACATCTCTGCCGGGACGTAATAGTGGATATATGGGTAGGTTGTTGCTCATTCCCGCATCCATTAGCCGCAGATGCGAGCTTCGGAAGATTGACTCAGGACAGGAAGGTGGCAAGACATCCTTCATACCTAGCACAAAGTTCGGTATAGTGGCAGGGTCGATTGGATGAACTCGGACCAGGTCTTTATTTTTCCCTTGGATTAAAGAGTCTATGCCTGAAAACCCAGTAATGCCTCGGACCAGTGGTCGTATCTCCTTGTAGTAATGAGATAAGGTCGCACAGAAAGCGCTCCCCCAAACTCCCATGAGGCCTGGAACACGTAGTTCAGGGATCGGATACTGTCCCTCGGGAATTGAATTGACCCCTCCATTGAAATGCCTTCCCAAAGCCCATGTGGGTATGCCCGCCCCGAGCTCCTCGCAGAAAAATTCATAAGGCGTGAACTCGAACCACTGGAACCACGATTCATCCCGAGCCTCCTTCATCAATGTCTCAGGTGTCGGCTGTTTGTTGGTATGGCCTTCTTCAAGGCTCTCAAGGACTGGGATCTCGTGTCGAACGGCAGTGTAGATAGGAAGTGGGTGAGCCCCATCGGTGAGGTTGTATCTCTGGTTGGATAATTTCAGATCTCGATCTGAGACTCCAAGCTCTCCTTTGGGTACCAGCAATCTCGCGGCTAACAACATCCCATATATATCTACCAGTCCGAAATCTGCCCCAGGGTCGCCTTTTAACTTCTCAACTAACCCACTAAGAAGATATTTATTCGTAGGGGCAGTTGTCAATGCATTGAGAGCCATCGGCGGGAAAGCTATATGTACGCCAAGCCTATGCTTTAGATGGTCCACCAGTTTCTGGAAATTGCGCCCCGTAATGGATGAATGATACAGTGTCTGTAGCCAGCAACTGCCACTGACGCCAGCAGTATACGTCACACAGTCCCACAAGCCAGCTTCTTGCGTAGCCAGGTATGACCCAGTCCCAGCGACAAGCGCTCGCAGCCCACCTCCTGAACCGCACATAGCAATGATAGGGACGTCGTCTGGGTGGATATCCTCTTCAGGGATTCCCAAGTACGATGCAAGTGCTTTCACCCCATGCTCCCTCCTCTTCCGCCTGAACTCCAGCTCCTCACGGCATAGATCGCCTCCCACACGGACTCTTGCATCCCGTAATATTTCCGGATTGATATCCGGGTCGTGAGCCTCCTTCCAGATATCATCTGCAAGGGAACCGGGGGCCATTGAGAGCTCACGCTGGAGCTTTTGCACTGTCGCTGGAAGCAGTCGGGTCCAGTCCGGAATGATATAGTTCTTAAGGCTGTCGATTTCGATCCAGTCGGTTGAACCCACCGTCTGCTTTACCCCGTCGAACTTATGTAGGATGTTAGTCCATATTGAGTTCGGGTCGCCGTGATCAGAGCTGTGTTCAGAGCTCCAGTCCCAAGGGCTTTTTTGTGGGCTAGCAGATGACGACTTTGCGGACCGGTCGTCGACCTGATAGGTCGTCGAAGTGGAAAATTGAGCTGTTTGATCGGTCTGTAGTATTGGGCGTTTGTAGTAACGGGTCTGACCACTAGTGGTGTATAGTGCCCCACTGCCCAAAGCTATCAGGACAGCTGGAGGGACAGTCCAGCGAAGACGCAATGCCTTCGCAGCACCCATGTTGTGACAGGTACCGCGCAGGAGAGGAGAGGCACAGGGCAGCATGCAACCTTTAAAGCCATGGCGAGTGGGCCAGACCACGGCGATCCCTTTCGTAGCATTTTCGACTTTACCCGACTTGCAGGTAGGGTGACATCATATCACGTGCATTCCTCGGCGCAGTAGACGGACCGGCTGCATGCCTCTTTGGGGCTAGCGGTGGTTGCGGAGTGTGAAAAGCAACCTATGAATTGCTGCTGTTGGTCTGGGGAGTAACAAAGCTCCGTCAACCTAATTAATTATGCTCGCTCCATGAGGCCAGGTGCCTCATCGGCCAGCTGTTCAGTTCCTTGGAATCGCCCTTACTTTGGAATATTGCTTTGGCTCCGACCAGAAAGACATGACGTCTTTTGGATAGAACCGCGCTAGTGAAACTGTCATATTTTCGAGTTTCTTGATTGTCTCTCATGATTGTGGGACCTGCCGCTCCAGCACTCCCTGACCATGGTAGCCCCAAGGAACACGGCTTACGCAGAGGAGAGCGCGGAGGTGGAGGTGTTGTATGCCAATCTTGAGAAGCTTAAAGTTCTTACCAAGAAAATCCAAGGTTCCCTTGTCCGCCTTGAGACTGGAGGGAACGTCGTGAAACACGCCATTGGGCCCATCTACAGTAATACCCAATCGCTTCAAATCACCAACAATAACATTGATAAGGTCAACGACGCTATTGACCGTCTGCGCCAACCGCTCGACGCAAAGAGTCGGGAGGAAGGCATCATCCGTTCTGGGTAAGCGAATGTCTTGCTATGTTCTTAAAGTGAACAATCTAGCTAACCCAGTGTCAGGCCGCAAAATGTTGAGTTGTCGCAATATCTTGCAGCAATAAAACGTGTAGAAAAGGCCCTCGTCGACCTAAACTCTACAAACTTGAGATCGAACCAGAAGGCTATTTCTGACTTCAATGCTTTGTTGAGTACCGGGACCGTTCGACTTCAGGACTTGTTACGAAGCAAGCTAAGCGACGACGTCAGTACTATTGAGCCTTTGCATTATTTAACAAAAGGTGTGTTTCAACATCATGTGTGCGTCCCTTCGATTGGTAATAATAATATCTCTATATAGAACTGCCGTTTCCTTCGATTCCGGAAGAAACTGTTACAGAGCTGGGATCTATATGTGCCGCAATCAACTCCGCAGCAATCCACGGCCCACAACATGGCGACGGCGGAAATCCCGCCCTTAAAATATATGCTGGTGTCCGGGCACCGTATATTACCTCAAGCCTGCAAAATCTTGCCATTGCATCGCTGAATACTGTTAAGAGGCGAGCTGATGATGGCCCGTACAGACAAGGCACCAATGGAATTGGCATTTATTCGAATGCTTTGGAGAACTTCATATACGCCGAGCACGATATCATCTCAAGAATCTTTACTGGAGATCAGCGAGGGTTGGCTCTACAAGCGACATGTCAGTCGGCTATGGCTGAATTCTCGAAGACTCTGCGTGAGCTCAATCAATATATCAAGGCCAATCTCATGACAGACTGCTTTTTAGCTTTCGAAATCATTGAGATTATTACAGCAATGTCTTATCGTGTTGATTCAAAGACAGGCGAGCTTAAGAGTATGTTTATTGAAGCTCTTAGGCCTATCCGCGAAACCGCAAAGTCATCCCTCTCAGAATTGCTTGAAGAGACGAAACGAAAAGCTGCATCCATCCAGGTTCTTCCACCAGATGGTGGGTCCGTGCCTCTTGTCAACGAAGTCATGAGCTCTTTGGTCACGTTGACTGCTTATTCTGGACCGCTGGCATCTATTTTAACTTCCTTAGGAGATGGAAACTGGCGCTCTACTACTAATACGTCGGGTACTGCTCCTTTAGATGTCAGCCCAGACAGTTCAACACTTCTATCGCACTTCATTCTTGACATGATCGAAGCCCTTATGATTGCCCTGGAGTCGCGGGGCCGGGCATTCCATCGCACGAAAGCTGTCCAGGGCGTCTTCCTATCGAATGTATTTTGCAATGTTGACCGCGCTATTCGGTCGAATGGCGAACTAGCACGATACCTCGGCTCTCCTGACAGTATCGCGCGGATAGATACCTTTCGCAAGCGCGCCACTTCGACCTATTTGGATTCTTGGAAGGAGACTTCGCAGTATCTGCTTGATGTGCAATACACATCTCGGGGTGCCGGTGCGTCAACTAGGCCAACGTCTGGGGGCATTGTTGATTCTAGCGCCATAGTCAAATCTCTCTCATCAAAAGATAAAGACGCAATTAAAGATAAGTTCAAGGCGTTCAATACAAGCTTCGATGACCTGGTTTCTCGTCACAAGGCTCTGTATATGGAGCGAGAAGTGCGAGGTGTCCTGTCTCGTGAGGTGCAGACTGTCCTGGAGCCCTTGTATGCGCGTTTCTGGGACCGCTACCATGAAATCGATAAAGGAAGAGGCAAGTACGTCAAGTATGACAAGGGAAGCCTTTCTGCGCAGCTAGCAGCATTGGGATAAGTATACCTGGGTTAAATCCACGTCCTGATACTTAGCATTTTGGACGATGTGATGGTTTCGAATGCGCTGCGCTTCAAAGCGTTGTTAGTATGTCTATACTTGATTATATCTAGGATTCCGAGAGAGTTCTACTATTTTTTTTAATGCTATAATTCTTGAATTACAGATACAGAGTATCCGCTTATCTTTTCATCCCCAAATATTGTCAAATATCATGTGATGATAGCCCCTCCGGATTTAACTCATAACGTGACTGATAAGCGGAGCCCCGCTAAGTCTGGCCACCGCAAGCAAAATTTCCGTCGATCACGCACACATCCTACCCCCAAACCTCCTTCTACTTCTCTTCCTGCCTTTCAATTCCTTGTGGCAGTGCTTTAATTTCATTTCTGGCAGGATGTCTTCGAGCAACGATGTTTACCAGACCCCTCTCAACTCGCGTTATGCGAGTAAGTGCCCCGCAATATGCTCCCACATCAGCGGCTCGTACTAATACCGCGGGGTTTGTAGGCGATGAGATGAAATACCTTTTCTCTCCAAGAAACCGTTTCTCCACCTGGAGAAAGCTGTGGCTGTGGCTTGCTGAGTCTGAGAAAGGTATAATCTTGCATAGTCCAGGCGCCAGATGATGCTTCCCCCCTAACCCGTGGTAGAACTCGGCTTGTCTATCTCCGATGAGGCTATTGAGCAGATGAAGGCCCACCTTACCATTCAGGACGAAGAGTTCAAGGTTGCTGCCGAGGAGGAAAAGCGTCGCAGGCACGATGTCATGGCTCACGTCCATGCTTACGGTCAGGTTGCACCCGCCGCTGCTGGCATCATTCACTGGGGTGCCACTTCGTGCTACTGCACTGACAATGCGGATCTGATCTTCCTCCGTGATGGTCTCGATATCCTCATTCCCAAGCTTGCTGTCGTCATTGACAAGCTATCCTCGTTCGCTCAGCAGTACAAGGACTTGCCTTGTCTTGGTTTCACTCACGGCCAGCCTGCTCAGCTTGTTACTGTCGGAAAGAGAGCCTGCCTCTGGATTCAGGACTTGCTCATGGATTTGAGGAACTTGGAGAGGGCTCGTGATGACTTGCGCTTCCGTGGTGTCAAGGGTACCACCGGTACCCAGGCTTCTTTCCTCCAGATCTTCGACGGAGACCACTCCAAGGTTGAACAGCTGGATGAGCTTGTTACCCAGAAGGCCGGCTTCGATTCCGCATTCATCATTTCTAGTCAGACCTACTCCCGGAAGATCGACGTTGATGTTGGCAACGCCCTGGCTCTTTCGGATCCACCTGCGAGCGCATCGGTATCGACATTCGCCATTTGGCCATGCTTAAGGAGGTTGAGGAGCCTTTCGAGAAAGACCAGATCGGCAGCAGTGCCATGGTTAGTGGCTTATATGGTTACAAGAAGATCTCTTTCATCTGACCGAATCGTAGGCTTACAAGCGTAACCCCATGCGTTCTGAGCGTCTGTGCTCGCTCGGAAGACACCTCCAGAACCTCCCCAAGGATGCGTTGGACACCTACTCCGCGCAATGGTTCGAGCGTTCTCTGGTAAGACAACACTCCTTACGCCGAAGAAGTTCTCACTAACAATCACCAGGACGACAGCGCCATCCGTCGTATCAGCATTCCCGAGCTCTATCTCTCTGCCGATGCTTGTCTCATCCTCCTGAGTAAGTGAAAGCCAAAGACACTCTCGAGACGATAACTAACTCCTTCGAGACAACGTTACCTCCGGCTTCGTTGTCTACCCCGAGGTTATCAAGCGTCGTGTCAATGACGAGCTCCCCTTCATGGCCACGTAAGTCCCCCAATGTCCCCCTAAATACAAGATGTTATATATTAACCATCTCACTAGTGAAAACGTAAGCTATCCACGATCACATATACTAAACACAACAATATACTAATAAACCAATCTAGGTCATCATGGCTTGCGTCAAGAAGGGTCTCTCCCGCCAGGACGCCCACGAGGAGATCCGTAAGTGACTCTTATGAACAAGAACACTGTGCCCCCTCACTCCCTCTAACAAATCCCATTACAGGTGTCCTCTCCCACCAGGCAGCAGACAATGTCAAGAAGCACGGCAAGGACAACGACCTGCTCGAGCGCATCCGCCGCACCGCATTCTTCAACCCCATCCTGGGCGAACTCGACACCCTCCTCGACCCCAGCACCTTCGTCGGCCGTGCCCCCCAGCAAGTCGAGAAGTTCACCTCCACTGAGGTCAAGAAGGCCCTTGAGCCATATGCCTCTGCCGTTGCCAAGGCCGAGACCTCTACGCTCAGCGTTTAAGGTTGCAGACATGCATACATATAACACATACATACATGGCTTTTCCTCAAAGTGCGGGCCAGACTCCAAGGAGGGGAATGATACCTACTAAATTGTGCACCCCCTTACTGTGAAGTATGAAGACAATGTGACCAGCATGAGAGGAGGTTTATTTGTCTCATGCAACCACATGTGAAAAAACCATAGAGTTAAACCACATTGCGCAAAAGTTTTCAGTTTTTCCAAAGGGAACACCAAATTATGTATATAGTAATCGATGACTGAGACGTTTATTGCACTCTTCTTCTTTTCATGGCGCATTACCTTCTGTCTAGGTATCTACAGTACTTGTAATATAATACGCCGGGTCGAGCCTTGAGTTCATTTGCGGTTGCACTAAGTGGGATTATGGATACGTGTGTGTTAGGTTAGGGCTATCAAACGGCCATCACCGCTGCACAAAAGTACCCAACCAACTGATGGTAAGCAAAGATCCACTAGGTGTTACCTCCAAGGTAAACCATAACACAGTCTATTCGCACTTTGACCCCGCCGTCCCACTTTCGGAATGAGGGGTACTCGTAAGACCAAGCAAGGGAATGTAAAGGAAAAAGGCACGCAAGGAAATGCGAGTGGGCTGTATTACAAATACAAAATCTGATGTGTAAGATACAAATTGGTAATGTACATGAGAGAAGGAAAATCAGAAAGGGAAATCGCAGTCCAAACAACCATTGGTGTCTTAATATGCTATGTGAGGTTTCAAATATGAAAGTGTGAGTCCGGGTCCTTCTTTCTAACTTTTTCTCTGTTCAAACTTATTTGAAAATACATGTTGGGAATCAAAAGAGACAGGATGAGTAGCGCTAGGAAGCAACAGGCATGCAGAAATCAAGTTGTCGTTAACTGCGTCAATCTCGTATAAGGAAAAATCTATGTAAACTATGGAAATAGTTTAGCAAGATGACTAGACGGAGAAAGAGAAAGATGAAAAAGCAAGGGAGTTGCACCCGTAGAGGAAGAGGTTTTGCATAACTCACCACGCCATATATAGAGCAGGATGGAACCCAGAAATCATGTGTCCTTGACATGTCGTCTAGCATGCCGTATCACGCCTATGACACTATGATCCAGTTCCACCGTTTAGAGCATCGACAACCAGTTGATGACCTAAGAAAAGTAACTATGTTAAGCTAGGCACTTGCTTCAATGAAAGGTAGGAAAACTTACCATCATTGCCTGAATCAGTGCCTCCTTTTCACCATAGTGCATCCCATCCCAGCTATCTGCTTGTAGCGTTGCATTGTACATTCCCAACGTTTCCATCCCTCTGGTTCGTGCCGCCTCAGATGTATCCAGCGTGTACTGCCAACTACTCGCGTGGATGTTGCTACCCGAATGCTTTTGGTGGCCCGGTGCAGTTGGGCCTATCCAGAGGAAGGGCATATCACGTTTACTAGATTGTGCCAATGCTAGCCATTCATCCATGCTATTTCCAGCGATCTCTAGTGAGTAGGAAGTGGAAAGAGAAAGACTCTGGATCACGGGAACAGGCTTTCCCTGACTATCTGCTCGGTTGATGAGCTGGCGGAATCTCTCTTGGGCGCTCTTCGAAGCAGGCGAGCTCGTTGCTGTCACGAAAGAGTGGGGGATAGCTGCAAGGTAGACGGGGTCAGCATTTGGGGCAGAACAAACCTTGAAATGGCCATTAAGGGGGTGTATGCTCACAAGATGAACAGGTATTTGGGCCTGAAAGTATTTCGCCGTCGTTTTGCTTCTCCGCCTGCTCGCTAGAGGTAATTCTCAGCGGTAGACAGGAGGCGCTAGTGAACTGTGAGCCGCATCTACATTTCTCAATCTGCCCCTTGGTCATCTCCGACTCTCTCAGGGCACCAGTTGCTAGGTTCCCTCGAAGAAGGATATTAAACCCGGCGTAGATATCGGCGAGAGATTCATCACCAACGAAAACAAGAGCGCCCAATTTTTGCAGAATTTCACATATTTCAGCGTTACTGTACCAGCGATAGAAGCAGCCTGAACAACCAGAGTTAGTCGGTTTCCTGACATTAAGGAAGAAAAAAGGGACATAAGGAAATAGCTACTGTGGTTGACCGCTGCTTCGTGGCATTAGCAGACCACAATCAGCGTCTCGCTCACCTTTGGAAATGTATGCCTCGTCAAAGCCATGTCTTCCGCCATTACTCATTGCATTGAGCAACGAATCTCGAGTTTGGCAGTACGGATGGCTCAGAGACCCCTGGCCCTCCGTTTTAGGGGGTTGGTAGAGAGCAGACGATGAGATGCCACACTCCTGGTATCCTACGTACTGCTCCAGAAGACTGCCAGCAAGGTCTGTCAGTTCGATTCTTTATCGAAGCTCTTAGATTCTCAGGATCTCACGGGTATCAAACTCACTCCTGGGAGGTGCCGGTGACGATCACACTGGGTTGGGTCGAGGTGAAGGGAAGAAAGAAAATATCACGGATGAGCCAGACGATATAGAAGACCCCGAGGACCCAGAGGGATGCCATCAACTTGTAAGTAGAGGACCGCCAGGTGACTCGCCGGACCAACCTGCGTCCATTGGGGCCTTCGATTGGACCACGCCGCTGTGGCTGGTTACCCTGCTGCATACTTGTAAATGGATATGCAAAAGCCTCGTTCGCCGACGACGAAGCCATTGGTTCACTATGAGATGTACGGCGACGAGACATAGCCGGCATGTTGATATGCACGTGCAGTTCTGGAATGGAGGGGGGGGGGGGGGGGGAAGAAGGGCCGTGCAGAAGTATGAGTTAAAAAAAGATGCAATCTTAGAAATGATGCATCTGTTCAGGAGTAGGGCTTCTTTAGTGGCAAAAATTTTAGGAATACACAAGGGAAATGAAAAGGAAAAGGAACCGAGGGGAGGAAATTGGGGCCAAAGCAGAGGAGGGGTGTAATCGTTGTCGTGAATCGTTAGACGTGAGAGGAAGACACTGGGGGAGGGGCACTTGGTGGAAAGTATTCAATAAGGAAGTCGTGCGGTTCAGTCACTGTCCTCTGGCATTTCCCAATTGGGAACTTTCGTCTTCAAATCGTCCTTTTTTCACGTCTCTGTTTAATTCAACCTCCTTTCCACTTCCTTCTCCCAGATCTGCGACTCTAAGTAGAAATTTTTGGTCCTTGTTCTTGACTGTAAGCAGGTTCCCCCTTTTAAATCCTCACGTTTTCAACGACCCTAGGAGATTAACGAAGCAGAACCGTTGATTATAATCCCCCAGCCACGCCACGATAATACGGAACGATACACAAATCCACACAGTTAGAACAAATGGAGGGAAAAAAAAGACTAACAGAAAAACAAAAAGAAAAAGGAAAGGAAAAAAAACGGCGAGAGGGGCCGTGGTTCAGGAAGAGAGCCAGTGACGGGTAGAAAAATGGCATACAGCCAGCATGAGGGCGAAAAAGGTAATCTCATGGAGTGTTGCGGATCCCTTAATTTTTTTTTTTTTCTTGCCTCATCTCTCTGTCAAATATTGTTTTTTTTTGCATTATTATTTCCAAACTATCGGCTCGCCCTTAAATTATTACATTAGTGATTACACTACAACCGAGAAAATTAAACGCAACCCAATTTAAAATCTCAAACTACGGAGCAAAGAAGAATAAAAAATTGGTGGGAAAGAAAAATACCCTGGGAAGGAAAATAACACGAATACAAAAACCCATTTAAAAATTGGGGATTGCCAGCAACGTTTGCATCATCATTAATTCATTCATTTATTCACCGTTTTTCGATGACAATCCACAAGGCGAGACACACATCGGTACTAATACAAAGAAAGGAAAAAGAAAACATCAATTCGGAAGTACAAGTTAACTTTGATCAACCAATTCTTTTTTTTTATTTTAGTGGGCCATTGATATAACAGCAGGAGGTATAATGATCTAGTTATATCTCGATAGATTTGTAAACTTTTCTTTTTTTGTTTTTGGGTTTATCCGGTACGGAGTACAATCCAGACAACTCATTCATTTCCGAACCACATGTAACAACAACAACAGCGAACCTTCCCTAAGTACCTCGTTCCGGTTCTGGCAAATGGGCAGTGCTGCCCTAAGCGGGTTGCCGGCGGTGATCGTCGTGGTGCGACAAACTCCACCGAAGAATCGTGCCCTCGAGCGTGTTCTTGACAGGCGCCCACTAAGGCCAACTAGGGCTTAGCAGTTTGCGTTTCCAGCTGTTCTCCACAGCTTCAAATTACAGTTCCTCCGAACTGTGTGCTGGACTGCGGATTCTTCCTATTGGCCAGCCAGCTTGCATCTCTCCTTCAGACTCCATTCGGGGAAGAACACCACAACTGTGATCTGACAGGTCGGAATTACAGACGCTGACGCTGCCTTTGCGCAACCTCCCTCGTCGCGTGGAAAACCGTTCGCTAAACCCCTGGTTCAAAGTTGCCGCATCGGAGGAATGGAAGCCATCTAGATCGTGGAAGCGGTGTGGAATATGATCTGCTCACCATGATGCTATCGTCGGTTGATATCTCACAAAAAGGGGAGACAAGGCTACGAATAAGAGAACTCCAAGTCTCCATTCAATTTTGTCAATGATGACATTGCGATCTATGCCATCAGTATGGCAATCGCCATGAAGGACTCTCCCCTTGGGGCTTCTACTACTATTACTAACCCCAAACTACGGAATATATTCGTAGTTCTTAGTACTAACTTTCCTCAAATGAAGGATGTCAACGTAATTCCGTGTAATGTACCCTGTAGATTGGTCTCTTCCAGAACAACGCCTCCAATATACTACTGACACACTACTCTTCCCTCAATTGAGCCCTGTCGCTTCCAAATATAGAATACCTCTTTTTCAGAGCCTGATCTACTTCGTGATGAGGAGTATGAAGCTCCGTTTTGGATGAGGTGTCGTGGAAGGTACGAGAAATTCAATTTCGTAAAAGGGAAATGGTTCAGCCCAAGTTCTCTCTTATTTTCTGCTAGAGCAGAAATATCAAAGTGAAACAGAGTTCTAGTTCCATTGCATTGTGCATAGCACCAGGTATACAGTACAAAGACAGGTGTTTGAACAGATGTGCCAGAGATCGGTATCTGGGCCGGCTTCCGAGAAGGATAAAAAAAATCCTCCCAACGTCAGTAGTAATAAACTAGGATGTTATATACTAGTACTAGTAGGTCCTATCACAATAGACTAGGTGTTGGAGGGGGCGTTGGGCTTCTAGAACCAGTTAGGCTACCTACACAAAAAAGGGAAACGAACCATCTTTTACCTGTCAAGAACCCAAAAGGACAGGAAACAGGGCACACGACGGCAATCGGTTGGGTTTTATGTCATCATGGATTTCGAGTTAACTAGTAGTTACTCCTCATCCCCATTAAGATTAGGTTTAATCTCACAGCTGTTGTGTCACGGGACACATGCAGGTGACAAAGAGTCAACACTCTGTCGCTGACAATAGTACGATCTACTTAGTCTCATTACGGACTCTCCCGCGAAAGACAGATTCGCCAATGCCATTCTGTCGCTCTTTGAATGCAATGGGGTTAAGGTTCGGTTTTTCTTGGCTTGTCATACCCTTAACAAGAACGAATATAAGCTGAAAGGGCAATGTGTTTCACGCTGAGAGAAAGTATAATCCGATCTGAGGAACTATCGTCACCCCTCGGATTCTGAAAGTAAACCCCAAAGGGCAACACATTTGACTACCGGAACACACAATGCAACTAAAGAACATGGGAGACTCCATCAAGGCATCTGTCGTTCGGTTTGGGCATAATCCAGGAGTTTGATATGGGCGTTATTGGATCGTGGGGGAACCGCGGATGGAGGAACCCTACCGCGGGTGGGAGAAACCTAAAAGCCCGTTGTCCCTCAGCCTGACGAAGACTTGTCAGAACTAGAGAGGATTCGATTATATGGCTCTTTTTCGTATCTCCGTTGGAAGATCCAGACCTATCGGAGCATCCGTGAGGAGAAGTCGAATGATTTTCGGGCGAAGGGGAAAAACCCGGACCAATTTTCACATTCTCATCGGCAATTCCAGTTGGACGATAAGCATCACGGAGTCCGATCTGGGGTTGATCCCGCTTCAAAACACCATTGTTCCGCCACTTTGTTTCCTGTCTACCTGCTGTACTACCCAAAACAAAGGAAATTATTCATTGTTTTTGGTAGTTAGCAGAAAGGTCCATTATTATTAAAGGGTGAATCGGGTGGTGACTGACGGTTGGTTGATTGCCTGAGGATCGGATGATATTCGTTGTTCCTCGGCCAAGCACGGAATCCCCCCCACACGTGACTCCCCGGGAAAGAGAGTCTCCGCAACGGCCACAAGAGTCATTCACCAAGCTCCTCCACTTCTTCGTTTGCGGCCCTTTGCATCGACCTTTCTAGTATATATCTAGGGAATTCGAAGCTCATCCCACATGTATTGCTGAATTTGTTCGCTCTATTTATCAGGTTTTGCCCCTTTCGTCTTGCTCATTAGTTATCGACCCCCTCATCTCCTACTCCACTGGTCCCGAGTCATCTGCACTCCGCCATCCGTTAGCGGAGGAGTCTACCTCGGCAGTAGTCATCCCGACTTTAAACGCCTCCTATCTTCCCAGCGACAGGCGCCCAGTATTGTCAGCTATACACTATACCACGCAGTGATCTGCTCTCTGCTACGTTATTCAGGGATTATAGAAGTGACTCTCTCGGGCCTTCTGGCCTGATTACCTACAGACACCATGTGGAAGCCGTCGGAGAGGCTGATGGAGACCATCAGACATTATGCCAGCTTCCCCGCCACTGGTGTCTCGCTTCGGCAGATGGTCCAATTTGGAGACAGACCTTCGACTGGTATGTCCATCTTTTGCCCTTTGGAACCTATTGATGTCATAAGTCATGACTGGTGGACTTGTGTGCTGATCGCGTGACCTCTTTGTTAAAGTAGGGACTCTGTTTCGCGCATCCCAATTCCTCTCCGAGGAACTCCCAATTCGACTTGCTCACCGTGTCCAGGACCTGGGGGAACTCCCTGATGGACTCAGCGAAATGCCCTCCATCAAGAAGGTCCAGGACTGGTATGCGCAATCGTTCGAGGTATGACTCATCGCCCGCTCCTTTCCGTAGTTCACAATGCCCTGTACCCAAGCAAACCCCTCTTGGTGTTCTTTATATCTAACGTGAAATGAAGGAAATCATCAACCTGCCTCGGCCAACTCTTACCCAGGAAGTGAAATCCCGGCTGCTACGGCCAGGAAGAATTAACGGCGGTGCTTCGAAGATCCTCTCGGAAACCACCCAGAACCCTAGTATCAAGGAAGGGCAATATCGGTCCTCTCCCTCCTCGGCATTGAATCATAATGGAAATGGAAAAGCTGCCGCCGCCGCGGCTCGAAGATATTTTGTACCCTCCGATGACCAAGGCAATTGGCCTCCGGAGTTGAATGACTACAACGAGCGCTTCGCGAAGACTCTCCAGCAAATTAAACGACGACACGACAGCGTTGTAACCACGGTGGCTCAGGGTATCCTGGAATGGAAGCGTAAACGCCAAAGACTACAGATTGACTCGACCGTGCAGTCCTTCCTCGATCGATTTTATATGTCTCGGATAGGTATACGTATGTTAATTGGCCAACATATTGCTTTGACAGAACAAACGCACGTCCGCCATCCAAACTACGTTGGTATTATCTGTACGAAGACAAATGTTCGTGAAGTCGCCCTCGAAGCTATTGATACGCCCGGTTCGTGTGTGAAGATTACTATGGTCTTTTTGAAGCTCCGAAAGTCCAGCTTGTCTGCAAAGATGACCTGAACTTCATGTACGTCCCAGGTCACTTGTCTCATATGCTTTTCGAAACCCTGAAGAACTCCCTGCGTGCAGTGGTAGAGACCCATGGGGCAGACAAGGAAGCTTTCCCAGTCACCAAAGTCATCATTGCCGAAGGAAAAGAAGACATCACTATCAAGGTGTCCGACGAGGGTGGAGGAATTCCCCGTTCTGCCATCCCTTTGGTTTGGACGTACATGTACACTACGGTTGAGCAAACACCCAATTTGGATCCCGATTTTGACAAAAGCGACTTCAAAGCCCCTATGGCCGGCTTCGGGTATGGATTACCTATCAGTCGTTTGTACGCTCGGTACTTTGGTGGGGACTTGAAGTTAATCAGCATGGAAGGGTAAGTCTTTTTCCGTTCCGTTATCGACCTATTTTTATCCAGCTAGATCTGACTAGTTTAGATATGGTACGGATGTCTATCTTCATCTGAATCGACTATCCTCGAGCTCGGAGCCCCTACAATGACAATTACCAGTCATGAGGGATGGTCGTGTCCGGTTCTCTACTTCCCATAGACTTCATCCTTTCTATTCAGAACCGGATCCACCACCATCTCAAGGATTGACGCCGATGAACATTCGAGCCGTGCGTGCACGCATGCATAACAGGGAAGTTTCTACGCGTAAGCAAGTTGGCGATGCCGATAGCCGTCTAAACGCTGAAAGGCCTGGAAACTAGGCCAACCACTTGCTTTCGAACACTAATGGAAGTGTTAATGCTCCCATCGATGGCACACCTGTGGACCAATCGCAGTTGGCAGCGAGCTTTATTGATTGGCAGCTCCCTGTGAGTCGATCACTTTTGAGTGTTGAAACCATCGCCTTCACTACTCATTGCTTTGTCACACGTGTGTGGATAGACAAAAGCGTATGTTCTCTGTTTTGATTAAAATTTGGTCAATCTTGTCTGAATGCGGGTACATTTGACGACCACGAACGACCTTCTGAGAATGATGGAAACAGAGGCGGTTTGGTCTATTGATACCCTTGGGTACCCATTCAGGAGATAATTTTGGAAAGGTGGCTCTGGTGATCTACACTTCATAGAGGGTAGAGCCTATATTGCTCCTTTTGCTTTTTTCCTATTTATTCTTTTATTTATTCTCTTTTTGCTTAGCTATGCTTTTGTCTGTCTTTTTTGTATAGTAGATTATGGGACGATCAGGATATTTTATGGATGGTACGGTCTTAGGGATGTATACATGAGCCATTGTGAATATTCATTTCATTTCATTCATGTTAGTCGCCCAATCAAATCACTCCACATAGGAGACGTATAATCCATAGTCGGCATCTCAGGAACTTCTAAGACAACAGGGTCGAGCGCCAAAGAAGGGGGATATATGAAAGAACTCAAGGCGACGAAATTCCATCATCCTCCCTCTCCGCACCACTCCATCTCCTCCTCTCCCTCTCTCGCAACTGCTGCCCGCGACCCGCCGACCCAGAAACAGAACTCGACGGCGTCGACGCCTTCCCCTTCCCTCTTGTCCTATCGGGCGTCGACAAACGCCCCTTATTCTTCGACGACGAAGCAGGCGACGAGAACGCTGACGACAACCCACCGGCATCGGCGGGGCGTCGCCACCCCGCATCATCAGTTTCGTAGACATCAACAACATTCCGGTGCACAACTAGAGGTGGATTACTTGGAGATGGAGAAGAGTGATTCTGGACAATGAAGAGGTCGTTGCGAATAGAAGCTGCTACCTCGGGGTCCTCCGGGGCAATGAGCTTAGAAAGGAAGCGACGGCGCGCTTGTGGAAGGGTCTGTATATAGTTAGAATTGAGACAAATCATGACATTAAACCATCTGACAAAATGAGTCGTGTATAGTTCTCCAAGTAGGGCGAAACCCTCCCAATGAGGACGAAACTTCATTGAAGAAACAAACAAATGACTTGAGACCAATTCCACTACTACTCACCTCTTGAGCAGCCAACGCTTGCATAGTGAGAAGTTCTCGGTCCATCAGGACACAAAGCGCCGCATGTCTTTCCTCGCGGAGGCGACTGCGCACCTTCTTTTCCTGTTCGATAGTTGTGTGGTATGTTGTTAGTGGGCCGCGCAGGCGATCGGGGTCATATCCTGGGGAGATTAGCTTGTGTGTTTTTTTATCGGTTCGATAGTGGTTGGTAAGTTGTGGTAGGCTCCAGAAGATAAGATGGGTGCTCTGTAAGGATTCATGTAAGGAGATAGGGGGGCTTACTGGGGTCGATCCCACGTGGATGATTTTGGCGTCCGTCGTAATCGACGTTCATGTCTTCGTCCTCGCTTTCGTCGTCGATCACGATTGGATCGCGACTGCGAGGGCCAGGAACTGGGATGTTGCGGTTGAACATTTTGGTTGTTGAGGGATAGAACGAGTTTTGGCACGGCCGATATAGTGCGATGCAAAATTGAGATGTGCGAGATTGGGTAGTAAGTAGATTGCCAGCAGATGGTCAGATTAGTGGGAGTAGCCTGTTGGCTGATAGGGCTTCCACAGCGAAAGATGGGCAATTCCGCAATATGGACGCTAGCACTAGGAAAGTGCTTGATGTTTATAAGAGGGATGTGCGCAAGATGGTATTGTGCAAAGATTTCCAGTTATGTAGTGTAGATTGTATATCTTCATAATTAGTTTAAGCTAAGACAGACAGCCAGTCTACTAATGGTCTACTCACGGTATACACTTAAGAAGCGAGTAGATGGTATTCTCCACCTGGAACCAGAAACGACAAGAAAGGGGGACGTGCGTTGGACAAGTTGTGGGGGGAATATGTTAAGAGAACAAGAAAACACCACCGCTGTCCAGCAGGGCAGATCGATAAGCTGATTGAGGCGACTCTTGATTACCACCAGTCAGTTTGTTCTGGATAAAGCAGAAACGCTAAGAAATGGATGTGGTGCCCATGTGACGCCAACGCTGCTTAGTCATGGCCAATCACATCGCGATGAAGTCGTTTGTTTACATGGGATTTACTAGTACTACTAGTAGTAGTACTAGTATGGAATCAAATGAATTGCACCGAGTACAGCTTAAAATTCAATACTATGCTTCTATTTTCATAACCAAGGCGAAAATGAGTAGGGACCTCAACATGACTATCTTTCTCAAATGCGAAGCGCTTTTTTGCGCCCTGAATTTCGTACATACCACAGTCTCGTTTTCGTCGGTAAGAAGACGGTCCATGAATCGTCGGACAACGTGTTCTATCGTAAAATAAGGGCGCAATGATTCGAGCCCCCACAAGTTCTGTTAACAAAAAGGAAAAGTTGGAAGGGAGGGAAATGTCGAAAGGTATACAGACAGAAGATGGCAACGATAATACACATGTAAATGCCAGCATGCAGAGTGAAGAAGACAAAACAAATCAGCCCGACATGCGTCCGTCAGACCGAGCGGGACGCGCACACGAATGCGACCAATTCCAGGTCGGGCAGCTCTGTGCAGAATGGAAATCATAATGCCCGCCGAACGCCAAAGCACAATGCCGCTAAAACGACTCGTGAGGTTCCAAAGACGCCGTTTAGCAAGAGGGGATATAAGGGAACGTGGTAGTATTCACCACCGAGACAGTGATGAGACAAGTTTGATACAAAAGGGGCTCGCTGTGTAGCCAAAGGGTGTGAAGATGTTTCAGGCAAAAGTCTTGGGGGTTGAAGGGATACGATAGCTGGCAGGGGAAACGATAGAACTCAACATTCATGCATGAATGAGTTTTTGGGCCACTCATATCCAGCATCAGACCTTGCACTTGTCAGTAAAAATTATCGCCCGAGACTTTCCAGAATGCGGTAGGCTTACCATGTAGTTTTGTTGACGTTTTGGTACGCCTTGGGGTGTTTCGCGATATACTCCGTTGTTTCATAGCCCGGTGGGTCACAGGTAAGGCTAATGTTGTCTGGATCCTGGTAGATTCGAAGGTAATCGAAACGCATGTACCCAGGCATAAATTTCTTGATGTTGTCATCTACTGGAGCGAAACTGTAGGCCATACCCAGGTTCATGATAATAGACAGCGGTTCCAGGGGAATCGTCCGCTGGCCGATGTTGCCGTTGGGCCCGAGGGCTCTACCGTCGAGAGTCCATGTCTTATCCTGACCGACATACCAGGTGATATTGCCACGAGCTCCTGGCGTGTAGTCGAAGGCGTATACCTGGTACTGCGATCCGTTGTACCAGTCGTTATTGAGGTTGCTGAGTCCAGACATGGCCTGTTGATAGGGTCCACCACGGTAGGTGTTAATCTCTGTGATCTTGGGATCGTACACAGCTGCGTATTCTGCCATACCGTTAGCAAGGCCCAAGTTCCGCAACCCATACATTACGAGCACGTACCGTAATCAGGCATATACCAAACATCGAATGGGGCCATCTGCAAACTTTGAGAAACCGACCCTACCATCTTCGCCGCGTCACCGTTCAAAGCAGCAACGCTAGCTTCGATGACATCGATTTCCGGCGCGCTCCTTGACTTGCCAGGGGAAGGGTGTTCTGCATTGTCACAGGCGCATGCAGGTAGACGCATTCCAGGTAACCAACTCAGACCATCTGTAGAACTTTGGTTCGGCGTGATTCCAGCATCGCAACCATCATAGTAACTGTACGGCCACATTCCTTCCGTGGTGGCGGCATAACCCGGGCGGCCTAGATTGCCCATTGCCCAAAAACCAGGCCAGAAGCCAGACACTTCACCATTTCCTGGAAGGGATATGCTTGCTTCCAAACGACCGCCAGTGAAGCATAGTTTATTCCAGCTCTGAACCATACCGGATCTATACTTCAATTCATGATTCGGGAATGCATCGAACCGAAGCTCCAATACACCGTCTTTCGTAGTAACTGCATCAGGATCGTACCACTGCAGGGTGTCAGCTGCGGACAAACCATAGGAAACTATCCAGCAGAACAAACCTCGAGATCCTGCGTCACACCGTACCAGATATCCACCGCCTGAAGAAAAGCATCGTCACCGTCATAAAACGTCCGTCCCGGTGTGTTGAACTCATCCGAAAACTATGATGATCAGGGACAGATTCAGACAACTCGTCAAAGTATCTCAACTCACCACCAGCTTCCATTCCTTGCCATCAGCCGACATCTTCGTCATGGCGGAGGCCGGAGTGTCCGGGTCTATCAACCCGCTCCGCACATTTTTCAGTAATGACCTCTCTCCCACATCAAGACATAACGTGTCCCCCGTTTTACAGACGGAGCCTTCTTGGTTCTGCATCCCTTTAACGGCCGTACTACAAAAGATTAGTTTCTGCGCCAGCATCTGTGAAAATGGAGTTATAGATCATACAAAACAGGATACCCAATGAACAGCATCAGGAGACCCAGCGTCAACACGACTAAACCTCCACCGTTGATTATTCCTCGTCGGTTCCAGATGTCACAGTCCCGTTCTTTGTCGTTCGGATCCGGGTTGTGCAAATAATCGTCCTTCTCCACATCCTCTGGGAATAAAAGCAGACCTTCTGACGGCATGATATTGAACTTTTCTGTAACCGTTTGTGTATTCACATCTTCCCCATCACCCTCTCCGTGTGAGGGAGATCTCAGGTCCTCATAACGGGGATAGAAGTAGCCTCTGCTCTCACTCCCACCTTCCGAGCTCCAACTTGTCCGTCTCGACGATTGCGCAGACAAATCCGGAGATTGAAACCCTTCATACTGTTCCCGGTGCCTCTGTGGCCGCGGCGGCAACAAGAAATCCGTTGAATCCTGTGGGGTCGGTGAGCCCATCCCAGTCTGCATGGTCATGAATGTCCCTGTGGACGTTGAATTCGACATGCCCGGTGTCAACGCGCGTCCAATGCCCGCATGGCTAGGGACCGGAGGGTAGGTCTCGTCTGGATCACTGAATGGATCATGCTGGCCCGAATTGAGTCGAATATGAGGGGTTTCTCGCACCGATTGGCCCATTGGATTGTCCGACATCTTGCAATACGTTCGTAGAGATGGCGCTGAGGGTGGGCTGTAAACGCTGCGCTGTTGCCCACGCGAATCTGGAAAATTAATGGAAAGGTGGAGCCTAATTCACCGGCCACAGTCTTGACAGTGCTTCTTCGTGAATCCTGGCCTCGTCCCAAACGATATCGATGATGCGCGCTCTGGATGACCAGTATATCCCTAAGCCCTTGGTATACAACCGATCACACAGCTGCCATCCAGGGTTCCATCCAGATATGTACCAGCAGACTGCAGTCGTGCCCCGATGCTATTAATTAAATATTAATACACCCCGACGCTCGGTAATGACTGGCTCCGAGACAAAAGCGGAAAAAGAGCGATGAATGATGCGCAATGGGTATCAAGAGGGAAACAAGACTACGAACGAGTGGACGGGACGCTAGATCCCGATGCGCATTTGTCTCTGGAAGGCTGGAGGAGGATAGGAGAACAGGCGGTATTAGTGTAGCAGAAGCAAAACAATCAGACAGGGTTAGAGAGCGTGCATGTAGTGAGATGGATGGGCGGTGATGGCCGACAGCGCAGGGGCAGATTGACGTTTGGACGGAGAGGAGGGGGAGAGGAAGAAGAAGAAAAGAAGACAGAAACAAAGAAAAGGCACCAGCGGGCGCAATGGAATGAAGGTCAGGATGCCACAAAGACCTAAACTACCACAGAAGCACAGTAAGGAAAGGGAGTGGAGAGCGTTCAGGTTGTCAATGCCAATCCCTGTTTGGCGTATTCCTACATAGCATGGCAAAGCTTTTTTTTTATTATTATTATTATTTTTTTCAGAAAATAGAAATCAGAAGAAAAAAAGAAAAAAAAAAAAAAAGGTTTACTTTCCTTCTCCAAAGTTATACCTAAACCGTTACCAGTAATGATCTTGGGAATAATAATTATTATCATCCAGAGTAATAATACAGGCAGGGCCGTAGAATGAAAAGGACAAATAAAAATCCATAGCAGAATACTGGACCATCATGAAACCATCCAAAGACAGCAGGAATCGGCATGAAAGGCACCACCGACGGTCCTGTTGTTATCAAAAAGATACAAGACCACAAGAATGCTTTAAAATAGGTCCCCTCTGGGGATCATTGGCCACTAGGACCCCTGCAGGTGGAGATCGTCGCCCATTTTTTTCTTAGGCGATTGACGACCGAGGGAAATGAGGACAGAAGGTGGCCCGGTGGCGTCTGCAGGTCCTCTTTGGCTAACGTTGGTTCGACGGCGGCGAGAAAAAACGCAGGTACTGCCCGGCGAGTATGTTTGTCTCCTCGGCGGTCTAGACTTTGACCCTTCAGGGGAAATCTTCCAGTTCCCACCGTTTGTTTTCTCCTCCCGTTGAACCCCTTGGGTGGTTCACCGGGATATCTCATAGCTGCCTCAAACCGAAGCATCCACCCCACCAAGCGAGTTTCAGGAATGCTCAGGAAGAATTTCGTTGCTACAGACCATGAGAAATGGGAGCCTGTTCCAGGGAATCTCAAGATCGTTGTCAAGTGGACCGGCGAACCCTAAGACTCGGCAACTAAGCGTTATTTGACCGTCTAGCGTCATATGGAAGGCTTTTAGTGCAGGGTTCATCAACCCGGTGGATTCGGTATCGTATGGTAATCGTCCCGGCTAAAGACTGACTACTACAGAGTACTACTACAGTACTACGACGGTGATATGGTAGATGTACAGTACACTGATGTACACTGGTGCACCCCCCCCCTACTATTTACCAATCATCAAGTGAGCCCTCTATTCACAGACTCTTGAGATCGTTCTGAAAGACGTCTCCTTTGCATCCAACCCTCGGATTCAATGATTGACACGCCGAGACCCCCTTCCAGAAGAACCTAACCCTAGACCTATTTCCGTTTTCGCTCTTGGACGACCACTGATCGATCTTTTGGAGAAGAAAAGAAAGACAAAGAAGAAAAAAGAAACACAAGGTGGAAAATATTCTCTCCAATGAGTGCCTCACATGGATGCTCCTATATATAAATCATTCCTGAACACGCGTCCTGGCCATTAACCTTAAGGCTTTGGATAGATCAGATCTACCCCAGTGGCAAAGCACGACCCTGTCGTCATCGCAACAGACAGGCTACCAGGCAAGACAGAAGAAGGAAGGCAATGAGGCTGAATAGCGGTGGAGTCTGGAGGAAATGTATAGCATACTCCATGGCTAATTGTCTGAGTTCCGGAATCTTGGAACCCATTGTTTCCTCTTCCCCTCATTCCATCGGACAAAGCTCATAGCAACCTTCCGCCATTCCTGGTGACCTTCTGTCACCCCGCTAGAACCCTCAAAACAAGGTGAGAAGTATGAAGACCAAGAGATTTCCATGGACACTTCAATTGCTTTCCTTGGATCATTACTTTTGACTGACACCGGTGGTCACGACCTGTAAAGTACGGTAGTGATCTTTCATCCTGTCAATTGAGACAAAAGATCATCAGCAGATCACCCGAGATGCGTTTGATGTCAGCCACATCATCTACTACACAGATGACAGTGACGCATCTACCGAATCACCTGTGAGCTGCAAATAAGCTACAACACTTCGATCAGCCTCCAAAGGATGATGTGTCAGTTCCCAAACCTTCCTGGGGACCGGAACAGCGCAGCGTCGGCAACGGCTTGAGATGCATTCATTCATCGGGGAAGAACACCCACGACCCAATCACCGTCCGCACCATTCGGGCAGTTGAAATCCTTTCCAGTAATGATCAGAGGTCAACAATGCTTGGCTTCTTGGTATACATGAGTATTTAAGCACTCCTGTTCCCCTGCACCGTCACGTCCTTCAATATACGGTCATACCAAAGCAATACCTTAGCGCGGCTCGCCGTTTACCCTGGTAATTTAGCAGGACAACCCTAATATACTTAGCCTGGCAGGGGACGCGTGTTAAACCCATCCATCCCGAGACATGCCCCAGTTCGATGGTCCCATGCGCCATGATAACAACCGTCCGAACAAAAATAACACCAGCAGCGCTTTTCCCTCCCTGTGGGGCTGATTTTGTTTCCAGTACAGATTTTCCTTCCTCGCCTGAGACAGCTTGCGTTGTTGATTGTGCAAATTGTACAGCACTATGCGATTGTACTCCATGTGCGATTCAGAAATAAATCAAAAATACAATAAAATACATAAAGAATATTCTTTCTTCCCTCTCTTATCCTGCACCAACAACAGGGACGACGAACCGCCCCTTGCTCATATCTTCTCTTAGTATTGTATTTTACTCTTTTTATTGTTTTTTTGTTCTCTTTTATTTTATTTTATTTTATTTTATTCTACTTTTTTTTTTATCTTTCTGCCTATCACCTCTCCCTCTCTGTGCTACACAACCACGCCAACAGCATTATTGATGCCTAGAATAAAACAACAAAATATCAGTTGTCCCTCTCTCAAAAAGACTTCCAATGGCACCGACAATGAGTAATAGAAACCCATAACTAGTTGCCCAACCCCTACAGATCTCCATAAACCCCAACTCCACACCGGAGTACACACATACGTATACATACATAAATCCATCCATCCATCCATCCACCCACCAGGACCCCTTTCACGGGGTTTCTTCAAAGGCCCTCCAAACCCCAGTTCTAAGTACTTAAATCAATGGGTTACATGCATGTCACCCACCCGCACCAAACAAAAAAAAAAACACACACACACACAGTACCACATCCAACAACAACTTTTTTTTATCATCCAAGAGACTAAGCCATTAATGCACAGTGCAGAACATACATAAAGATCTGTTTCCTCGTTCGTGTGTAACCGTGCTTTTTGTTTTTCCGTCGGTGGGGAAGGAATCCTTTCTTTTGCTTTTTGCTTGTCCTTTCTTTCTACCTGTCTAGGCGCTAAATATACTGCGCCCTGAGACAATGGCGCTGTTCGGACCACGAGGCTATCTTGACTGTGGTGTGGGTAGTACTCGAGTATTTCTTCTTGGGTGGTTCTTTGGAATTGCATGAATGGGATTGGAAATAATTGTGCTGCGGGCTTTGGGGTAGGTGGGTGTCTCGAGTCTTGGGTTCCTGGTAGTAGTCAGTACTAAATTAAATGCATGAATGAGTGTGGCTCGGGCCTTTGCTGCTGCTGGTTGGGGCTGCTTAGGTAGTATTAGCAGGGTGTGTGTCGTTATGGATATCTTGGGGGGACCTGGTATGGGTTCCGTCTACTCCTACTCGTCGGTCGGATGTGTAGTTCTTTTTCTTTTTTTTTTTTTGTTTTTTGTTGTGGTTTGGACTTGTTAGTGGTGCATTTATTTATTTATAGGCTATGTGCGTATTTGTTCATGATTTGTTTGGAGGATCGACAAAGTTGAGAAGTAACCAACAGACTTTGGTCGTTGTGTTGGTGTTGGGTGATTTAGTATGTAGTGTATATAATAGTCGACCCACACCAATTGGTTTAGAGGATACCATGTTTAATGTTGATTTCTCCCCCTACGATGGTTCCAGAGTACTAAGGGACTCAATGGTATGTTTCTGTCCCTGCCCGGATTTACCGTAGACAGTCTGTTAGAAAGAGGGGGCAACGAGGATAACATGACTCAAAAGGTGTAAGTATACAATTTCATTCCCATAGATAATTCTCAGCCATTACGATTCCCCAATCCACGACACATATACCCGCGAAGACAAACCAAGTAAAAGAGCACCACTAAGTCTCAACAGCCTTCGTCCTCAATCCCACAATCAACGACTTCTCAGCATCCACCGCGAGGATATAATACTCAATCAGCGACGACCCAACCTCAACCCGATAAACCTTCACATCCACCGCCGATTCATCCCCTCCCGACGACTCCGCGACGGCGGCGCGAACCGCGCGCAGCGCAGACGGGTACTGATTCCTCGGATCAAAAGAGGATGGTGATAGAGTAGTGATCGATGATGAAAGATCCGCATTCGGCGAGATCAGCCTGGATAGATGCGCTTTAGAAGAAGAAGTAGTTAGCATGAGAACCACGTGGAAATGCCTTTTTTCGGTGGACTGCTCTTTGAGGTTGTGGAAATCAGAAGTCTCACGTACAAGGATCAGGGAAGATTCCTTGAGACGCGCCCTCCCATCGCAGTGCGACGGGTTCGAATGGCTCGTCAGTTTCAGAGATGTAGTAGGCGTCAACTGAGGTCAGTGGAGCTGGGACGTGGACACCCGTTTCGACTGTTTCAGTACGGACGGCGGGGGAGTCCTGCGCTTGTTGAGCTCGCGCGGTGGCCAAGTCCGCGTTGGCCTTGTTCAGGAAGTTCATGTAGGCGTCGTCGGACATGGTGCGCGAGATGGTGGTTCGGAGAGGGGCAGGTGGTGAAACAGTGGTGTTGTCGCGTGTTCGGTGAGGGCTCACGAAGAGTGTTCTATGAAGATGGTGGATTTGGCGGGAGGACTGGGGACCGTTCTGGAGCGGAAGTCGGATGACTGAAGGGCGGAGGGGGAGTTTGTGGACTTCTGGCGATGAGATTGAAGCCCAACACCAGATGCGATCAATGACGCAATGCCCTCGGCGGCTGAGCGGCATCGGGATTGGATGCTGCAGCAGTTGTACTGGAGTTTTGCCACGGAAGAAGTTCGGGGCTGGGGACGGTCAGATTATAGGGCCAAGCACGGCCACCAGAGTTCGATGATGATGAGCGCTACCCTAGAACAGGGAGGAGTTAATGGCCTGAAAGAAGCCATGTCTTCTAAAGTTAAAGGCATTTCTTCTAGACTTGTGCCAGAGAAACGCCAAGGCTTTCCCGCCGCACAAATGGCAAATGGATACACTACTGTACAAGTTGCCAGACATTGACATTCCTACAGGAGAATTTTGTGTTCTGCGATTCCGTTCTCTTGAATGTCATGAGATTGCCTTGCAGCTACGTAAAGCTAATAGAAAGAAACTAACGATCTCCAGTCGGACCCCAGACTTGGAAGGTATTCGCTTTTTTATTGAAAAAATAAATAATTTGCACTACACCGTATCATATCCATAAACACCTTAAGCGGAAGTAACAAGGTCCTTCTTGAGGGTACCCAAGAAAGCGCGCTTCTCCTCGGGGGTCTGGAAGGCACCGTGGCCGAACTCGGAAGAGGTGTCGACCCACTTGAGCTCGATCTTCTCGGTGGCCTTGCGGCTGGTCTGGGGGTAGAGGGTCTTGCGCAGGGTCATGACACGCTTCTTAACACCAGGGACGGAACCCTTGAGCATAACGAAGTCGTTCTTAACCTCACCATAGCGGACGAAGCCACCCATGCTGCGGAATCGTTAGTCACGGCATGTCAATCGACACAGAGGTTGTGCCACAGGAGTACTTACGGAGTGATCTGCTTCTTGGAGATATCGAACTCGGTGGAGGCGTTGGCCTCGTCGGAGCCCTTACCGATACGGTAGACCTTGTGGTTGCAGGAGGTACGGTGGTGGTAACCCATCTGACCAGCACGGGCAACAGTCCACTGGACGTGGTTAGGGTGCCAGGCACCGATACAAGCAACCTTACGCAGACCCTTGTGAGTCTTACGGGGAAGCTTCTTGGTACCCCAACGGCTGGTGACACCCTGGAAACCGTGACCCTTGGTGACGGCAATGACGTCGATCACCTCATCCTTCTCGAAGACGGAGTCGATCTCAATGGTCTTCTCGAAGAGGTTGCGGGCGAAGTCAACCTTGTCGGCAACGGAGCCACCGTTGACCTGGATCTCCATAAGGTGGGCCTTCTTCTGCTTAAGAGGGGTCTTGCGGATCTGGGTGTGGGCGAGCACACGGACGACGGTACAGTACTTCTTGATGCGCTCAAGCTCGCGGGTGACGGAGGCACCGCTCTCCTCAGCGTGCTGCTTGGCGTACTTGGTGAAGGCCTTCTTCTTGCTCTTGTACCAGTTCTTGTAGAAGCGGCGCTTGACCTCGTCGCTCAAGTGCTCAGCCCAGACGGTGGTGAGAGAGCGGAGACCACGGGGAGTCTCAATGTAACCGACGACACCGATAGCGACAAGCTAAATGAAACTCGTGAGTACGTGGCACTTCCGCGCCCACTCGGGCGAAATGATTGATAGGTGAAACATACGGGAGGGGTCTCGATGACGGTGACAGCCTCGACAACCTCCTTCTTGTGCATCTTGGCACCGGGTCTGTCAAGGTCACGGACAACAGTGGTCATACCGGCCTTGTAACCCATGGAGGCCGTCAGGTGAACGGGCTTCTTGGGGTCATCCTTGGGGAAGCTATCGCGAGTCTCAGTATCCTGCCTTCCAATATCCCAATTCAACATGAAAATTTTCATCCAAAACTAACCTCTTGACCTTTCCACGGTGTCTGGCAGCGCGCTTGCGGGGCAGGTAGGCAAGGGAGCCTGTGCAGAGCTGTGTCAGTAGGACGCACACAAAACACACCCACGACCTCAAAATTCGAGGTCGTCCGAAAGAAACTGAACAAAGATTGACGAACCGTGCCGAGGCGCTTCGTACTTCCGGTGACTCCTGTTACAGAGAATGAAAATCAGCGATTTGATTCTTGTGAGGTCATGATGGCATTGCGCCAGCGTGGGAACTCACATCTTGACCCTGTTGTCGTTAGTCGTCGAAGTGGTGAGTGACAGTGTCTATCTCTTGAGTCGGCCGCAAAGTCATATTTTGCACCGCTTAACGAGTGTGGGCTGACCTAAGCGATGCCACCGCTAATCCTGTTCAGGTTAGGTACCGCCGAGAGGGTAAGCGACTTCCATGTGTGCCTGAGGCATTGATAATATTTCGGCCACTATTCCATTCTTAGTAACTTCGGCGGTTCCTCCTGACCCCCCGTAACGTTGTTTCTCCAGTGAAAGCTCTACCAGTACCATACCACTAGGTTAGTACCTCTCCCGTAGCACATGGAGAATCGGCTCCAGGCGCTCCAAACACAGCCTAAGGGTTGTGCACAAGGCTCAGTAGCATCCACCACCACATCTTACCGCCTTACTACGCGTGAACTCGAAAACTACTATTTCATGAAAGTATCTTACTTGACCTAGTTTGCCATTTTCTGTTGTTGCTACCTTCAATCATCAAGAGTTAAAAGACTAAGACAAGAGATGAGAACGGATGGGTTGTCGCAGGGCATACAAATGTAAAACAGGAACGTTTAGAAAATGGAATAGATACAAAAGCACAGAGTGGGAAACGTGCATCGCCTTCCTACTGTGCCGTTCGGAGTCATACAATACAGACCAAGTGGCTAAGATAGCAGACAAGGATGAACGCCACCAGGAAAGGGCAGGCCCAAAAGTAGAGAAATGAAGGAAAGGGGAAGTAAGGGGTGAAGTATATAGATAGTAAAAAAAAATGGAAAAAGAAATCGAAGTAGAAGTAAGCGAAGGCAACAGGAAGTCTCATAATGATAACTTCATGTGAGCTTTTGGATTTAGGCTCAGTCCATAGGCAACATGGTACATTCATCAAAGGAAACAGCAGGAAACTCATTTTTTTGAAGTGGTATCCTAGGCTGTAGACTCCGGTTTTGACTGTGAAGTCTGACTGCCATTGGTGGCATTATTGGCATTGCCCGACCCGCTGGCAGAAGGGCTACCCTTTACAGCAGCGCTGGCTCTTTTATCATCATCGCCATCATCATCATAGTTCTCGTCCACGTCCATCTTCCGCGCAGCTGGTTCATGAGCCGGGGGTTGCTCGTTGCGGGCCGGCTCCTCCTTAACCTGCACAGGGGCAGAAGGTCCAGGCTGTGGTCCGTTGGCTGCCGGAGCAGACCCTTCAGCCATTGGAGGAAGGCCGGAGCCAGAGGCGTGTTGTGGCATGTGTTGAATGGATGGAAGTGTTGGAGGGTGATGAGCGGCCTCGGAAGGATGGTAACTTTCGTTGATACGACGTTGGTCTTCGCGTCGAACTTCAGACGAGCTGCGACGTTGCATCTCGCCGGGGGAAGGCATGCGGTTTGGGGGAGTGACACGACGAGGAAGCTGTTCGTCGAGACGAGCTCGGCTTTCCTCATTTGCAATCTTCTTAACGGGTGCGGACTCGGCTTCCCACTCGCGGCCCCGCTTCATTGCAGAGGCGGGACGATCTTCACGTTCGCGAGCAGCGGCCTCAGCGGCAGTGATCGCAGATGGAGGTGGGGGTGCACCGCCCGCAATTCCAGTGCTACCAGCGCCCTGTACAGGAGGCACACTAGGACCATGATGATACTGCTGGTGTGGGTAAGTGGAACCAGGAGACGAGGGCCGCTCATCACGAATAGGCCTAATCTCAGTCGGAGGGGTGAATGGGCGATGATAAGGGGGTAGAGGGCCGCCAGAAGTAGGAGCACCATTAGGCGCACCTGGAGCAGGAGGGGGCCCTGCGGGAGCAGGAGGTAACGGTCCTCGAGTGGCGGAAGGGAAACCGCCAGCACCACTAGGGGCACGCTCGTGAGACGGCGCAGGCGGGTTGGCAATCTGAGGAAGTGCATGTGCAGGCGCATACACGCCTGGGCCGGCCAATGCAGTCTTTGGGGAACGAGCTGCTGTGGGCGGAGGACGGACAGCATCGGGGAAGCCCCTCCCTGGCTCCTGGCGTGGGCTGGGTTGCTGAATAGCTGCGGGAGCTCGAACCGCATCCCTGTGGTCAAATCCATTAGCCGCCTGGGCCTGAGCCTGAGATTGAAGTTCGTTGATTCCACGATTCCAATCAGCGATCTGCCTCGGCGGAGCAGGGGGCTGGGGAGGAGGACCCCCAGTCGGTGCCGGCGCACCCCACTGAGGAGCGGGAGGACCTCCAACGCCAGTCTGATAGGCCTGGGGATGGACATCCTGAGGTTGAGGAGCCGGGGCATTGCTCTGGTTGCTACCCGACAACTGGCTCTGAAGGAGCTGCAGGCGTGCTTTGATGTGGACGTTGGTCGGATCCAGATCGGCAGCACGACCGTACGCGTCGAGAGCATCCGCAATTTGGTTGTTACAGGACTCATACTAGATACAAAGTCAGTTTCGTCTATTGGCGTATTCTCAGGTATCTGTGAGCTTACCAAAGTTCCCAAGTCATACCAAACTTCTGAGATGTAAGGGTTTAGGCGAATAGCACGCGAGTAAGCATCCAACGCATCGCGGTACTGATTGATTTGGTAATAAAGCACACCAATGGAACACCAGAAAGTTGGGTTCCGACCATCCCGGTAGACGGCTTGTTGGTAGGCCTCGTAGGCTTTGGGATACTTGGCTTGGGACATGTAGCATCGGCCAAGCAGGTACCAACTCTGCGCATCAGTGTTGTCTATCACAAGCACAGAACGTTAGACTCTTCACATTCGCGTTTCAAACCAAGTAGAAACCTACCTGCGCTAACTGATTTCTCAAGGTACTCGATTGCCTTTTCTTGGCTGGCGTAGCTGTTGCTCTGTTGGTGATACAGCCACCCAAGTTGTTGCAAGACCTTCGCGTGATTGGGATCGCGATCAAGAACCCGTCTATAGGCTTGTTGTGCGGAATCAAACTGCCAAGGTTAGCCCGAGTCTAAAACCATGGTGGGTTAAGAAGCTCACATCTTTTTGTTGCTCGTGGACATGACCGATTTGAAACCAGATGTCTTCCTCCGTAAGAGGACGTGGGGGATCGGTGACAATATATTTGAAGCACTAGAATTGAAGAATCAGGAAACTGGCCCAATGGCGACTTTGGCGCATGGATACTAACCTCCAGACTCTGATTGAACTTCTGCTGCTGCTTGTAGATTATTCCCAATCTGAAGTAGATTTCATTGGCTTTCTCGAAATCAGGCGCCATTCTCATAACCTGGGAGAAGGCTTCTTCGGCGTGATCGAGAGAACCATAGCGATCGTAAAGAATACCGATACCGTACCACAACTTGGGTTCCTACAAAGACGATCGTGGATTAGGCATGTCGTTCCATATGACAAATTGGGCTAACATACCTTCGGATCACGCAGATGGTAGAGCGCTTGCTGGTAAGAGGTATACGCCTCTTGCAAGTTATCCATCATGAGATGGCAATGCCCTGGGCTGCTAGTCAGTCAACTGCTCGTTGCAGGCATGTCGTTAGTGAGCACATACCCAAACTGCCCCATGTCTCGCCGCTCGTTGGGTCCAGCTTCAGAATATTCTGCAAATACTCAATCGCCTTTGGGAACTGTTCCTTGGTCCGTAGTATACAGGAGATCGCGTTCATTGCAGGAATAGACCATTGATTATGCCGCAAAGCTTGTTCATACGCATTCATGGCGCCGTCAAGATCCCCCATGAGTTCAGTTAGGCCACCTAAGAGAAGCGGTCAGTGTACGTCGCGGGATAAACTAAAGTGGCTATTGAAAAGCCCGCGCAATGTCTCAACATACCAATTTGAAGCCACACCTGTTCATTCAGTGCGGCAATCTTTTGAGCAGTGCTCATGGGAGGACCCTTCTGGCCTTGCGACTGCAAAGGCATGTGGCCATTAACCTGCGGGTGAGCAGCAATATGGCCATGGTGAGGTGTGACGCCGCCTGTGGGCGACGGCTGGGTGTGAGCCATAGCGAGGGTCAAACACTAGATGAATCGCAACGCAACCGAATATCGAGATGTTGTAGCTCCGGATCCCATAAAACCTGCGACACAATGATGCAATCCGAGTCCGTGTCACTCACAGAACCACGATGTATGTCTTCGCGCGTACCAAGGCCCAACGGTTCCCGCAAGCGCGACTTTTTCTTTTCGAGGCCACTATCGATGACAACCGTGATTCAGTCGAGATTGTCAACTGAAAAAAAAGCCTTGGCGCCTTGACCAGAATGGTAGAAAGCTCCGTTTACGCGCTTCGCCGGGAGTGAAGCTGATGTACGGAAGACGGAAGCGCTAAGGGCCGCGCACAGGCAATCGTTCCGACGTAGCGCTGGAAGGCCAGCACTGTGGGACAGAAAGATTGTGAGAGTATGCGAAGGTAATATGAAAAGGGGGAGGGCCTCGGCCGGCAAGAGTTGGCGCTATGAGTAAGGCACAACCCAATAGCCGAGAAAGGGAGGGTGGGTAACGGAAGGGGAGAGGAAAGGAATTGAGATGCAAATAGAGACAAGGAAATGTATAGGAAACAGGGGAAAGTCACCAACAGGAAAAAGCGAAGAAAAAGGAAAAGAAAAGGAAAGAAGCAGAGGAAAGCGAGAGAGGAGGAAGAAGAGGAAGAGGAGAGAAAGGTCGAGGGGCTGGTGGTAGAGGGCGAAATTTGCCAAGCGGCGCTAGTGGTTGTGCAGCTCTCGAGCAGTCAGCGAAAGCAAAGGAAAGCACGGAAAAAGGTGAGATGGCGGTCGTCCGGCGCCAAGCCGAAGACAGACAGCTTACGACCAGGAACGGTCTAGTGGGTGGGGACAATCTGGAGTCGTGTCCGCGGGTATTTACAGTTAATATTTTCCGGGCACCGGAATCTCAGGTGTGCGCATTTGAATGCAGGAGCAAAGTACAACAGGGTACAGGGAAGATCGTCTCCCTCGTTGACTTGTCTTACCCAAGGTCTTGATAGATCCCAGTCGAGTCAGTGCACAAATTTAATTTCACACGAATGGGGATTTTCGTTAATTTTCTCTCTGTCTCTTTTCTACAAAGCCCGATGTCTTCCATTGACAGTCTATTCCTATGTACGTTCATTATGATCTCAGCGACTCCATCGACTTGCGGATAAACCATTATATATATATATATATATATATTTTACTCAGCAACTCTAATATTCTAGATTTTCGTGTGGCTTTTCCAACAAAGGAGTATGAGAGGGATGGAAAGAGGAGGCTCACGTTGGCAAGCGGGGCACAAAGTGTGATAAATAGGAGCATGGACTTTAGTGCAGAGAAGAGTAGCAAATTAAATTTTATTAAAATTAGTAGACAACGTAGACTAAAATATTAACTGTAGGAAAACGGAGTAGGTCAGTATGATTTAAGCGGGTTTAGAGAGAGAGAAAATTTCAGCAAAAATCTTTATTTTTATTTATTTATTTTTATTTTTTATTTTAGTTTCAATGGAGTCGAACCGTCCCGAAACAGGGCAGTGTCTGACGAGGATGCAAGCGCCGGAGCCAGAAAAGCAACTCCAGGGATTGCAGGACGTAAGTCGAGTAGCACGAACCCCCGGTTGTGACTCGCCGAGAGGCTGCGGGTGGACCATGGAACATGGACCCACCGACCCTCTCTTCCCCGTGCCATTATTTATTATTTAATAAAATATTGCAGTATTTACGAAAGTGCCACCAATAAATCCTGACTGCCTTAGTGGGTCCTCAACCGACATACATGACTGGCGTATGGCCATAAGCTCAACTACCTAAGCTCCCGGCAGCCTAGTTAGGCATGAGGCAGACTCCACTTGGACCACCTGCAAATGTTGCAGTGGCCCCCAATAATCCCAGAAACTGGCCTCCCTTCTCCGTACTAACCGTCTGCATCTTAGACTGTGCCGGACCATACACACATATGGAGTAGGACCCTCTGCGGCCCATTCTCCAATCCCCATACTCCCAAACTCAGGAGCGAGTAACAACTGACGGATCTCAATACCAATATCCGGGCCAACCCCTCTCTTCCTCCACCCTCCTTCAACGTCTCTTCCCCCCTCCACCATCTGACACTGGCATACAAGAGTACGTCAACCTGGCCTGCATATCCCCGGTGATGGGGTACGGTTGAGGTGAACGGTCAGTGCTCGCTTGCAGGGGACTGCTGCATATGTTGATATGGCTTTTTTCTTGTTTGCCATCTAAACTCCCCCTCCCCTTTTTTTCTCTATGGCCTTGGGAAGTTGTACGAGGAAGTCGCTAGGTCCATAATATGGGGATAGTGGTAGTTGTGCTCTATGTTTGGCTCCAGATCCACACCAAGACGTCGCGATTCCTTTAGAAAGACGATGCAGGCGGCTACAGGAGTTGATACTACCCAAAGCTTTTTTCTTTTTTTAAAATTTTTTCCCCCTTTACCCTTTCCTCACTCGCTTCTTACTTTGCCTCTTCCGTCATGGATCACTGAGACTGTGCGGCAAGCGTGCTTACTTAATACATTAGTCACCTGACAGGACAACGCACAGGAAATGCCACCAGCCACCCTGGCGGCAGCCACAGATTCCATCAAGTGGGGCCTTTCCGATGCTGATCCGTCGGCTTTCAGTTGATCTTGATAACTTGATACATCACCTGAGTGGGCCGATCTTTTCTTTTCTTTTCTTTTTACTATTTTTCTTTTTCCTTTTTCTGTGATTGACCCCCCTTCCACAGCAATGAATAATGGGCCGTTCTAAAGATGCCAGACTCCCCACTAGCACATCCACACACCCACACTATTTCCCATTCCTTCGCTTAGGTTAGTAGTGCTTTTTTCCCACCAGAGGGTCACTAACTTTGAAGTTTCTAACGCCGGGAATCCTAATTAACTTTAGGCGGGCCACCCGACATCCTTAACCCTTTCCCTTGTTAGGGGGCAAGCGGTCTCCTAGCGTGAGTCTGCTCCGTCGTTCACGCTCCCCTATACTGAATATCTCGGCGCTCCGTTTTCTCGGGGCCGAGTCTCAGCCCTGAATCCCTGAACAGCGATGAGCACCATCCATCTCATCTCCAGGGATTGAGACTTTGACTATGATCGAATGATCGACCCCACTAGTATATTCAAGCTATCTAGTGCTCTGTGTGATATACTGAGTACGTAGTATAGAGATAAGAATAAGAACACGTAGCCGGGGGAAAGTTTCCCATTCCGAGAACATTCTGCTCGTGGGGAATGCCTTCATTCTTGGACTGCGTGTACTGAAATCACGTGATGACCCTTCAGGTGACAGCTACACCGGCCCCAAACAATAACCGACGGACAGCCCAGATTCGTGACGAGGAGAGTCAGAAAGTAATACCATACTATTCATATACTGGCTCCCCCATAGTCAGCACTGTATTTCAAACCATGCAATTCTCATGACAGCAATCTGCCATAGCCTGGGTGTGTCGACCTCTATTTTAATCAGGACTAGTGGTCTCTCTTTAAAACCATCATAGCGCCGTTAAGCCCAAAGGTTGTTTATTCTCTATTTTCACCTATAGCAAAGGATCGCGCTAGTCTCAGATCTTCACTTGTGAGCATGTCGACGATCTTGATTGAGAACGGAGCAGGGCGGAAGTGCTTGAAATATACAGATGCCCCTATCACACTACAGATGCTGGTAACAATAACAATAGAGCCAACACTGCATCCTCCCAGCATACCCATCTATATATTGACACTTATGCACCATCCCTCATACTTAGATAACACTTCTGATCTTCTTCTTTGCCCGCTCCGGGGCAATGTAACATCCACTATGCCGAGCACATACCTAGCCAAGTCCAGCATAGCCACGCACCTGAAACAGATGGTCCTAAAAAAAGTTTCGAAAACGGAGTCCAGTCGATTCCAGCACATCCGAGCCAAAATCGAACTGACCGAATACAAGAATGGCGATCAATGAATGCCAAGGACCTCGTAGTCACTTCCCCCCCCCATCAAACCAATCTCCTCCGAACGAAATTGAGAGGTGCATAAACGGCACACGCCCCCCTCCCCCAACAAATCTTTTTAAGCTTTACAAACTGCAGCATGGGAATAACTCCCATCGGCAAGGATGTAACGCCCATCCCTGCTGTTCTGGACCACCTGTTGCTGCAATGCAATGCATGTCTGCGGACTGGGATTGGAAGGTCGACGGTCCAGTTGCCCATCTCCGTGTCACTCGGGTACATTTGACAGAAAGGATCTGATTGCTGATTCTGCATATATGCGAGCGTACGGGCGAGAAGACAAATGGGCGCGCTATTATTAACGTTATCACTAATTCACTAATTCGTCTGAAGCAAAAAGTAACCTTCAAAAAATAAAAGAAAGATGGAAAAAGGCAGGTGTCATTTTCCTTCTTTTCCTTGAATGTCTACTCCTCCTCCTCCTCCTCCTCCTCCTCTTCTTCTTCCTTGCTCTTCCCGCTTCTTCTTCGTCTCCCGCTTATTAACTGTTGTATGTTAGTTACACAACAAAGCCTGCAGTTCACCCATCAGGATTCCAATCTGTCCTGTTGTGTGTGCGTGTGTTGCATCGAACTGCACTCCAGGGATGCAACTAACACAGCGCTGGGCAAGGGTCCCTACTGTACATTTGTATTACAGACGCCACTGGAATCTCCACCGCTGCACATATTTATCTCATCTTCGGGATCTTTGTCTGTTCTGGACTATTTGACAGTTGCCATGGGAAGGGCCCATTTCTTTTCCCGTCTTTTTCTTTACCCTTTTTTACATTTCCCCTTCTTGCGCTCTAGTCTTCCGGGTAAAGACCGATCGGGATGGTCCTTGCTTCTGCTGCACTTGTTTCGGGAACTCCACAATTGAAGTGAGCTCGGGGTTTGTAATGTGGCATTCAATTAATGGCGGGAAGTAAAGCCCGGGGCGATCTCGATCGGTTACTTCCGGTAATCACGTCTTATTGTCCTTTTACTTTAAGAGGAACTTATATTTTCAGGTGTTTATCGGGTAAGTCGATAAAATATATATCCGCTAGTAAATGTCAAATGTCGCCGGGAAGCATGGCCACAACGGAAATCGTGAGGATAAAGTAAATGGGCCAGGTTTCTTGCGATGCCGGTTTAAGGGACAGGAATGTCCGGGAACGTACGAACCAGAGCGACGTGGAATGTTAGATACGAGGAATCTGGGAACCTCTTGCTAGCATTCCAGCCCTATAGCCGTTTTGAAAAAGTGGAATAGAGGGGGGAGGAACTTGGTATCCAAGTTTCGGATCGTGCGTTTGCGTTGAAGGGGTATTTCTGAAGGAGTACTTAGACCTTATATTGAGCTTGCTCTATCTGGCATTGGTGTATGGGTTCTGAACTTGGTATTTTGAGTAGATTGTTGACTCGTTTTGGGGATTGAAATTGATCTGTATGAGGCTTTGAGTCCTTTCGTACATTAAGCCCGCGCTGGTTCATATATCAGAGTGTCACAAGCAATCCGGAGGCTTTTCTCAGTAGTATCCACAATCTGACAGATACTTGGTATCTATCATTGTCGGCGGTTCATACCAATGACGTGACTAGAGAAGCTCCGCCAGATGCATTCAGCGAATCCCCAGTTGCTGCCAAGTTTCGTCGTCAGAATGTCCAGCCACAGAACGTATGTGAATCCATGTCCGAGATTCTGCCTTTGTACACGTCTCATATGGCGTCAATAAACCAGCCATACCACTCACGCCATTGGTTCACTTACCATGCCCCCTTAACAGAATCGCGGTACTTCGGCACAATATATACGGGCATATCGCAAGTGAAACTTCAGAGATCAACGGAATCAGGACAATAGTAGACCCATTCCATATCCCCTTCCGTCATGACGGGTGATATCAGACCCACAGGAATGTTCCATGACTCAACCATCCACTCACCCATCAGACACATACCAACCCTATGAAGATCAACGAGCCAGTTCGATCAGAACGGATCAGAAATGCCCGCTACGATCGGCCTCAAGCTAGCCCAATGAAGCACGATAAAGTTAATAAAATCAATAGTTCCCCCAAACCACCCCCGAAGGAAAGAAGGAAAAAACAAGGAACATGACATCTGCCGTATCACATATTGTCACAACGAGAGCCCTATGATGGGGCTATCTTTATGGTATCTCTGTGAAGCTGATTTTGCTTTTCTACTTCGGTGGGTGGGTCCGTACTCATTCTCAGATGCAGGGGACCGCATACATATGTGGGTTTGATGTGTTATCGGCTCCACTGCCTCCTTGCATGTGGACTGAGCATTCGTGGTATGTAGGTGGGTAAACAGAGTAAACCCATCGCTGGATGACAACATTCTACAGGTCTTTAATCTGCGTCAGTGGATGTATTAAGCTGGGGGGGGTGGCGATGGCTCTTGTGGTGTGGCGGGACTTGAGGTATGTCTTTATTTTCTTGGTAGATACCTCTCGTTCTCTTCGCCTGTGTTATGTGTATGGCGTCATGTGCATATATATATATATATATATATATGTACACTTGCAAGTAAGTGATGATATTTTTAGATGGAATCTTGCTTCAATGTAGGGGTAGATACATAATGTTACCATTTCATGTCGATGTATGTACACCGTAGGCGGAAGAACCTCGGGCCATTTGGTGTACGGGATAACCGCGATTGGCCCCCATATGCAGATCTGAAGACAATCCGTGCTCATACCCATCGGCGGAGATCTGCATGCCTGGGTATGATCATTTGGATGAATATCGCTCATTTGTTATCTGATATATGATCCTTATATAGTAGATCTGGGAGACACTTATGATCATCATCTGCTGTTGACTTGCACAAACGGTCGAGCCTGTGGGGTGAACCAGGGTGTCCATCATTGCATTAAGGCTGAGACAGCGGTCCAACACTTGGTTTTCACAGAGTGGGGATCGTTGATGGACAGCCCGGTAAGGCCGCGAGATTTCATGTGTCCACTCGGCTAACCGGCACCGTCAAACGATTCTGACAATCTATTTAAGTGCGTCGCTAATGTGTATCGAAACCGTTTGAATATAATTAAAGTTGGACAATTGGACTTGCAGCGAGATTTCCTATAACGCACATGACCCACGATCCGACGGACGGTTATTCAAGGAAATATATTTATGTAGATTTCATAGCCATGTATGGCCCAATAATAGGGGTCGGAAATCAAATGCCCATCTTTATCGTGGGGTTTCCGACACCGCTACGGAGTACAGGCAGGCCAACTGCTACGCAAGACTGATGATGATCCTACTACTAGTAGTAGTGGGTTGGGCATTCATTTCACTGAGATTTTATCGGCGCCAAGATTGACGGAATTATGTATTTGACCCGACTTTAATATAACGTGGCTTGATGGCGTGTTACAGCAGCATATAATGAACTGTGCACAACTGTCACCGAGATATATTGATATAGTTAGTATACTTACGTATGAGTAGGTTGTCATATCTCTGGTTCGGTTTTACCCTGGTAAGAACGAACCCCCATCGCACGCCACTTTTACAGAGACCCTACTGCCAAGCTATGAGTACGTATGCTCTGTGGTACACACTCTATAGGTAACAACATTAGGAATCGTGAGCGGTCATACCCGCTTCCCCAGACGTTACTCCGCTCCAGCCACGGGAGGCACAGTTATGGCAAATGACATGTTCCTGGCCAAGAGCACGAGGTTGCGCTTCATCCTTGGGGCTCTCTCGGCAGTGTGGCCAAGGCGCCTGGAACTGTTGCGAGATATAACGAGCCAACGGCAACTGCTGCCCAGAGAATGCTGATCACAATGAAGGGACAAGATTTTCATTGTGAGTGCCAGCGATTATAATTCTATGCCGTGCAGCGCCACATGTCATTTGTGCTCGAGCCGGTGGGAGATCCGAGGAGAAGCTGGTCGGATACTGCCAGGGATCGACATCTTCTCGGGGCAAGCTGGCAAGCAGTCCACTCCGATAAAGAGCTTGTAGGAGAGCCCCATCGGGGTACACTACCGCCGGAACTCCCCTATTAAAATATCTCTCCTTGTCGATCGGCGGCAGTAGTTGGGACGATCTCAGACAGGCCACGTCTGACAATCCGGGACACAAAAGCAGTCGTACAGTTGCTGTTTACCTAATATATTGATCGTTTACTGCGCCACTTTAGACACGATGCACACGGTAGAAAGTGATGAGGTAGGGGGGACAATTGCCAATCTCTCGGCGACTCTGGGCAATTGGCTCGGCATGGTTGTGGGAAGAGCGAGTCGTTCTTTGGGGTTTCAGCCATCGATCGACTTCGTAACTCTCATGCAATCACGAGATTTGGCTTATCATGAAAGGGGCTCCACCACACAATGGGGACGTCTTAGTCGAGATCCATGTCAATATGTGCAAGATAACCAACAATGTGGAATCAATTTCGAAAGGGAAGATGAAACAGGTTCAACAAATGAAAGACACAAATCAAACGAAACATCAGTAAAAAACCACCAAAGTATTAGGGTGTGTAATGGTGCATACGCCGTAAGAAAACTAGACCCCCCCAAAGATCTGGTGTATTACTGCCAAGCCGCTCATCCACCTCCGAACGCGGATCATAGACACTTTCCTTTGTTCAGACAACCAATGACGGTGTCTGCAGGTGTTGTTGAAATCCCCGCAGGGCTCTTGGCATCTTGGCGGAGTGGCCAGAAAAGGAAAAGTGCCAATACTGCAGTGACGACCGAGGCCCGTATGACTCCATGGGTTTACGGTATTGACCCCCATTCATTCTTTACTCGACGGGACACGAACACAGCATCTTCAACATTTCGTTGTATCGCCCAAATGGCGCGGGTCTTCTCTCAGCCCCGAGGATCCTTCCTCTGTCCTTTCTCCCGGGCCATGGACTTCAGTCCACCTCCGTGATATATATATATACATGTCTTCTTCCTTATTTGTTGATATCCTCATAACTTTTGAGGGGAGGAAGACAAGTGAAAGGAAAAATAAGAAAAGACCCAAAAAATAACACAGTGAGCATCCATTGACGTCGTCCAGGGTGCCAAGGGCTCGGCATCTGGGCGTCTTGGCAGCGAAGAAAAAGCAGAAGAAGGAGAGTCTTTCCGCTGCATTTGAGCTCTGCCTTTTTTCTTGTCCTTGTCTTGGAATTCCGCTCTGTCCTACTATTGCTTCTCCATGGCATGCTTATAAGTTTCCCCTTCTTCCGCTCCTCTGTCCGTCGCCTCCATCCCTCCTCCGATCAGCCCTCCTCACCATATCTCATCCTCTCTCCCCCTTCTTACCACACTACCTCCCCCCCCCCCACCTTCGCTGTGGGATCGTCACTGGTCTTTATCAGCGGGTATGCCCCTTGCGCTGCGAGCCATGCGGTGAGCATAACCTTGTCGCCCTGTGTACGATTCTGTACCACTCTGTGTCGCATTTCTGAAGGGGGTCGACGAAACGCTATCACGCCCTTGATTTCTCCACCGACTCTTTCGTCTCCCTTCATATCATCCGCTCCAAGATGAGGCAACCGGAGATGTCCCATTCTCCCGCCTATTACCAGGACCAGGACCATCGCGTGACGGCATATCTCCACGATTCGACTCCTGCTCCTGCGGCCGCACATCTTCCCCCGGAGCCCCCATCATTGCCTAATCACGGGCATGATTCCCGTCATCCGCAACTCAATTCGGTCGAGGATACAATACCCAACGCTTATCCCCCCGATTCATGGGATAATACCTACTCTCGGCATCCCCGTCGACATTCTCAACAAGCCCATAAGCCTCCCCACCGTCAGCCTCCGGTGGAGTCAATCTATCCGGATTCTGAGGTGCCGATCGTGGCCCCGATGACGTTCGTATCCTCGCCCTATCTGGACAACGGTTCCATATTGACACAAACTTCGTATAGTGGTGGAGCGGCTCGTAAAGAAGAGCGTGGCCGGAGGAGTTGGACGGATCATTCGTCGTACATGTCGAGCGACAATCATCATCTCGGAGTAACCCGCCTTCAGAAACGAGCGATTCATACGGAAGAACCCTTGGCGGATGATAGTCAGGATGCCCTGCTGATGCTAGTAAGGATTAGCCTTTCATGTCCTCTTCTTTTTTTCTTGTTCCTGGCTAACCACTTCGCAATTATAGTTTCGATTATCCGTCCCGGTGCCCATCTTCTCCCTTTGCGCATCCTTGTATACCGTCTTCGGGTTACTCTTCGTTCTTCTCGTCTCACCTTTCCGCCTTTGTCCCTGCATCCCATACTTTCGATCAACGTCATTTCGCGAGCAGTTGTGCCATCTTCTGGTACCTCAATTGCATATTCATGAGCGATTAGTTCGTTTGCGGGGCTCCGCGACTCGATCGGTATACAATGACGCCGATGGGTCATCCATCTCGGACCCGAGCGAACACTATTCCATTTTTGGATTGATTGCGGTCCTCTTGCTATCATCACTTCTTTCCATCGCATTTCTCCTCCTCGTCTGGACCGCGGCCTTCTTCTGGGTTTTCGCCATGGTACTTGGCAATCCCGATGGCACCGAACGCAAAGACGACGGCCGTGCTGCTGTACTTGGTGTTTGTCGATGGTGGCAGATATGGCTACGCAAGGCCCGAAAACCGCCTCGCGAATAGCCTGTCTGTAAATTATCCTTGTTGCCTTTTCCCACTTTTATTCCGTTCTTTGTTATTAAGCGTGATCCCGTCTTGGCTATTGGACTCTTTTCGATGTTGACATGATACCAATATGTGGGATATGTGGAATGATTTTTGAGGGGCTTTGTTCTTTTTATATCTTTTTGTTTCGCCTTCTCATCGATTTGATGAGATACTTCATGTGTACAGGAGTTGGGTTGGTCGCATAGGCGCCAGGAGCAGTTTTCATTTTTTGGTTACTTTTTTTCCCCCTCCTTTCCAATATCCAAATGTGCGCTGTGAAAGAACGGAAGACGGCTCCTGACGGAAGTGCTCACGGTGCCTCAGCTAATATGCAGGCCAACAGGGATTATCATCGAATCACGAATCAGGAAATCCTGTGTACTGTACTACTATTCACACGAATTGATACCCGGGCTGGTCTCATACCCTTTGCTTCTTTATGTGATGCGTCCATCTATTGCTCTGAAATATCTAAACTTTACACAATCCATGGCGACCCGTAATCTAAAGTCTTGGCTTCCCGTGCAGAATGTGATCTCCAATTAGACCAAGTGACCGCGGCTGGACCGATGGAATAGAGTTTGGTGTCGTCGTCGTCGGGTACGCAGTGCACTTGCCGATCTGACATGTCTACCCAGCAGGAGTTTTCCCTCGTATAGTTCATATTCCTCCACCCAATTAATTACCCACAACTGCATCAATTGCACCACCTTCCACGATACGAACAGCGCATTCCCAAGAACCAATAATATTTCAGCAACTTCAGGGTATAAAGATACCTATGTACGTAATCACCAGGGGAGAAAAGAAAAGCCGGAGGGAAAAAAAAAGCAATAAGTTTTCAACTACAGAGAAACTTCCAATGCAACCAGAGAGAATTTTGCGCAGTGCAACTGAAACTGTACCACAAACGAACAAGAAGAAAGGGATTCAATTTTGTCCAGCCATGCTTTCAAATACAGAAAAACTGTAACTTAGGAACTTCATCAGTTTCCTGTTTCATCAACATCAATTCATACAGGTTAGATATGTCTTTATTTTGTGAATTGGGAAGTATGGGAAAGGAAGAACGGATGTGGGGAGGAGTTTTGAATTGATTATGTGAGATGGAAGGGATGGTGTGTGTGTGTGTGTATGTGTTTTTATCTCCTCTTTCCGAAGCGGCCGCCGCGCATGGGCTTGCGCTTTTGGATCCGTCCTCCACTGGGTCCGTGGCTCTTAGGCATTCCAAGACCACGGCGGCCGGTTTGCTGTCGGTTGTCGCCTCTTGATGGGGCGGGCTCGTCGCCCTCGTCCACATCCATGTCGTCTCCGCGGTTGGATTTGCCCTTCTGGGCCTGGGCCATCTTGAACTTGCCGCGCTGGCCACGACGGACGGCGTCGGGTCCACTAACGGCCGCGACGTAGGCGTTGATGGCGCTGTCACATCCTTCAGCGTTGCCGTCAAGTCCACCGGACATCTCGACGTCGTTGTTGTCATCATCGCCCAGGAGGAGACGGCCTTCTGCGTCGACCTTGGCGGAGTGCTTGCGGCGGGATCCGGGGCCAGTGTTGAGGAAGCGGACGCTAGGCTTGGTGGTCGAGATACTGGCCAGGGCGTCAGGGGCGAGAAGATCCAGCGGGGTGTCGTCGTTCTCGCGGATGTATTGCTCGCTCTGCCTGTTGGGCTTCTTGCCCTTGCGGCCACCCTTGTTGATGGCGTGGGTGTCGCCGTGTTCGTCGACATCAAGTTCGCTAGCGTCGTCGTCAGAGTCGGAGAAGTCGGAGTCGTAGACGGCTCTGTCGAAGGCGTTGCTGCCGTAAGACTGGGCCTTGGCGTTCTTGTTGTCGGCGGCCTCTTCGTCCTCCTCGTCGTCATCACCCTTCTCAGCCTGCTTCTTCTTCTTGCTACGCTCGCGCTGCTTCCGGATGTTCACGACTAACTTCCGGTCGGCCTCACCAACCAGTTCTTCAATCGGGGCTGCACCGAAGCGGCGGATCAGGCGGTCCAGGATACCCTTGACCTTGCTGCGGAGACGGCCCTTGTGCTCCTTGCTCCATACCATGAGGTTTGGTACCAGAGTGTTGATGCGTGTACGAAGCACATCATCGGGAAGCACGACAACGGCAACCTTGACGAAGCCGAGCACAGATCGGACAATTTCGCGGTTGTTGCTGGTAAGGAACAGCTCCACGGTCTGCACCAGGTCGGAGCGCACAGCTGGTTGAATTTCGGTGTGGAAGTCGAAGAACAAGCGAGACAAGGCTGTCACGGATGCAGCAACCATGTGTGGCGAGCTACCTGCCAGACCCGCAGACACCATAGTGAAGAATTCCTCCATGGTTGCAGGAGCATCGGGAGCATTGTCGGGCATGTGGGGTACTAGCGAGTTGCGAATCTTGGTTCCAGCTGGGTTCAGTTCAGAGTCGGTAGTTCTCTTCGCAAGGTGGATGAGTAGATCGAAGGAAGCAGTCCTGGCCTTCTCGTTGCTCTCCTTGCAGCCCAAGACAACCTCAGAAAGGACAGAGGGGATGAAATGCAGGTCAGAGGTTGGGAGGTACGTAATGAGCTCGTCAATGGCAAGCATACGATCACGGCGAGCAGAGGCTGGTGTCTTATCCGCTGTCGAAAGGATGAGGGTTTGGAGCTCGGAACTCCGCTCACGGAGAGCAGCAGCACCCGTCTCAGTGGTGGCCAAACGGGGAATCAACTTGTATGCCTTCTTAATCAGCTGCTGATCACTAGTATGTCCATTTAGGACAGCCGCAGCCATGGCGAACAGGCTTGCAAAGCTGGAGCGAGGGAGATAAATCGACATGGCGATAACCAAGTCGATCAAAGTGTGAGAAGTGGGAGGCATCTTGTCACCAGCACCACCTTGTTGATGGCCCTGCTTTTCTGCAGCCTCCTTCTCCGAAGCCACCGATGACTCCAGCATAGAAGTAACACGTGTAAACGTATCATTGAGCTCCTGTAACATATCAATTAGTATGTAGCTCAAGAGTAGTGGGATAAGCGAACTCGACTAACCTTCTCGGGAGTGATACTCAAGTAAGCATTAATACATTGCAGAATGTAGCCTCTGTAATGTGGAAGTGTCTGGCTGTACACGTTGAAAAGCACAGCCAGCAAGTTGCTGGCAAAACCGGCAAGATGGGCGACGTTCTTCTCCGCATCCTTCTTGGTGATTCTTCGCTGAAGAACCAAGTCGTCACCCTCCGCCTCGAGAGACAGAATGGCCTGGTTTGACTCCACTAGGTTCTGCAAAGCCTTGCAAATGTCCACACGCAAATCAGCTTGCTTGTAGAGCACGTTGGAGAGAAGCTCGGCGAAGCTCTGATCGAAAGCCTCAACTAGATCCAAAGGCAGCTCGCAGTATCCAGGAAGAATGGACCAGGTCTGTTGAACAAGTGTTTCGAAGATCTTTGTCTCCACAGGCTTCTCTGCGGTGGTGAAGGCCATAACCTTCTGATACAGAGCTTCACTCAGAGGAACGAGCTCGGAACGGAAATGAGCGAGGTTTGTGTTGGTAACATGGTCTCGAAGCACAGGGAGGAACCAAACGCGACCCGGTTGACCGGCCTTTTGCTCAATAATATTAAGAGGCAGAATCTCAAGGACGGCCGCAGGGCCCATGGCTTCAACGGCACTGCCGAGAACCTGATCGGCTTGCTTCTTGCCATGGAAGGATTCGTTACTACGGAGCTCTCCCACAGTCTTCACAATGTCGTTCAAAAACGGACTGGACCGCCACTTGAAGCTATCGAACATTGCCGAGCACACATTGAACACTTCTGCCCAAGCCGCTTGGAACTTCACGGAAAGCAGATTTGTCGCTTTCTTGGCTAACTTCTCGAGCGTTTTCTCATCGTAGACCGATGGTTCAATGATCACACTATTAGGAATACAGTTGGCCATGAATGAAACCAGACATTCCGATGCCGAAATCCTAATGTTCTTCGATGGCGATGCCAAATAACTGGAGATCATGTCGAACAAGGAGGGCAGCTTCTCGAAGGTATCCTCGGGGCTGATCTGCGAAGACACATCGTACCCGCGGGACAGAACGGCAATCCATGGAGGGAGCAATTGCGAATCGTTCTGTGCGGGCTTCAATTCCGAAATCGCCTCAAGAAGACGGGGCAGCTTTGACGACGAGAAATCATCGGCCATGCTGGAGAAAATAACCTCGAACACCTCGAACGCACCCATTGTGATGAACTCGTTGCTCGACCGGGAAGCATTCATCAGCAACTCGCATAGCGGCTCGATCTTCTTGCTCGGCCAGCCTCCCGAGGCGGTCGCGACTGTCTTCACCAGTTGAAGGGAGTGGATGACCAGCGGATCATGGTTATGTGTGTGAGGGTCGTTACGGCCTCGCTTCTGTTTGGCTGCGGCGGCGATACTGTCGCCCAATGTGCGGAGTGCGGACTCGGCACACATATCTGCCGCCGGGTGATCAAGCGACGGGCTGGGAGGAGGAGTCTTCAGGACCTTGATCAAAGCATCCTGGGCCCTCTTGCGTACCTTAGGGCGGTGATCCACGGACAAGCTCAGCAAGCCCGCAGTGGCCCGGCGCGGGCTGATCTGGGTGTGGGGGAGATTCCATGCTGCGGCATCCTGAGCGATGAGTAGCGACTCGAGGCAGCCGATCGACGGTCTAAGCAACGGAGCTTCGGATTCGGGCAACGAGAGAGCGGGGGCAAGGCTGGTAAGAATCTGGGCGAACTTGGAACGGAGAATTGGGGCGGGGGCGTAGGCGGTAGTAATGTCGAGGAGGTAGACCACTGAGGTTGCCAGATCCTTGTTGACAATGCCCTGCTCGGCAGAGATCGACTGCGACAGCAAAGCAAGTAGCGCTGCGAAGTAAGCTGTAGGTGAAAAGTCTGCGTTCTGATCCCGGAGCGTGTCTTCCACTGCAGAAAGTACCACAGCCGTCTTATACCAAGTTAGCAATGGTTTTGCGGCACGACGGCGCGGGACTTACATGGTGCTGATTCTGCAACTTGGGAGACTTGATTTTCTCGAGCTTCTCCGCCAGGGTCGCCATGGTGGGCGGATCAACCGACAGGAAGTAGAGAAGTCGCTTCAAAAATTGCGACTCGTGAGGTGAGGAAGTGGGAAAGATGTGTGGTGAAAGCGGAGTTTTTTTTTGGAGTGGTGAATGGTTTTTTGGGTGAAGTAAAAAATTGGGAAAAAAGGTACGGAGATAAATTCTTGGCGGGCCCTATCGATAGCTATCGATAACTATCAGCTCCCAACCCATGTCCATAATTTCATCTTATGAAGTGAACCAAACTACACGCGTTCCATTCAGCAAACTTATCTAGGGATGTCACAAGACTTGAATTTCATGGTTTCCTGAGAGTCCGGGCGACAAGGCAAACTGTATCATGCCTCATCCGCCAAAGAGTTCTTGTTCGTATATTTGAAATAAAACACTGAAAAGAAAAAAAAGAAAAGAAAAGAAAAGCGTAATGAGACATCAGAGTCGTCAAACATGGCCGCTATCATCCAATCATTTGACCAGGCTTGAGCCTGCATCTTGTTCTCAACCACCCATCATACCAGCCATATTTAGTCCAATAGTTCCAGTGACTCCGTCAACTCAAGAACAGGTCACTTCCTAAGCTTTAGGAAAGTCAAGAAAGCCGCTACATCCACCGCATTCTTCATCGTATCGCCGTATGGCGATGAGCCCAGAAGAACAATAGCCTGGCTTCCACGACGATGCTGCAAGGCCCTTTTGTTCTTAGCCTCGACATATCAAATCAATCCACTTCGAGACCTTTGCTCTATTCCCCTTCACGAGCAAACAGTGTCTCGTTCTGTCTTTGTCCCAGCAAAAGGCACCGTAGACAGATATCAACCGACAGAAAGCCCTTGCTCTAGCCTAGAACAGGATCTCCCCGCTATGTTCAGCCTCGAAGCCGAGACCCTGTAGCTTGCCCTGACGTTTCTTGTCCCCAGTCTTTCGCTCACTATCTTCCTTCTTTTTTAGTTTAAAGACTTCCTCGAATGGAGCCTTTTGCACATGTGGCGGGATATCGTCTTCCTTATCGAGGTCCTATTGCGGCACAACCCATGTAAGTAAAGTTCCGAATGGAAGAAGCCAATGTAGAACTATAGAAGGGAGAAGGTAGAGATCTCCGAGGGCAGCATACAATTTCACCAAGAAGCAGCACATTCTCTCCTCGGACCAAGAAAATACCCCGTGAGATCTCAGCATAGAGATTGCCAGCATACAACCGCTCAATAGTATCCTGGAGGACAAGGTTGGCTGCAGAAATCGAGAGTTGGAGCGCGTTAGATCACCGATCGCATTTGAAGCCGATTTAATTAACCCATACCGAATTGATCCCAACTTCTCAAGACTCCAATCAATTTTCTACCGTCTCGTAGCACTAGGACGAGTTTCTCTGATCGTTGTTAATCCGTGTCCCCGACAAAACATAGTTGCCATACAATCGACGGCGAAACGATAAAGGCAACGCAGACATACTATCCGTCAAATCTAGCAATTGAGCAGCGGTCGTGAACATCTGCGGCGGTAACTGCGGCGGACCTTGTGACATCGGACCCAGTAGATTATTCTGCGGTGGGAACCCTGGAGGAGCATTTCCTTGCTGGTGACCACCAGAGGGGTCATTAATCGAGAGTCGTTCCATGTCTTCTATGGCACGAGCTGTCTGGGGAAAGGTAATGAAAGGGTGGGGGAGGGAGAGGTGACAATTCCGCTGCCAATTGCGGTGGGACGAGGCTCGGAAGCTTGGTTCTGGTAAGATACTCTCAAATACAATAGACAAACGGTGATAATCGCATACTGCGATAGTGATTATCAGAAGAAATAAAAGTGTGGGTTATTCTGTAAGCAACCCCGTGCTGAATTACTTCGATGTGGTGGGAATGAATGATTGAATATGGATGCTGCTTGGACCGCATGTTTGTTCTGTTTGTCAACCGCCGCCGGTTCATGACACAATGGGTCCGTGTCTACTCCGTAGCCCTAGTCTAGATCTAATGGGCAATATACCTGAACGTTGCTCTTAACATGATCCATAAAGGACAAGTTTTAGAGCAGGTTTCACGACTGCAGTATGGTATTCCTAGGCATGGGCTCACTAGTTTTAAATCGTCTTGCCAGCCGGCCCCTCAAATTATCTGACACCCTTATTGCCCAGGATCTTAAGATCTTAAATAGGATACCCCAAGAGACAGAATATCTGGCTAATTTGCCAAAACTGTCTTCCATTTCCGGGGGGGAAAAATTACTTATGGCATAGTACTACTAGTATAGATCTTGGAAGCGTGGCTTATGATTCTCTCAAATCGTTTCCGATGCCTTTATGATCTCGTCCTTCAGAGTTTGCCCACAAGAGATTTGATCCCATTCCCACTTACTTGGATAGGGTTTGCAGAGTGTACCAGCTAACATAGTTACTCCAGACGTCTTTTATGTATATTTAGTATCAAGTAGTGAGGTTACAATCCTTCCTTACATAATTTCCAAGCATGAGCTGCAGCATTTAGATCATAGATTGTCTGTTATACTTCGATATTTGTAAGGAGTTTGCAGGTAATGGTACAGTAGTCAAACCTAGGTCATACTCTATTTCTCTTTCTCTCTCTCTTTCTCCTATTTTTACTTCTTTAATTCTCGACTTCTGAAACGGTGTGATCTGAATACCTAAGAACAGCCTCACGATGAAAACGATGATAGAACAGCTAGTTCAGCCGCTCACAATATACGAAGCATAGTACAGAGATTGCTCGCAGTATACCTCATCATCCATATGAGTTGTAGCAGAGCATACTCCGTACTCCCATCCATTATGTGCAGAGGAAGGTCCATACTTTGGGGGGGGGGGGGGGGTGGTACTTTTGTCCCTGCAGCATCTACCATGCAGCAGTTTACGAGTCATGCGGGGAAATGCGATGTATCGAAAAATAGACTCACCGAATATCCTCTTACCCCTTGAAGAGAAGAGACAAGGAGTGATAAGAGTAGGTACTATGTAGGTTATAAAATTCCTGAAGATACCTTGGGTTCTTCGCATATGCAAGTGGCCTTGCTTCGCGAAGCATTCTACTGCATCTCGGATTACTCCATGAAGCAATAGAAGAAAATAGATCGCTATCGTTCGCTTTTGACTTTTTCGCTAGATAACATTATTCATGACACTCTGCAGAAGAAGAAGAGATAATACACAATCTGTCGTGAGACATTATGTCTGTTCGTTAACATGTCCTGTGGCCATCAGTATCAAAAAGTTGTTACAGGAACACAGAAAGGTCCGGAAGAAACAAAGGAGAAAGCTGACAGAAAGAGAGACCAGATAGAACATCCCGAGTCAGTTTACTCAAAGAAGAAGAAGAAGAAGAAGAAGAAGAAGAAGGGGATAAGGCCCCACTGGTTCCCAGTGAAACAGACCATCATTACATGAAGTCACGCCACGCAGTCTGTGGACTGGTAAGAAGCACACGACATCATCCGACGCTGACTCCTCGACGCTGTCCTCGCATCCTTTGTTCTCGCCGTCGACTATACGGAGCACAGTATGGTTCATCTGAGGAGCCTATGTTTGCCCGGACGGGCTCTTGCGATCGATGATAAGCAGGGCTAGACGGCGGCGGCGGCAGCTGCATCACCTTGAACTGGTCCACGCTGATAATCCGCAAGCGGTAGAGATACTGCATCAATTCAAAATCCGGTCGGCTTCCGGCTAGGGTCTGGCCTCGTTGATAATGTGCTACATCGACATGGTCGAGCATGCGATCCCATCCTTTCTGCTCGGGAGTGTCGCTGAACCGCTCACCCGGACATAGCGGGCATCGGGCTGTTCGCGGGGGTTCGTGGGTTCGGAAGTGGCTCAGTACATGAGTCTTCCATTGCTCGACGTCGTCGAAGGTGTGGTGACAATCTAAGATATAGAACAGACAGATATAGGTGTGATGATGATATTGACGAGCAGGGCGGGACGGTGGGACAACGAGCGCGCCCGTTCCATCATCTTCTAATATCTCCTGGCCGGTGAGACCTTCCGCCCATCTTGTTTCCAGAGATACGCCCGGTGACGAGGATGAAGCGGATGCGGCGTCGCTCGATAGAGACGGGACGGCCGTGGAGGACGGCATCGTTTCGGCAACGGCTTCACTCCCACCACTATACACACTCTTCGTGCTTACGTCCGCGGCCAGACGTCTGCCGCCCAGTTCGAAGGAGAACAATGATTTTGGATGGCCGGCGTCCGTGCCAGCAGCACCGGGCGAACACCTTGATACGACACGATCTGAAAAAATGATGGGGCGATCCTGTTCCCACATGCTTAGTCCGTGAGCGGCGAGTGAAAAAGCAGCAGCAGCAGCAGCAGCATCGGTCATTAAATTAGTAGTTTTGCGACCGCACTACCCAAGCCCATGCACTAAAGCGGGGCAACACAGCTTGAAAGGAAAAAAAATGGTTAAGGATTGGTGGGAGAAGATGCCATTTTACTGAAATGATTTCTGCGGCCTTTAACCTTCTTCGTCTTCTCCCTTAGGGTATCAGCTGCCTTTCAGCAAACTTATCCTCCGTCCTACCTTGGCGTTTGGGTTGGTTGGTCTCCAGCATCACGCGTCCATCGGTTGAGGTGGTGGTGCAGGGAGGAGTTGTTCATTCGATCCGAGAGCCTCAAAGCGTCAGAATCCGGCGGGGGGATGTGTTTGGGCAATGGCAAAGGGGGAAGTCGCAAGAATCAAAGCATGTTCCATCAGGATCAACTTGTCAAGTCAATCATATCCTTATCATAATTCACAACTTGACTGGAGCCACGTCCACAACTGAATGAACAGTGTACCAGCAACAATAACATTGATCACAGACGAAAAGAGAGAGCGCTAGCCAGCACTAACTTTGGCCTTTTCTTTTTCTTTTTCTTTTTCTTTTCTTTTCTTTTCTTTTCTGTTTTGTCTTTGCTTTTTCTTAAACCCTCCTAGTCTTACGCATTCCCCCGTTTCCGGTCTTGAAGATCCTAGACCAGGATGCGATGAACTGGTCTGACACTACTACTAGTATATATGTACGTACGTATGTATCATGCACGTCGCTGGACAACAAATCGTTATTCGTCAATCCATCTATCTCAGTGAATTGGGTTTCGGATAAATATGACGATGGCTTTACGGCTCACAGCACGTTGTTGGCAGATGGGCAGGAGGTTAGGGCAAGTGATGAGAGATGACTATCTACATTTTCCCTATGTTCAGAAAGTACGGAGTAGTGACTACTGATTTATGCCAGAGTAAAACACCGAGATTATTGAAACTTTTATTTATTTATATATTTTTAGCCTTTTTTTTTTTGGCTCGTTTTTGAGGAACCCTCTCGTCCTGCTCGAGGTCTAAATAAAAGCGAAAAGTGACATAGCCGAGATGAAATGCATATGGTAGTACCAGGAATTATCAGAGGACCCGGCCTCGGAGAGGAGTAGACAAAATGAATAGTAGCTGTAGAGCCAATTCCCATTGGGGTAATGAAACAAATGATGGTTATAGGATAAGGTATTTTTCATGAAGGATAGCGAAAGGGGAGAATCGCACAAGTACGGAAAAAGCCACAAGAATATCCCACCCGTCTATCAGTATGGACGCCTCGCAAAAAAAGTACTCGAACAAAGTAAGCAAAGAAAGCCAATCAGCCGACACCAAGGATGCCCATGAACCACACACTGTAAATGCACAAAGTCTATTCGTTTCGTAGCGCGTATGACAGTCAAGAATTTTTTGAGTCCACAATTTTATACATGGAAAGGATTTCGCAGCGGCACCGGGCTAGAAACGTTCTGCCAAATCACCTCCTGCGACGGAATTATTCGTCGATGAGGAAACAGACGAAAATCCACCGCTGGGATTCAGCATATCTTGCACGGCGACCTTGGGAACCTGTGGAACGGGCAGCTTACGCTGTGTCCCATCGGGCCTGGACATGATATCGCTGATGGTGGGACCAACATGGGACTGGCTGGGACTGTAATAGTTGGGGCCTTCCGGTTGGGGCTCCATTGGAGCAAGGGCAGGTGTATGATGGAGGGACAGATGGCGAATCGAAGGAAGGTGCAGTTCACTGGCTCCCAATGGCCTCAGACGTGGCGAATGGGCAGGGGTTGCCAACGGGGTGTGGTCTGGCGTTGGCGAAAGAGAGTCGTGAGAAAAAGTGGGTGAGGACGGAGCAGTTGAGTTGGGCGAGTTGGGCCTCGAGCGCTTGACGCGATGAGCGTAACCATCCTCGTCCTCGTGAGAGTGAGAACGGCTCATGCTGTGCGAGATGGCATATGCGGAAAGGGAAGGCAAGCCTCGACCGGTGTGGTGACGCGAGGCGAACAAATGGTGGTTACGTGGACCAGGATGGAACCCAAGATGCTCATCACGCTCAACCTGAGATGCAGCGGTGGCAAGTAGATTGATATCCATTCCCGAAGATGCCCGCTCGGCGTTGCGAGCATATGGTCCCAGATTGGAACGCATGTGACCGGCGTAGTTTGAGAAGGAGTGAGGAGGAGAGACATCCGGAGACCCAACTTGAGAGACAGGCGCAGAGCGGGTCATAGGCTTGTTTGGCGGGGGCATCATCGAGCCCGCGTTGGTCACGTTCACCATTGCATTCTCCTGTCCAGCGGCGGCAGCGGCAGCGGCGGCGGCCAGATGCTGTGCCTTGTTACTCCGTCTAGAGTTGGGGTTGTTGTGAATTCTGGAGTGGCGGGTCAACTCGTCAGAGCGACTAAAACGTTTTGTGCAGCCAGGGAACTGGCAAGCATGTGGCTTTTCACCCGTATGTGTGCGAATATGTCTGGTCTGGTGCTCCAAACGATGGAAGGCGCGATCACAGAGGGGACACTTGTATGGTCGGGGGAGATCCTGGCGCGCTTCTTCCGTTGCGGGACGGGCACCCTTCATGAGGGGCGGTAGTAGGCTAACAGACGAGGCCATGGTAGAGTTGGACTGAGTACTAGACGGGGTGGAGGGACCCTTTGAGCTATCCACTGGCGTGGAAGGTGCAGAACCAGTCTCGTTATTCTGAGGGTTCAGCAGATTGGTGAAATCCACTGAAGAAGCCGGTGGTGGCATGTGACTCGTCCTAACCTAGCCGAAAGGTGTAGCTAAAGAGGGGACGAAGCCTGTATTTAAGGAAGCTCGGGAGGGCTGAAGAGCCGAGGCGAATTAGGATTCGTCGCAACAGGGGTAGGTAAATCGGGGGAAAGTCGATCACCACCCGACAAGACGGAGACTTGCTCTTGGCAAAGAACTAGTTGATAAATGAGCACCGCAAGGAGTATCACAAGCCTTGCGATCACAGAAGGTGCGATGGTACGCAATGTAACTGATTTCAAGGAAGAGTGACTTTCCCAGTAAACGGACGATATTGTGGAATGTGGTGATGGGTGTGGGATAGAGTATATCCGGAATTGGTACTGGAAGCAGGTAACCCGAGATGGATGTAGTAGTCAAGTAACAAACTGTCGAAAGGGAGAGGGGGGGAAGAAAGAGAAATCTGGAGAAACGGTCTGGGGATAGGAACATATAAAGGAAATACGGAAGAGGAAGAATGAGGAATGGAGGGGAAGAAGAGAGAAATGGAGCTTCGGGGGAGGGGAGGAAAAAGGCAGGGCGAATGTGGTAGAGGGGGTTATCGGAATCGGAGACCTTGAAGAGAGAGAAGGAAAAAAAAGAAAAAAAAAAGAAAAAGAAAAATAAAAAAAAAAAGTTACGCAGTATGTACTATGTGTGGGGAG